GAAAGAATGCGCTGATTTTCGGCCTGTCTATGTCATTAAAAATGTGACTTGTTATGGTGTTACAGGTCCTACGTCTTAATTATTCTAAGACAGCATACAACGAATATCTTATCTCTCCTTCCACAAGAACCTTGTTGACTTTGACACCGATTCAAAGATTCATTTGCTGTTAACATCCGTCATATTAGTCTTAGACGTCAACATGAATTATATGAGCAAAAGTCACTCTCGGAACTTTTGAAGTGAGAACTTCAAACATATATTAAAAGAGAAAGGAAGACGATGATGAAGTGTATAATCATACGCATAAGTAATTATTGTTATTTAGTTTTCATCTTTTTTCTGTATTTTAACTGAGCCTTTATACTTAAGCATCAGAGAGCCAGATAGACGGAGAAAATGAACAAGTAAAAATCACAACGATGAAGACTCAACGTTTCATTATGTACTCACCATTTTCAGCAAAATGCAAAAAAAAAGGAAGATACAGGAGAGCATAAGCAATAATTTCATTTTATTGAGGAATCCCGCACCTTCAATGAAATACCCCCCAAACACTAATCGACCGTTCATTCGTACATGCAGTAATGTGAAACGCTAGTGTAACTGTTTCAACACACATGTTAGAATTTTTGCCGGACTAACAAAATGAAGCCGACCCCTGACTGGGAATGTCTCTTTTTTCATTCTTTCAAAAATCAATGAATTTGTTTGACTCTTCATGCCCCATGCTGACTGAAACAAATCCAAAAATAGTGTTATTGCTTTCGAAAAATGGTCTAGAATGTATTGTGGGTTTCCCCTGACACTTGATATTTCAATGCAAAATGGATGAGATTGGTGTCTATTAATCGAAGCAGGATGCTGCAATTTTGATGGGTTTTTTTTGCACGTATATTTAACGACTTAGCCTCTGTGATCCGAAGCCAATAAACTCGGAACAAAGGATCAATAATACAAATCATCGTCAAATTCTTGACAGATCGACGGAGATCATGAGCTTCGGGGCCTAAAGAATATGCTACAAGTCGAATACATTGGCGTGGCGAATTGCGATGTATCGATTGTTATACCATTTAAACGTATGGAAAAGAATCGAACACTCTGCGTGCTGCGAACACTCTATTTATCGATCCTTCTCCAAATGTTTTAATGGCATAACAATCGATATATCGCAATTCAAGCCTCGCAACTGGTCGAATACAGTTTTGCGCCCAGAGAGAACATGAATATCGACGATGAAACTGCAAAACTGCGTGTGTCGGTTGCGGTGTTTGGAATCCCTGGTAAAAATTGGCAATAGAGTCTGTGTTCCAAAATACCATAGACCTACAGCCGGCTGTAAGATTTCCAATAGCTTATATAGCCGGCAAAACAATTTCTTATAGCCTTTTATAGCCGATGGCGACTAAGCAACAGCCTGGCGATAAAGTGTATGCTGAACGTTACTAATTACGGATGCTAGGACTTAGTGAGTTTTTGGACTACCGCTCTCATTTTGGGCAGTAGTATCTTGATTTATTTTGCGAGGAAAGCTCCGTACTTTTGAAGGATGCCCGCTATTCCTATTTGTATGTTGGAGCGCCTTCAATTTCGTATGATACTGTGCAATACCTCTGGTGTGAAACAGTTGCTTCAAGCGCCGCGGTACGCTGCGGGCGGGCAGCCAGCGCTGAACGCGCATTGGCGCCTACAAACCTAACTGGGATACTTCAGGCATTGCGCAATGCGTGAAGTATCCCAGTTAGGTTTGTAGGCGCCAGTGTGCCGCCGCTCCGCTTTGTGTTAGGCTCTAATATTTAATCTGGCGGAGTCAGTGTTATTCAACTCATGATTTTGAAATGTTGCACACGCATTTCTGTAGTTTCACCATCGATAAATGCACTTCCATTTGGCAGTGTCAGATCTACGGCGTGGCAGATCGATAAACTTGATTGATTTGCCTCAAAATGAAAGTATTCGAAGTATAATTTTGAAACGTTGTGAGTGTGACTGCAGTTTGATGAGACCTTTATAAACATTTCTTGGTCAGAATATCATAAAACTGTTTCCTGTGTAATACAGAAATGTTTAATTATTTTTGATAAGGGTTCGATTGTCTCGTGGTCAGCTACACTCGTTTACGCGAGGGAAATTGTACAAACGGTAACAAACAACAAACTGAGTTGGGTCAAATCCGCAGAGTACGCGCGTAATTGTGCATAACACAGCTTAGAATCAGAAATTAAAAATTCATGGAATATCGTAAAAGATATTGCGAACAGTTTTCATAAAGGTTTTTCCGACTAGACGCGATACAATATACTTCATGAATGTCGAAGAAGCAGAGGGTTTTGCATGGCATTTTATGATACAAATATTTTAACTCTGGTGTGAGCGGTGAGGTATCGCGCGAAATTGAAGGCGTTTTCGATCGGTAACAACAGTTTGACATAGCTCACAACGCGTGCTACGTAGAGGAATCAAATAAACCCATATCATTTTCTTGAAGACGAGTCGGGGTCTACAAAGATGAGATTATCAGGTGGCTTCAAACGCCGAAAAGCCATAACTACTTAGCTTTGAAATTTTGAAAAAAAAAAAAATCACAAGTCGAAATTTACCTTTTTAATTTATTTGTTTAATTTGATTTAGTTTCCTCATCCTGTTCTTGGCGTTTTCAATTCGTGTCACACTACTTAGCCACTTAAAATTCCATGACACGTTATAAAAATGTTTCAGCCAAGAATAAATTTTATTCTATGGAGCCTCATTTTATATTTTTGCTCTGTGCTATCGGTTTTTTCCGATTAATCTTGAGATGTGACGCCAAAACGAATCACTCAATTTTACTCTACGGTCCACCAGCTCCATCTTTTCACACTTGATGAATAGTGTAAAAACACGGCTTTGTTCAGCAGCAGCAGCTCTCGGCGCCAAAATGGAACTGCTGCGCATGACATTCGAAAAACAGCGGGATTCCCCCGATGACTCACAGCTCACAGCGCCTGGGAATCCCCGTGACGCAACACGCAACCGCGTGGAGATGCAACCGCGGACCCACTACTGCTGCAGCTTATCGATCGGCTGCCGACAGAGAGCGCGCACACAACGCTGCCTGTCGGCTCTCATTTCCCACAGGTGAGATCCAGAACTCACGTCACCTTCACATCATTCACACTCTGGTAATAAGTAAAAGAAAAAGAAAGAAAGAAAAAAACTCAAGTTTACGAATTTAAAAGATAAATATCGACTGCCAAAGTGCGAAACCCCATTACTCAGTTTGCGGCGTTCCAGACTCCCTGTCATACTTTATTTTGTCCTTGGAGAATTAGTCACCGTAGTTTTTTTTTTTTTTTTTTTTTTTTTTTTTTTTTTTTTTTTTTTATAATATAAGTCCTTGATTCTCCTTCTCTGGCAGCAGAATATCCTGTATGGATTCCAAGCCATGAAGTTGACTTGTTTCTATTCGAAAAAATAAATTAGGACGCGGAGATTTTGAAACACTGCAATGAAGATACGTGGTTTTGTACTTAAGCCTTCGCTATCGCTGCCGCTGCTCATACTAGAAACTCCCCACGAAAGAGAAAATTAAGATTATTAGGCCCCAACATTTGTTCATATGTAGCACTCAAATTTTCGGACATTCGGGTTAGATCATTAGAATCGATACGCAAAGCGATAGACAAAGGAGACTGAAGGGAAATGGATCAATCTTATTGGTTGAAACGGGTGGTTTCACCTTTTTTCAGTGTGCTTACGCTGACTTAAGCGGGCTAGTTATTGAAATTGATAGACAAAGCGGTAGACAAAGAAGACAAATTTAAAATGTAGCGACCCTGTTGGTGGGGGCGGGTGGTCACAATGGACTAACCAACGGCAACCGAATTCACGAGTGACCCTACTATTGGTTCATCATTGTCCCCCTTTCCTTTTTCCATGAGAACCACCCGTTTCAACCGACTGGATCACCCCATTTTCCTTTTGTCTCATTTGTCTATTTTTTTGTCTATTGATTTCAATAATTAGCCTATAGGTCCTGAATAAAAATGTTTATCTCGTGAAGAACGGAGCGACCTAAAATGATTGTTTATGATACGACACTCTTGAAAATGTTAATTACTTTCGTGAAATAGGACAAGAATGGCTATCAATCACCTCGTTGTTATAACTAACTTGCTATTGACATATTTACCCTCTTATTTTAACTGGCAAGAACTGATCTACTATACAGCCTCTTTACATAGTAAGTGTATACTCCGTTGGCAATGACAGCTAGGCGAAACCGTTTTGCTCCTTGGACCTCTATAAGAAAGTAACGCCTTGAGAGCCTTAAGGATACGACTATTTTAACGCTAGAGAGCCGTTTTTGCCTAATCGGAGAAATGAAGGGGCGCAACATTTTACATCATGGAACATTTCTTGTGAGGAATAAATCATGGTCCGCGCGCTAATCTGGTTCTGGGGCTGCCAATGCGCGGAAGGTTGGGCTACAATAGGTCCCAATCGTCCACCTGCGGGCTGATCATTGAAATTTATAGACATAGCTATAGACAAAAAGGACATAGGGAGTATGGAGCGATCCTATTGGTTAAAATGGGTGGTTCCTATAGACGAAGGGAGAAAGTGATAGACTAACCGTCGAGTCTCCCGTGGGTTGCCGTTAGTTAGTCTATTACCTACCTCCTTTGTCTATTTGAACCACCCGCTTCCACCAATTGGACCGTTCCATATCTACTTTTCTTTTGGTCTCAAGTAAAAATCGCAGATTTTCATCGAAAATTACGATGGTTTATTCTCGTAAAAATTGAATTGTTTAAGAGAATTTTGCAACAATGGAACGGAGGTCGTGCGGAAAACAACGAAATGACCTCTCGGCTGATCGCAAGCTCAGGAGCGCGGGAGTAAGGTATGCAACCCGCCGGACGCTGGTGCGAAGATAAGGCGTAAGTTAGGCAACCGGCGGGGCTTGGCTGCGCAGGTCCGGCGTCCCGCTCAGCGAAAGTGCTCGGCCCGCAACAGACCCTCCGTTGATGAGTGGTGCGTCGTGGTGGTGTGGAAACTGGAAAGTGCGCCAGGGATCGCCCTGTCCCCTCTCGTCGTGTAAACAATCTTCGCGGACCTAGAAGACCGAGACCCGGGATTTTGGCCCCGCACCGCGGAAAAGCTCCGATCGAAAGGTGAGTTGATTTGTGCCAAAATCGTTGGCCAAGATTCCTCGATTTTCGCGATCGTCACAACACCCGCGGCTCGCGCAGGGCAGCCGACCAACGCTCGACCTGCTTTCGTGGGGACAAAGGGATGGTAAACAAAGTTCGGATTGCAGCACGCAATTTCACATTTCCCTGCCAATATTGTGCCCCAAAACGGTGTAAACTATGAAAAGTTCAATTAAGATGGGAGAAATGCCAATGTCATGTGCGACAGTGAAATTCAATAGGAATGACTCCGTCCGTGTTTATATTCACCCAGCAGGTGTCGGAAAATAGGTGTTTATTTCATGCTTAAAAGTCGATTTTGGACATTTCCGTCATCTGCATCTTTTTGCTCGTAAAATTTTGGAAAAAAAAACTCACTTTAATTCCTATTTTATTTAAACACCAAGAAATGCGGCCCGAACTTATGTAAAATAGTGCTGAGTCCACACTATTGTGCGGGGAAAACAAGGTCAAAGAGTTCAGAAATTTCAATTAATGTCAAAATCTACTGATGAGTCTAATAAGGCCCAAAACGCTATTGATCTCTCAGCGTGCCCTCAACTTAATATTACAATGCAAAATTGAGTTAGCTGAACACTCTCCCCCCTAAATCTTGCACTGGTAATTATTAGGGCATAAAGTTTTTTTTTACTCTAAATTGAATTTTTTAAAATTTTGGCCTTGATTTCTATTTTACCACTCTGTTTCTTACATTTTTTCAAGCATTTATTGAATGATCCATTCAAGCATGAAAAGTTCATATCAAGACCTTATTAAATGACCATGGAACAATAGGCCAGAGAAAAAGCTCGAATTGCAGTCCGTAATTTCACGTTCCCTCGCCAAAATGTTGCGTCAAAACATCGTGCACAGTGAAAAGTTCACAACTGCAGCGCAAATGGAGGGACTTTTAATTCATGTAGTATATGAAATGATAAAGAAAGACGGCTATTCGAGGGATGATCCGTGCTGGAGTGTTCTAAACAAATTTTCAAGTTCTTAACATTCATATTTTGTGCACGAATGAGATAATCAGAATCCTCTGGATCTTTGTGACTTTTTCCCTCAAAATCGGCAAAAATTGAGCCATATGTTTTCAGGGTTTATTGTTAGCACTTGCTACAGACATTTAAAACCAGCAGGATAAACTTTTAGTATATTTCCCGAGGAAAACACGCAATTTTCTTTTTTCGTTTTTTTCATGTATTGGACGTATTTCTATCAAACGGAACGATGTGCATTATGACGTGAGCCCTGTTATGCACATATTCTTATGGGTCTCAGGGCTCATGTCTTGATGTCTGACCGCGGGAAAGGAGGCGGAACGTAGCGTTCCGAAGTAGATCACTTGATGATAACCCCACGGACACGATCAATGAATAAATTGCAGTCCTGTCTTGACCTTTTCATCGAACGCAAAAGTCAGCCAGCAATTATTGACCGTCTTACTGGTGTTCCGTTTCTGCGACGTTTTTTTCCTTAAATGTTTTCAAGAGACTCGTGTCTTCACTCTTCAGTGTAAGTGATTTAAGAATCTGAGCGATAATTAGATAATCTAGGTGATTATTGAATGAGACGTGAGATCAACAACAACGTGCTCACATACTCGAATTGAAAAAGTCGCTCTCATTAAAATAGATAATAAAAATTGACTTGAGTACTTCAAGTGGACGTGATTTAGTCAAATCAACCAATCTATAAAGCTAATTTAAAATAAAAAAAGGAAACAACGTGCTATCTAGTACAAAGCTTTTGTAGATGCGCGTTTTTTCAACTCTCTATTCAGATGTTTGTTCTATTTAATGACGCCCATCTGTACGTAGATGCGCAACAAATCCAAAAGATCTGAACGCAAATACGTAGAAAGGGTCAATTGGATATTTCCTAGACGAGAGAACGTAACTAAATTTCAATGCTGCAAGCGCCCAATCGCAAATCGTGTTTTACTAAAGTCACACGTGTATAGCCTCTTTTAGTGTGGATATCGATGGCTAAGCAACAGTAGGTATCGCCTATCTGCAAACTGACGATTTTGCAGGACGAGGAAAAACTTCGCCATTTTTGTAATTTTGAGGCTTGATTTTCAATTGTTCATACATTACAACGTCACTCATGGCTTTAATACGTTTCTCGCCATTTTTGTAATTTTGAGGCTTGATTTGCAATTTTTTCATACATTACAACGTCAATCAGAGCTTTGATGTGGAATTGAAAAAAAAACTGAGAACATCAGCTTGCGTGCTTTATGAAGTAAAATGCGTCAAAGTCCCTAACTCATTACCGCTGAAATTGTCAGTTAGGCAGCCTTGTTCAGTAGCCATCGATGTGTCCATAGTTAACTTTCCTATAACAAATCTTCAATTTAGGCTAGTAAATGACATTTTCAACGATTTTTCCCTCCTTCTAAATATACCTTCCTTCATTTCAGGTTACAAAGAAGGATGTCCGGTGTCCCCTTTGCCCCTCTCTGCGTCCGTTTAGGGTCGCAGTTCTTTGCGTTGAATACACTAAAAAAAGGGTTACGGGCTATATAGACCTACCGTCCGTTCCGGCCTCTGAGGCCAAAAGTTCCAGGTGCTACGCCCGGAATTAGTGGTTTCCGAGCCCGGAACGCGGACGGTATGTCTATATCGTCCGTGCGTAAGTACGGCCTTTCACGGCCGAAGTTTTTTTTTCAGTGCACGAGTTTTGGCCCATCATTTGGCAATATTCAAAAGGGAGAGCTGAATAACATGCATGTGTATGTATTCGAATACATGAGTAATTGATGGCTGAATGCCCCGGTCCGGATCAATTGCTGTGAGAACTTATGTCCCCGCGCCAAGTGTTTGATACCCATGAAAAACACTTCTCATTGTCGGCGCGCCTTTGCAATAAAAGCGGCTTTCTCACGCGCCGAGCGTCACGCATAAAAAGTGAGATCGATCCGAACGCCTCCTTAAGCCTCCGCCATAGAATATTCTTCCAGCTCCGAGGACGAGCGGTCGATAACCGTTGAGGTGAAAGTCTTGATCACCTCAGTGCAGAAATGACAAAAAGTCACTCGACACATTTTAGCTCACTGCTAAAAAAAGAGGGGGTATTGATAAGGGCCGTTTTTTGGTCCAACCCAGCTGAATTTCCACAACTCTACGAAAAATTTCTCGAATGCATCATGATTTGGTGGAGTCGAAAATTACATCGATTTCGACGTCTAGGCCAAACAGCTTGTCTGGTATGGTCATGTTAACAGGATGATGGAAGAAAGGCTGTCGAAAAATTCGGTGATTTTATTCCTCCTAAGTGGAGACGGAGGGGACGCCCAGTGAAAAGGTGGTGACCGGGGGGGGGGGGGGGGCAGAGGAAATGAGGGAGTGCCAACTGCCTGAAGGGCCTTAGGAGGATAGGGAACTTTGGCGGCTGAGTGTCGCAGAGCGCAAAAGAGCGCTATGAAAGCGGCTTCCATGTGTGTATCATGACTTGGTCAATTCCTGTCTCTTCGGGTAGGTCCAAATATGGGCCTGAAAGCCGATTTTGGCAAAAAATTGGATTTAGCCGCCAAGCCGCCATATAACTTACGTTTTTCGCCAAAATCGGCCTTCTGACCAATGTTTAGACCAGTGATAGGGCTGCTAGACCCAAAAAGAGATCACAAATGACCAACTCGTCAGGCATTCCATAAAAATGTAGACCTTCAAAGAGCCAAAACTCGCGGAGTTGAGAAAATTAAGGGTGGGCCCAAAAATTAACAGACCTTGTCGATACCCTTCATTTAGTTCCAAATAGTTCCAAACATTGCGCGCCACAGAATGGTTCAACAGAATGACTTTTACAAATGGCTCTTAGCGAGGGCAGTCTTCACTCCATCTTAATGCTGAATTGCTGTAACGGGGCGCGTGGACTTTGAAATTGAGTCGAACAGTACTTGCAGTTGATTAGTGAGATAGATGTGGTTATCCGACAATTCATCCCCTTCTTTTTTTCCAAATCTTGTTCGTTCAATATTAAAATTTTCAGGCCAAAAATTGAATCTGGTCCAATGAAAGAGTGTAACCAACGGTGGTAGACGAAATTTCGAAAGACGGTCGATGAATGGACACAAAATCGGTCGACTAAGACCTTCATGAGCTGTGTTCTTCCGATTCACTCTATAGGTAGTGAAACCATTTAGGCCCGCACTTCATTTCGTATCTGTCTCAAGGTCACGCTTCGTTCATTCATAACAGTATCTACGATGGCAAGGTGTCCGATCGACTCGTCGTTGAGGCGTTGTCACCTTGGGTGGAACAGATGCTAAAACTGTTTATTTTTCGATGAAAAATTTTTGATTTCCTGCCAGAGTAGACAACGCAACAGTTAAAATGAGGTTAAACTCATGCATCTTTAATCTACCTGCTGACTGCGGCGGCGGCCAGCTTTGGCACGATTTCCTTGTTTCTAGGAGGGTGTTTCGCGGCTGTAAATGTGTACCCACAAGATCATTGTCAAATCGTTCGCGGAAAATGGAGATGTTGCAAGTGCGAGGGATTTGCGATTTGACCCTTGATTCTCATGTAATATTTCGCGAGAAACACGATATGGTGCCGCTGGTTTTCTCTGAAATCAACTCCCAAGCTCAAAAAAAGCACTCAAAGTGAGGCCAAAATGGAGGGGATATTCCACCTTACCCTGAGAGTCCACCTCTACATCAAAACAAACTCTCCATGCAAAGATAGGGAGCAAATACATTAGCATGGTTGCCGTGTTTTCAGTTTTGGAGTCCCCAAATAAAGTCGCAACCCTGCTAATATATTTGCTCCCTATCTTCGCATGGAGAGTTTGTCTTGATGTAGAGGTGGACTCTCAGGATAGCCTGGGATATCCCCTCCATTTTGGCCTCTCTTTGAGAGCTTCTTTTGAGCATGGGAGATGATTTCAGAGAAAACCAGTGGCGCCATCGTGTTTCTCGCGAACTTTTACATAAGAATCAATGGTCAAATCGCAAATCCCTCACACATGCAACATGTGACCATTCTCACGGTCCTCAGACGAGGGTGAAATGATTATATTCCATTATTCATGTTACATCAATTTGATACGTTACCTTGCAAAGGAAAGGGAGCATGCTCCCTTGTTGATTTTTACTATGTCGATGAGCGCTTTCACGCCCCCATCCCCGAAACTATATACGCGACGATGATAGCATCTCCAGCACGTATTATAGGGTCATTATCAAGGCCGAGGTCAAAAAAGTAAGGTTAGCCTGCTGTTACCATTAAGTGCTGCAATTTTTCCAAATCGATGGAGTCCTTCATCCCCTCCGATAATGAGGAAAATACGGAGATGACAACGCCCCAGAATCGTCGCTGTTCTGGCGTAAGGGCGTAACTCGATTTCCACATGAGCCCTAGAAAGCATGTATTTGTATGTAAAGTGGAGCTTAAGTGGGGATTAAGGTACGTCCTTACGTCAGAGGAGCGACGAAATGCGATAACTATTTAACACTGATCTATTGAACACTAGTTGGGGTGGAGAAGGGGGGGTTGAAACTGTGCGGTTAAAATAGTATTATTTGTGTTCATCGATCTAGGTACACGAAATTATGAAAAAATAATTTGATAAGCATACAGAATGTGTTATATTTACAAAAAGTAAGGGAAAGTAATTTCAACGACAAAATAAAAGGAACTTGTGCGTAGATATGAGGTAGCAAGCCAAGTGATTTCATACGACTTATGCCCTTTGAACTTATTTTATTTGAATCAAGGCTGAGGTGGAAATAATAAAGTTAGTCTGCTACCGCTGAGGATTATCACGTTACGTAATTTTTAATTTCCGATGTCTTTCTTCCTCTTGTATCTTTTTCTCAGGACTGTCACATCCTTTTAAAAGATAAAAATCTATTAGAAATTGCCCTACATAGAAGAAATAGCAAAAAAAAAAAAAACTTTTTAAATTATTTTTTTTTACATATATTTAACGTAACGCAGGATCACCAAAATTGCTGGAATTACATTGTATAGTTTTTCAGTGCCGTGCAAAATTGGTTTTTTGCAAAATTTTCTTCTTGGTCCAAAAATTATTGCGTAGTTTTTCTGGAGATTTGAAAAAACCGCCATTCTAAAAATTGCATGTTTAAAGTCAACTAAAACGTCCCTCCCTCAAATTTTAAACATGGAGTGGTCTTCCTTGAACGTTATGTCAAACGAACGTATTTGAACTCAGCAACAAATATTTATCCTTCAAGGCGGTTTGACAACAGGTTTAAATAGTTACGGGACGATCATAATGTTGTGGGTGTGGCTCATCGCGTGACTACAAAGTTTTGACAGTTGAGCGAAAACCACGCGCATTTTACCGATTTCACACACTTTTGTGTACTCTTTGTGGTCTTGAATTACATCCATTGTCTTCAAGTTTACGTAAATGGATCACTCTGATACACAGCAAAAATGTTCAGATATACCCATATTCACGAACACGTGATGAATTCGAAGAAAATTGGCTTGTTCAAATACCAACAATTAATCTTGAGTGACTCTTGACCGCTCAACATATTGTTGAAATTAAGCCTCTAGTCGTATATTATTAGCATATGGTTAAACCGTTAACATCAGACTCAGATAATAATTATTGTCATTTTATTGATTTCTAAAAAAAACAAAAATTATTATTGAAAAATGACCATGCTCGTCAAATCTGCAAAAGGGTCATGGATACGTTTTTCCGGTTCAAGATAGCACAAGAATGTACAGTATTTAACTTCAAGGATTGCATGCAGATCTGGAATTAGATATTTCTGACGTTTTTTCCATGCATCTACATCCTCATTTAACCATTGAGAATGAAACCCCCTTAAACCCCCTTAAAAAAGATAAACGCAAGCAGGTATCTCAGAGGACACTTACTATCTTTGATTCGTAATACGCTAGGTCAAGACTGTGCTAAAGATTGAAATTTAAAACGCCTTCAATGAGTGAGTTATACAGTTTCTTAACAATCGCATAGTTATGTCTACGTCAAGCTTCGGCTAATAGTTTCCAGCTGCGGTAAGAGTGCAGTATTAATTCGGCGTTTATTTCTATCTTAAATAATAGCATAATATGTATTTCCTTTCTTTTAAAGAAAAAAACACGTATTGGTGAAATAAAATCGAGCAATCTGAACCTAGGACGGTTAATTTAAACAATACTTAAAAATATTGGATCCCTTAGCAATAGGTACAATGTTTCTAACTTTAAAATTAAAGGCTCAATCTTTTTTTACCAATTCGTTCCTAAGACTGCATATCTACTTTCTTTATTCTCTCTCCTTCCCTGGCCTTTTCTCTCTTTTCTCTTTTATATTGTTTTTTCTTGCTTGTTGTCAATTTTGTTTATAGTGTTTTTTCTTGCTTGTTGTCAATTTTGTCGGTCATCTGACGTAAGGGCGTAACTCCATTTCCCCCGTAAATTCGGTGTTTATCGACGGAAATGTGGTTAAATCTGAAGGCTCATTCGGCAATCTTCCTTAGCACGACGGAACAGGACAGATGATTCATACCAAAATGACATATTTGAATCCAAAGGGGCTATATTATTCATATGGCTTGGACCCTGAGATCCAAAAGAATACGTGTAAGACACAGCTCATGTCACAATAAATATAGTTCCATTTGATTTCAATACGTCTGAAATGTAGATAGTCTCTTCTTCGAGGCATTTCAATTGAACGGGTCAATTCGTAAAAGCAAGTATGTCAATTTTCAGTTGAACCCTAAAATGCTGATATTTATACGGACCTTGGTGACCATCTAAAAATGGACATACGCTTTCAAAAAGAAGATAAACCCGTTCAATTGGACCGCAATAAGCTGAAGGGAAACAAGTTTCATCAGCCGTTGCAAAATTTCATCGGATGGTTTATTATTTTACGGGAGAAGGGTAGAGCAGATTTTTTTTAAAAATTTCAGGGGATATTCTTTTGTGGCGTGAAGCAATTTCCTGAAATTATCGAAACAATACGTACACATATTCCCTGCAAAAAAAGAAATTGTTCCATGAAATTTTTCAATAGCTGGTGTGACTTGATCCATTTCTGCTCAACGCGGTCCAATTAAGATTGCGTGCTCCACAGTTCCGTGAGCAGTAATTAAACTACAAGGATGCCAGTTTGTGTGAAAAATCCTGGATATCTTACAATGAATTTAATCGGAATTGTGCTGATTTTTTAGCAAAATCTGGCCCTAATGTTAAGCGATGTTAAGGCTGACAGAAGATCTCGCTGCAAAGGTCAGACGAAGCTTCGCGAGTTAAATTGTTTGTCGAGCAAACAAGTGTGTTGTCACGCTAGGAAGATTCTACACCTAGGAGTCATGGTTTGATCTTAAATTTGATGATTTCCCTCCCATGACAGGATTATTGATCAGAAACCAAGGTTCCCGTCAACGCAATAACACCTTGTAATCGATGCTGTAAAATCCCTTGGCCCGCACGGAAAACACGTATGGGTGTCCAGGTTTGTGAAAAAGGATGCAGGCTCGGACTGGCCATAAGGCCAATATGCCAATGGCAGATACGCCACCTTGGCACGCCGAAAACGTGCCCCTCTTACAGATAGTAAAATAAGAAGAGAAAAAAAATTACGACCAAGAATATATGCAAAAAAGTTCTTAAATGAACGGAAGAAGAGAGAGTTAGCAGTAAAGAAAGGTGCCTTTACGCATACTAGTGGTGAGCAGAGGTTCAAGAACTACTTTCTGAAGCTTAAACACTTTTCTGTGAAATGCTCACCTTTTTTTCGACATACAGGCGCTTTATCATCCCCCTCCTTTATTCGCTATGTGTAATTCCCTTAGAAATGATGGTCGGTTCGATTTTTAGACACACGCACCCTTTATAGGCCTCTTGAGAGACCTTCAAACATATTTTTTCCTTTTCAAAATGACTATTGATTTGGACATACCACAGCATATCTCGGGCAAACTTAACCTTAATTTATCTCGAAATTAAAAAATAAGAGACATCTAAAGTGTAAACGCGATACAACTATTTACGCAAGACGGATGTCCACATTGCATATGGAAAATGTAAGATGCGATGGCGTGAGTCGTGAACTCGCAATGCTCTGCTCTATGCTACTAGTTTGAAGCACCATTACGAATGAGACAAACAGAACAATAACACAATATGGAAATAGAGGGAGGGAAAGGGTGCGCGTTTTCGACGGCGCAGAGATACAACTATTCGTACTTGATAGACGTCCGTGCTGCATCTGAAAAATTGAAGGCGCGATGGAACGAAGCGTGAGCTCTCAATGCTCTGCTATATGCTGTCAATGAGGTGTCGCTTAGATTCGGGAGAATAGTTAAAGTAGAGGCCCAAAAACATCTCTCCTACCTTCGGCTGTGTTACTCGCGTAGTGCTTGAAGCACCATTACGAATAAGACAAACGGAAACAAACACAATATGGAAATAGAGGGAGGGGAAGGGTGCGCGTTTACGACGGCGCAGAGATACAGCTATACATCTTTTACCCAATTTTCCTAAGAATTTTCTTCGATATTTGATCTAAAGTGTCTGAAAATTTCAATGAAAAATGTTAGTGACATTCTAACGAAATGAATAACTTTCTGAACGGAAATTTGGTAACATTTGAGAGTTCATACGGCGTTTTTCCTTAACGCGGCAGGGCTGTAGTATCTTTGTTTCGTCGGTCATCATGCGTTCTGTATTTGTATTTTTTTACGTGCTTTAACCAATATATTGTTGCTGAATAAATAACTAAAATGGCAGGTTTTTAATATCAGTGCATAGGGTGATGAAGTTATCGATATTAAATTTTGCTTTTTTAGTCATCGTTCACCAACTATATCTTGATTATCAAAATTTCCATATCATAATGGTGTTGTTAAACCAAACATTTAAATTATCTTGCGCTCTGTTGGCAGATGGCGTCTTCGACGGAAAAGAAATCCGAAAACATCCCAAACGGCAAAGTAGAGACCGGAGCACACACGAAGAACTCAACCTCTCCACTCAAAAACCAAAGCTCACCCGATAAAGGCCGAACTTCGCCGGACAAGGGCCGAACCTCGCCAGACAAGGGCCGGACCTCGCCAGACAAAGGCCGGACCTCGCCGACGAAAGGCGGAACCTCTCCGCAAAAAGACGGCGGCGGCCCTCCTCCGAAGAACCAACCGCCTGAAAAAGGCCGTACCTCGCCGACCAAAGGCCAGCCTCTGCAGCCGAAAAACGGCGACCGGGGGAACGCGCAGAAAAGCACGAGTCCGACCAAAGAAACGGCCAAAAACGAAAAGAGGCCCGAGGGAGCCAAGAAAAGCGAACCTGGCCGACCCGGCAGGGACAAGTCTCAGGGACCAAAAGCCACCAAAACGGGACCAACCAAAGAACCCTCGGCTGCTTTCAAGTAAGTTTTCACTGTTTTCAGATCATAATCAATAGCATTTCGATGGTCTAAGTGCAAAACACGTATCTCCAATTGAGAATTTGCCTGTGTTTGCGTGTTTCAGTAGAAGCCACTAAGTGAACTGAACACGAGGATGGCTCATAAATTAAACAATTATTTTAGGAGATATGACAAAATGATCTAATTTGCTAAAATACATATACGGGTATTTAGATAAGAAATGTCGCTAGATGACGTCACTCTTTGTTTCCTCACTTTTGAATCCATTTTCGTGCTAGTTTCCATGTCAGAAAAAAAAGCATAAAAAATACTGCGAAATCAGCTGCTCAAGCACTCTCAAGTAATACAAAATCCGTGTTCGAATTCTCCATCGGACGCATTCAAGGAGGAACTGTATCCACTCTGACAAGAGCCACAAGATTCATTCGAATACATACATGGCAGGACTCATGTCACAATGGATATAGTTCTTTTTGATTTGTGAGTCCATTTCTGACGACGCGTTAACGTAGACTCGCTGTAGAAATTAAATAAAAAACATGCACTGGAAAAAAAAACACATTGGATCTAGAGTCCAGACTCTTTAATAACATCGACAAGAAAAAATACTCTTGATTTAATCACATTTAAGCTTAAATAAAGAGCCAAGCCTCTTAATTTGAGCGGATTTCCATTTGATTTAAGCTTAAATCTGATTGAATCAAGAGTCCTTTTTCTTATTAATGTTTTCAAGAGTCTGGACTCTAGATCCAATGTGTTTTTTTTTTCCAGTGTGCAGAATTAGATGAAGGAATCGAGGGTTTAATGAGTTTTTTGGTCTTTGTAGGACGGGTTTCTTATCCCAACCACGTGATGCGTGTTTGATATTTTTAAACAACTTTACAGCCGCCTAAGATTGCATGAACTGCAAATATTTCACGGAAGTTTCCAACGTAAGTTTCATTCGTTTTATGCGACTTGCATCACTCTGGCCTCAATTATGAGCTCCACTTCTTTTCCAAATATCGATTCAACGACAATTTCTAACAGACTAGGATGAAGTGAGTCCGATTGGACACGAAAAGCCGTTTTTGCAATAAAAATCCAAATTTATACTTGAAAAAGTACGGATTTATTGTACTGCGAGAGGGCTTCGCCCCTGACCGTTTCGCGGTTCAACTCACTCCCACAGGCGCCTCGCGCTTCCGCTCCGACGTTATGCGTTACGCTTTACACGTTACTTTATGATTTTATTTTTTAGATTAAGATTTGGTTTTCTTTCTGTAGGTTGTATTTCCCGTCCCTGAAATAAATGTTTTTTATCTTCAAGTTTCTAAGTTTCGTAAAATTGCATGAAATATTGTACGAAATTTCCAATCTTTCATGAGTATCTTTTTTTTTCACGACATGCCACTTAACCCTTGTAACAATAGACGTCTTTTTACAGGGAGAAATTTGCACTATTCTCAAAATTCGGGGACACGAAATCTGATGGAAAGTTGATCACACTTTCTCAAAGCGACAAATGGATGAAACAAGCCAAAGTAGTCGATGGAAAGAAGATCACGACGACCGATACTGCAATCCATTTCAAGAAACTAAAGTAAGTGCTCTAGTCTAAAATGTTTAGAGTAAGTTTGAAATGAGCAAGCGCCATCAATAATTATTACCGTAGGCAAGCAAGATGCAGGGACTTTGTTTATTAAAGTTTAGTAGGTTATCGCGGATGTTATCAGCTTCCGAGACGATATTTTTCCCTCTTTTAATTTGTTTTATTGATGAGAAAAATTGAGAATTCTCCGTGTAATCAGTGGTAAGCGAGAATGACTTGGTACATCAGGATCCGTCGAGAAAGCGGATTCAAAAAAGCCACACAAGCGTCCAAAGTTTCATCATTGCAGATTGTGGTGTCAGAATAAAATCAATTTGAGTTCACATATTAACCGGTGCACTTAAAATAATCCGCAACTCATTGATAAACACTTGTATTTGATTATTTTATTCAGGAAATGCGAGTTGGACGTATGCTGATAGGAGGTATATGGAAATTAATTAAATGGAAAGGAACTGTATACAAAAAAATTACGTGATTCATTGGTTCTTCTGATCTAATTTATTTTCCCATTGTTCCTTTCAGCTTAAAGTCGTCCGGGAGGTTGATAATTAAAATTAATAGACAACGTACCTAATAGATGAAGAAGGCAAAGAGAAGATGAAGCGATCCAATCGGTAAAAGCGAGTGGTTACAATAGACAAAGGAGAGAAGTAATAGACGTGGCGTTAGTCTATTACTTCTCTCTCGGCAACCATGGCAACCCACGAGAAATTTTGTGGTTAGTTCATCATTCTCCTCCTTTAACTATAACTGCTACCGTTTCAACCAATAGGATCGTTTCAGTTTCCCTATGCTCTCTCAATTTGTAGCTTTGTCTATTAATTTCAATAGTTAGCCTTGAGTTGGCAAAACGACGCAAATCTACGACGATCACCACTAGGTATGTAATTGTACTAACCACTTTTTTGTTTTCCGCCAGGTCGATGAAAGTCTCACTGAAGGATTACAACCAGTTCATAGAGGACCTGGCCAAGACGAAGGGAGTCGAGGCAGACGAAATTCGAAATAAACTGGCCGATTGCGGGGCACCCGCCGTCGGTGGAGCAGGGGTAGGTGACCCTTTCACGACAGTTTGACCAGCTAGCTGATTATTGTAATTGATCAACAAAATTATTAAGGACAAATGGAGTGATCGCATTGGTTGAAGCGGGTGGTTTTACAGACGAAGGAGGAAAATATTGGAATAACTATGGGGATCTATCGTTGTTTACCTTTAGTTAGTCCTCTAAGAATGCGCTTCCTGGCTGCTTCGCGGCACAACCCCAGAGAGCGCAAAAAGTCTTCTGAGGCCCGCATTTCCCCTCACATTCCCTCTTTTCCGCTTTTCCTATCGAGAGCTCCGAAAATCATGAAATCTGTAGGTAGATTTTTGGAGCGCCGTGACCAAAAATGAATATTTACATATTTTAAATGGAGGAATTCTCCACTTTATCACGTAATAGAAAGAAATCTAGGTTATATTTCGAAAATGTAAGTAAGATTAGCCCATTTGGACACCAACACTTTATCCGACAGCCGCAAAAATCATGGAAATCGTCCAAGCACAACTGTAGAACGAACTGTGGCAACAAATGAAAATCTAGGGGGTCAGAGAACTTATGGCGCTAATTATTGTAACCACCCACCTCCACCGATATAGGAATGTTCTATTTTCTTTTTGTCCTCTCTGTCTACTGCTTGGTCTGTCAATTTCAATAATTAGCCTGCAGTTGGACTAACGCATACGGCTTGGGATTTTTCGATTGAAACTTCTTCTCGGAGGCCTAGGATAAATCGGACCTCGTTAAACAGAAAGGAACCAAGTCATATCAGTTATTGCTATTTAATCGGGCAATTTAATTTTTTACGTGAAAACGGTCGTCCTGATTTTTGTGCAATTTTCAGTGAATTTTCTGCACAGCACAAAGCAAATTTTCTTAAAATTTTCACAAGAGTCCGCGCAAACGTTCTCTGGTAAAAAATTAAATTGCCCAGTTGAAGGCAATAACTGATGTGGCTTGGCACCGTCCTGCTAAACGCGGTCCAATTGGACCGCGTCTTGCAATAAGGAATCGTTATTTCTTGCTTTTTATATAAATGACGTATGTACAATTTGATTCTCCGAGCAGATAAGTGCTTTTTGGATGAGCCAAAAATAGTAGCTCATCAATATTATAAAATGCTTCAATAGATAAGCAACTCTTATTTCTCCAGGCTATGCTTCTGATTGATGTTTACTTTTTTCTCTTCGATTTTCAGGCCGAGAATAAAAAGGTTGAGGCAACCGTGAATCGATTAACCGATGTTTCAAAATACACCGGATCGCACAAACAACGTTTCGATGAAAGCGGGAAAGGAAAAGGGATCGCAGGCCGAAAAGATGTCCCGGACTCCTCTGGCTACGTCCACGGATACCAAAACAAAAATTCGTACAACAAAACGCATTAGCCCCTCCTTGGCTCTTAATGCTTAAATTTGTAACATATATGATCTCTCGAATCTAGATAATTTTTGTTATTTTTACTGTTCTCAGACTTTTTTCGTACTTGTGATTTACACTTGTATCACTCTCACTTCTAAGTGTTGAGAAGTCATACGCGAAAACTAATCGATGCTGAAACTAATTAAGTGGGGATTCTCTTTATGCAACGCTGGATTTCGTCCATTCAGATGCGTGTTCAAGAAATCGATAGCTTTGGCCTGACTGTTGAGATACCAATTTCCTTTGTGGTGTTTCAAATTCTCTATTCCTATTGATTTTAGTATCAAATTTATAGAGAATAGTCTTGAAGGACTTCAGAAAAATCACGACAAATTTTGTGCGAGAACGGTGATTGGCAGTCATTTTTGAGTGTGAAAAAAAAAAATAAAAAAATAAATAAATAAACGAAAAACTTGTGGAGTCCTGAACCACGTTGTTTTGTAGCTCAGCGGTCTCTTTAATAAAATCGATAGACCAAGCGATCGTCAAAGAAGACAAAAAGGAATGGGTGTGCCGCGGATTGCCCTTACGTGGTCTATTAATTGGCCGTATCTCTGCAAAACGGAACTATGTGCATTAAGACATGAGCCCTGAAACCTATAAGAATACATGCGTAATAGGGCTCACGACATAATGCACGTAGTTCCGTTTGACAGAAATACGTCCAATTACCTCCTTGGTCCATTGCAACTGCCCGCCTCCACCGATTGATCGCTCCGTTTCCCCCTGTATTCTTTGTCTATCACTTTGTCTATCAATTTCAATAATTAGACCACTGAGCTACAAAACCGCGTGATCTAAGACTTGTTAGTTGTTCTTTTTTATTTTTTTGCCAGGCTTCACAGTCTAAACTGATCACCGTTTTTTCTCAAAATGCGTAATTTGTTTAATTCTTTTAAGAAGATACTCTCAAAATTCCGAACGAAAGTGCAAATTAATATTCTATCGAAATAGAATTGGAAATTTTGAAAAATCCCAATAGAGCTTGGTACTTCCGTATTCTCGCCGTGTCGTTACCTACGTTTTTCTATTCCGTTTTCGTTCTCTTTTAAAATCCGACCAAAACAATATCAATTTTTGCAAGCTGGCAACGATGGGTTGCATCCAATTTTTTCAGTAAAACAATCGATGTTGATTGGGAGATTAGATAGAGAGATAGAATCGATTATATATACTGAATCAAACGGAGGAAAAACATTGTTATCAATTGGTAAACACCGCCACAGGACCAAATTATGAAATAATGAAAGCCGTGATAAGAGAATCTTTCATACATCCCTTTAGATGCACCTCGTAATTGAAAGTTTTGATATTTAATTTGGACCCAGAAAGTACACAGAGTATCTTGAAAATATTCGTATTGCTTCCCTGACACGTACTAATGTTGGTTTTTGTTATTCATTGTCTATTATCTGTTGTTCTACCATCAGTAACCCTGTCTTTCAGTTGATTCTATTTTTGTAAACCATTTCACAACACTATTTAATTGAAGTAGAATTTATTTTTATCATTGTTATATCCAAGATTATTTCGCAACAAGATTTACACGTGTGGCCTTCAGCCGATAGACTCGTATCAACAAAGGACATATCATTTGATAGAACTTGACTCAACACATTTTCCCATTAAATTATATATTAAAACTAAAGAAAGGTTTGGTAATATATGCTGTCGCTCGATTGAAAGAGGACTCTGCATAGTTCGGTTTGCACAACCGAATGTGCATGCGCTTCGCTGGACAGAATTTCGGTTAAGGAATCGATTTTTCTTAATGTATGCTTTCACTTTCAATGAATGAACTATTTGGTGATATGGTTTCGAATATGAAGTACACAATGTGTCCAACACAAATATACAACGAGCGGGTTAAACGCCAATATTGAGGAATCGTTTAATCTGCGCGGCGATATGAAGCCGAGGAGCCCTATTACCGAGATGACGTTAAAAGCTCCTTCAATTCGAAGCGCAGCAACAATCATTGCAATAGAGACACTGTCTTGCAGGATCTCCATACATCATACATGTGCATTTGTCTTGAAGGCCTCGTGTTCATTAAAGACTTCGGAATTATTTTCTCCGTCAAGAAAATTTATAAAATTTTAAAATAGAAATTTTGCATAAATGTCCGTGTTTGGTCTTATACCAATTATTTTCCCCCAAAAAGTTGAATTGTAAATTCCGAGAAAAATTACAATGCTTTTAGTTCCATTTTGCAAAATGCTGTCCGATCATAAAACGAATAATCTACGATTGTAAGTATTAGCGTATTTAGTAGGTCATTATCATATCTCTTACTATAACAGCCTTAAAGTGATTCCAGGACTTTGAGGATCATACGTGTAAATCTTGTTTTTCATGATAGTATATTTTGAACAAAACGTACCTACCGCTGCATGTCCTTGGTGTATAATTTTAAGTTTTTCCCCTAAAATAGATTCTGATGCATTTAAAATCTATTCTTAAATTTTTTCTTTCCTTATTTTGGCTTAGTATACGCCTCGGCTTCAGTTGGCTCATAGAGTGAAATTCAGTTAAGGTGTATCGTAATGTATAGGCAAATTCGCGCATACGTGTAGTTGACGGGGTAAAGTTTGTTTAATGATTTTTGTAAATATACAGAAATCAATCATCGTTCTGATTATCTTCGTGAATGTAAATTTTACAAATATAATCTGGTAAATGTTTCATGTGTGAACTATTTTTTTATTTACTACTGAACAGCTGCTGTGTTTCATACAGGCTAAAAAATTACCCTAAAAACTATTGTTAGAAAACCTCCACACTTAAGTCCATTAAGAATTAATTTGGCACTCATAACATGAGAGGAGTACTTTTAGGGCAATGCAAATCAGGAATTTCCTCCCTAAATCTCTAGAATGGTCACAATTTTTTAATAGGTTTATGCCCTTAATTTCTTCAGTTTCACTGTCGAAAATCATTCACCGTTTACTTCAAATGTTCTTTCTAGTCCATTTGGATATGTCATATGCACAATTATTACACGTTACTGAAACAAGGTCATCATAGTTATAATTAAGAAGCATTTCCTTTTGGGACAACAAAGATCCTATCTAATACTGCAATAGGCCCAGCTAAAATCCACAGCAATCAAATACCATCTCAAGGCAATCAAAATGATTCCATGTGCGTGTTTCAGAGGATCTTTTGTTGTTTGAGGGAAATTTGTATTGACAGCGATTTTCTAGGAAGCTTCGCTGCTCTGAGAGAAAAGTTCTTATTTTATTTCTTTTTATTGGTAGATATTACCATTGTAAATGCGTATGTCATGATTCAATTTGAACAATTTTTTCACAATGATCATTAAGGAACATTTTTATCATGCACTTATGATTTGCAGTATTTGCTAGCCCCTAAATTAAAGGAAGTCATAACGCATGAAGTCCACACTTTACGATTGTATTGTAACAGACCACTTCTCATTGAAACCATGAAATTATATATTTAGGAAAAATCGAAGCATTTAATGATGTATCATCAGCTTTTATTAAAGAAATACTTTTTTTTGTTACGTAATTATTGAGTCCATTCCTTTTCTTGCATCTGTTCCATCCTTTAACGCTTGAGTTTCAGCAAGAATGTGAACTTGTGGAGGCTCATTTTGAAGAGTATGATAATAATTATACCCAAACATAAATGAGAGAGAAGTTACTCCACCGTGGTTTTGCCTTTTAAGTACCCGAAGGGCTTTCAAAAATCCAAGTGCAACTTTGTACAAGTGGGTTTATATTTTGTCAACGCACACCCACTCATTAATTGCCGCAGCGGAGGGCCGCGTTGAATTTCTGCGAGGTGCACAACTTCCCGTAAGAAACAAAAACCCATCCAAAATGGAGTTCACCCAAGTTTTGCTGCGAACGGCAGAATTTGTCACGTGGCAAATTTTTTGTCCCATTTTACTTTTTTACAGAATGTCGCATCATCTTATTTGCACAAAATTTTATTCGGTTTCCTTCATTCGGTTGCCAAAATCTTGAAAATGTTGCCTTGGAATGTCAAACAGTAGCTCTTGAAAAAATAAAATATGATGAAACACTTTCAGCTACTGGAATCGAGATCCATGGTTTGGTAATTTCGCCATCAATGTCCTGCTCCTCTACCAATCGAGGCGTTCAACCAAGAATTGAAGGTCAGGAGCTGAAAGTCCGACTCATGGAAATGAAATAAAAACACGCTAATATGGAAGAAAAATCTAATTGTTCCTCGAAAGCAAAAATTCTTCCTCCTTCGTTTTCTCGTTTTCAGCGTTGTGTAGTATTTTCTCGTCGATCTCTTTTAAATCTAACTCTGAAACTTTGCTTGCGCCACCTGGAAAATACAGTAAATTAAAATTAGATGATATAATAAAGGCGAAATCTTCTTGTTCGTGTTATTTATGACAATGATTTTTTTTTCTTTTTTTGTCGTCAAATTTTTAGGGGGAGTTTTTTAAGATTGAGCCGAGGTGGCTACCGCCACCTAGAATAGATTGTGCATAAAACATTCCATTTTTTTACTTTCAAAAATTTTAAATTGATAAATCTATGAATTTTGTACAATATTTAGTTTTCTAAACCAAGAGAATAATTACATAACCAGACACGACGCTTCATGAGTTCATTTTTCAGAGAGGTTGCTCTCAAAACGACGTATATGATGAAAGCTTCAATTAGGCATGAAGTTTTTTTGAAGTGAATCTTTTTCACTTGATTTTCAAAATTTTTATTATTTTGAATTATTATCTAATGGATTGGAGACTAGCGTTTGTTAACAATTTTCTTGGGTACATTGATAGTTTGCCTTAATTCATATCTGTAGTGACTGAAACTAATAGCTTGTGTAAACATATACATGTACCTAAACTTACCTAACAATTTCTCCATCACTTCAGTCTTGTCTCGACAAATTTTTAAATGTTTATTCATTTTCAAGCCAAACCTTTCTACTTTTCTGTGGACATTGATAAAGATCAAATCTTGACCCCGCTTTTGAAAGTCCTCAGCGAGTTGGAAAAGCCCCTAGAAAAAAGGAAAGCAACGTTGAAACAAATCATCAATGGCTACCGTTGTTTGGGCAATGTATCCTTATTTGGGATTTGCACCATTATTACTCATAAAAATCACTTGTGAATTTACTTATGCAACGTGATCCAAAAATCCCGCACCAACAGAAAAAGGTACCACCTCTGTAACTATTGAACAAATGTAGACGTTCAATGAAAAAAAAAATTGAAGAGTTGAGGAAATTTAGGGTAGATAGATTTGAAACCTTCCGAGCTCTCCTAAAAGTTTAAAAAGGCCACCCTGAAAATAGGCAAGAAACATTGGAGTTATACTGCCGTGCTAAGGAAGAACTCCGTAAGAACATGCGAGAGTTGCCAAATTTCCTTCGATAAAATGTTTATTTTTTAGGAAAGTTATGAATATTTTTCCTTTAAATTTTCAGAATCTTTCGGTAAAATTTCGAACTAAACTATCTGAAAAATTGGGAGGAAAATATTCATAAATTAACCAGGACGTTTTATCAAAGGAAATTTGGCAATGCCTGAAGTTTCATACGGCGTTTTTCCTTAGCACGGCAGTATAGAGGTGGTACAGGACTTTTGGATCACCCTGTATGGATAGTGAAAGCACAGAAGCCTGCATTTTGGTTTGCGGTATAGCAAGGGAGAGGTATCGGTAAGGGCCGTTTTCTGGCTTCACCCTGAATTTCCTTAACTTTTCGACTTTTCGCTCGATGAAGGTCCACATTTTATTGCATTCATCATAATTTGACCATTATCGGTCCTGTTTTGAGTCTAATACGGGCCTAAACATGGGTCTTAAGGCTGACCTCAGCGAAGAACGGGAGGTTTGCTGGTTTGGGATCGAATACTGATAAATCCACATTTTTCGCCAAAATCGGCCCGCAGACCCATGGTAAGGTCACTTTTAGACCTAGAAAGAGATCGAGCATGACCAAATCATGGTATGCATTCCGTAAAATGGGTAATTTTACGGACCTTCAATGGGCAAAAGATCGTAGAATTGAGGAAATTCAGCGGTGGGCCCAAAAACGACCTTTAGCGATACTCCCTCTTTCTAGTCACACTGGAAAAAAGCACATTGGATCTAGAGTCCAGACTCTTAAAGACATCAACAAGAAAAAGTACTCTTGATTCAATCAGGATCTAGCTTAAATCAAGACTCTTAATTTAAGCGAATTTTGTTTTGATTCAAGCAAAAATCCGATTGAATCAAGAGTATTTTTTCTTGTCTATGCATGTTTTCAAGAGACTGGACTCTAGATCCAATGTGTTTTTTTTCCAGTGCATATTTTAATTTTTTACTAAATGACTGAAAGGCTTTACATACATGTTTCCCTTGCTCTCCTTAGAATTTTCTTTGAGAATTTCGTGGAAAAGAAGGTCCAGCAATTTTTTAATGAGAGATACATGAGGAATAGCTTACCCTTGCAGCGGTGTAGTCTATACTTTTAAAGTTGACACAGTCAAAGATGACAGGCCGGCGGAGATCATGCGAAAGAGCCACTTCGTTGACCGTCGAGCACACGTGGTCCACGGCCGGGAAGAAGAAGCCCAGTTTAGGCGTCACCAGGATGTACGAATGCGTGGCATCCTGCAAAACAGCCAGATTCTTATTCAAATAAAACAGTACTCTCTCCAGGGCCGGATTTACCTACTTGCCGCCCATGGGCCGCCTGTATTTTGCCGCCCCTTTCTCATTATTCGTTTTGAAACATCAATAAAAACCATCAAGTGAACGTGCTGGAGGGGGAGGGGTGCATAAGACACGTTTACCTACTCGTGTTGGATACATTTTTTGCGAAAGCCGTGTCAACACTACTAACAAAATTTCACGGAACTTTGCGCGAAAGTTAAGTTCCGTAAACCTATCTCTATGTAGACAAGGTCCTCCATTTATAAGAGATGAACCAAAAAATTATGAAAGAACAAACATAAATGAGGTTTAATAATTTTAACTTCCACTACTGAGCCACGACGCTGATCGCACTGTGATTGGCGCAATGCGTGAAGTATTCCTGCAGTCTTGTAGGCGCTATACGTTTCACGCCAATCGCTCCTGACCGCACTGTGTTTGGCGCAATGGGTGAAGTATTCGTGAAGTCTTGTAGGTGCTAATATGTGTTACATGCCGATCGCCGCGCCGAGAGCTCCTCTTTTTCATCTCAAGTCCTCGTCATTATCCCTCTCTGCGTTGAGCTCCAGGCCAAATTGCGTGTTTAGTTCCTCTCTTCACTCTACTAATTAAATATGCTATTTCTTGTATCACCGAAAAACCGAAAATAAACCGAAATTAGAAATTACTATACTCTCAGGAAAGAGAGATTTCGTCCCCTTTTCTCCGCGGATGATTTTTTTCCTGAATCCGATTTTTTTATACCTACATTTAAAAAAATTGCAAAATTTGCCGCCCCCTACATTTGTCGCCATGGGCCGCGGCCCATGTGGCAACCCCCTTAATCTGGCCCTGACTCTCTCGCTATAACGAATCGGCAAGGGACCGAACGATTTTTCGTTCTAGAGAGATTTTCGTTATAACGAGTGTCGCTCAACGAAAATACGGAGGCGTGCGGAAATAGGTGAAAATTCCGAGGGGAAATTGACATAACGGAAAAAAACGAGGCATAGAGCAATAAAACAATGAAACTTAAACTCACATGTTCATGAAAAGGTGAAGTATTTTGTTATTTGCGTTTGCCTCTTGAATACAGAGAAGTGGACGTCCTTGATTTCGTTTTTCAATTTGGATAAAGGTTTCATTTTCCAAACTTCGGTATTATACATGTAAAACTTTGAATTTAGTATTAATAGTTCCACTTTTTTTTTTTGTTTTTTTCGTCGGAATAAATCAAATGCAAACCCAGCCAGGGACGGACTGGCCGGGGTGGCGATGGGGCGATCGCCCCACTTTCATCGGCCAAAAGGGGCCCCGGAGGGGCCCCTTTTGGCCGATTTGAAGGGCCGTATTTCGCCGTTTCGAAGAAGCGCCCGAGGGCTTTTTCGGTTCGTCCTCGAGAAAGGGCCCCGAGACTCCTGAGAGGACAGGACACTTTATTGCCGATTCGGAGAGCGCCCTGAAGGAGCTTTTTTATGCCGTATCTAAGGGCGTTGCATTTTGAGAGCCCTTTTTTCTGATTCGAATAAGTCCAAAGGGGTCCTTTTTTGTCATTTCGGAAGAGCCCTGAAGGACTCATTTATTGCCGATTCGAAGAAGACTCGATGGAGCCTTTTTTTGCCGCTTCTAAGGACCTTAAAAGAGCCCCTTTATCTGATTCGAAGGAGTCCTTTTTTGCCGTTTCCAAGGGACCATTTATTGCCGATTTGAAGAGGCCTTGATGCGGTTTTATACCGCCTCTAAGGACCTTCAAGGCACCGGGCTCTTTATCGCCGATTCGACAAAAGGGTCCTTTTTGCCGGGGGCCCTTTGGTACTGATTCAGAGAGGCCTCGAGGGCGCATTTCTATGCAATTTTGAACTTTGGAGGCCCCTAGTAGGGAACCTTTCCTACCTTCCTCAAGGGATTTCGTAGGGGCCTTCGGCGATTTTTCCCCCCTTTAGCGAAATCCATAATGGGGGCTGTCCATATAATACGTAACGCAGTTTTTCCGATTTTTTTACCCCCATCCCCCCTCCGTAACGCATCGTAACGCAAGCTCGAACCATCCCCCCCCTCAAAAAAAATGAATAAATACGTAACACAAGCCTCGCCCCTCCCCCCTATTTTGGTCAGTTTTTTAAATTAACAAGGAAAAAAAGGTCTTACGGCAAAAAAGAGTTACGTAACGTTGGGCTTGACCCCCCTCCTCCCCCGTTAATACGTTACGTATTGTATGGGCAGCCCCAATGACTTTTTTCTAATTCAAAAATTCCCGCGACATAAGGCCTCTTTTGACACATTTAAGACGCGCGTGCGAGTCGATTCCTTCAAATACCATAGGGCTACTTCACTCACTCACAAGGCTCGAGGCTTGTCTGGATCGCGAATGCCGCCGGCGCCACACAGTTGTCATTAGTGTATGGCTCGATATTACAAGACCGGTAAAGTGTGAAAAACCAATGGGAAAGTGAACAATCCGAGCGTCAAGACTTTTTCGTAAAACTGTGTTTCTATTTCCAGTTTAATTAACACAATAATTTTCAAAGTGTCAGATTTTTGTCAATTTTTTGTTTGTATTTTTATTTTCATTCTTATTTTTATTTCGATGGCTAAATTCTGAAAACACGTACCTCGGAATCCGCATCATTAACTCATGAACCCTGAGACTCATAAGGATACACGCAAAACATGAGCATCCTTACGAGTCTCAGGGTTCATGATGCGGATTCCGAGTTACGTGTTTTCAGAATTTAACCATCGATTTATTCATTCATTACGCGTCATTTAACTAGTAAACGGCACTGATTTTTCGATGAGCAGAGCGAAGAAAGGATCCAATAAAACGTTCAAAAAAAATTAAGACAGTTGTCAATTTTGGCGGCTAAAAAGTACATTTAAAAAAAAACAAACGAACAAAAAAATCCGAACTGTGTTTTTCAGAATGTGTTCTTTTTAGACTGTCACTATTACTATTCTACTTGATTCTACATATGTATCTTCTGTATACTAATTTAGCTTTGGCACAATTTTTCGTTGGAAGAGGAAAATAAAAGTTGAATTCCAAGTATACAACGGATTCTCATTTTTTCATCCAGTTTAAGAAAATATACTAAGTTTTGCATTTCTGGTCTCTTTTTGGATAATGTTTCAAAAATAATATTAAAGAATAGGGTCTAAAATAGCGTAAAATTCATTCTAAAAGGGCCTAATTTTCAAAATTTTCCGGGGGAGGGCCCCCGGACCCCCCTTCTACTGGGGGGCCCCCCAGACCCCCCTAGGGGCCCGCCCCATACTTAATTTAGGGCCAGTCCGCCCCTGAACCCAGCATCAAAGCATCCTGGATATTATAAATGAGGGGCTTGGAGGCGCATAAGTGCAGTTTCTGCTTTCTCGAGAAACACGTGTTTGAATTTTCGAAATTGCATGGATTCTCATGGCGGAGCGAAAGTTCAAACTGACTTTTCGATGCTTAAAAGTTGGAATTGTGGAGCGAAGTTTTCACAGAATATGCATGAAGATTAGTTTTATTTGAAATCATTAATAGCTCAATGTTTTCAAAAACTGCACTTATGCGCCTTGTCCTCCAAGCCTCTAATGTGCTTGGTCATCCCTTGAAGCTGTCACGACTCCCCAAGCATGTATATCGACGGTGTAAGTCGGCAATCACATAACTCGTTTGCGGTGTCTGAAAATCTCCCCCTGTAAGTTATTTTTTTAAAAGAGGACAAACTGACGTCAATTCTTGACGTTTTTGCAGAATTTTCTTCGCACAGAGAAGAAAAATCACGGCAGTTTTAAAGAATTGCCGTTGAGTAGTTTTCCGTTTAAAAAAAAAAGTATGACAGGAAGTCTGCGACGTCGCAAACCGAGTTATGTGATTGCCGACTTACTCCGTCGATATGCTGTTTATGTAATGTTCGTGGAAATTTGGAAAAACTAAGGTTTTGTTCAGTTATAATTATTTTACGTCAAGAAGCACGATTCTTACACGTGCTTCACATCTTTCGTTAAGTGTCTTGTATGTATCTCACGTGTTTATACTTACGTCTTGTATATCAATGACGAGATCAGGGCGAGCCCACAAATATATGAGACGGCAGATGTCGCATGCAACCCCTATGAGTAGCCCTTTCTCAACACCAACGACCAAACAAAATGAGAATGTCACTAGGAACGTGAACAGATCCATTTCTGAAACAGTCCCAAAAATTGAAATTTTATCAATGTCGTTTCCTCATTAACGTGATGAACTCACATCGGGAATGAATACTTTTTCTTCTTCTTTTTTTTCTTCCATATATCTTGTTGGTTTCTTAAAAAGTGGAATGGGGCTGGACAGCTGCCCCACCCGAAATTAGAAGAAGTGCAATTGTGTAAAGTTAGGTGCAATTAGACAGTTAAAGCTAGTGTCAAATGGATCTTAAAATTAGAATTCTTATTCTAATTTTGTTGATAATCGGTTTTTATATGGTTCTTTATTCCCAAATTTTTGATTATTTGATAAATTAATCAATTTCTGGTGCGGTTGGTACCCCCCGCATCATCCTCTCGGATATTACATCGGTAGAAAATGAATAACATTAGGCTACTCAAATTTTACCATTTCCTCTCAGATAAAACATTGCAATCCGCAGGAAAGCGATGACTATTCCCTCTCTATGATGTTCATTTTGACTTGATTAAATTTATTTTTGAATGATTCAAAAAGAGAAAATTTACAACTTTTCCAGGAAATTAGGATTTTATTGAGTATTGAGTATTAGGAGTATTGAATACTCTTACAAGTAAATTACCAACTCACTGTTTGTTTTCCAGAATAGAGAGACTAGATGAACTTCGACCAGGAACATGCAAGCTACTATGAGGACGGCTGCTAAAATAGGCCGAGGAATGTATTGGAAAAATGGAGAGAGGAAGTAAATTCCTAACAGCACGGTTACACCTAGAAGGAAAATTGTTGTGAAAAATAAATGAAAATCTGGACTTTACAACTTGAATTGCAATCATTTTGGACAATAATACTAAATCAACGGCGAACCTATTTTGTTTGCGGTGTTTTAAAATCTCTGCTCCCATTTTGTTTTCTTAAGGAGGGATAAATCGGCAGCATTCCTCGAAGATTTCACAGGATTTTCTTAACTCAGAAAAGAAAAATCACGGAAGTTTCTAAGAATTGACGTCGAGTGGTTTTCCATTTGAGAAATGGAAATGGAGCCTACATCATAAAAAAGACCTCTTATCAAGGAGTGCTATTCTTTGCTGCAGTGAATCTAATTATTCTCAGCAAGTTTTAAGTTAGTTTCGTCTAAACTGAAAAATTCCCTAAAATATTCATCCCCAATTACATTAGAAAACTCATCAGTTGCTGTGATCTTATTTCACACCAGTTTACCGCGTTTTGACGTTGAAGAATTTGAGTGTCTCATGTTTGAAGAAGTGCCGATTTACTCGCGAGCTTTTAAGGGAGCGCCCTCTTCGACGTACCTGTGAAAAAGTTGGCTAGAGGGGTTCGAACCCCGCTGGAGCTCCCAACTCCACTCCGAGTATACGCGCCTGAAGTCGGCATGGCCCCGAAGCACGAGTTGGCAATATTGCAAAGGCCCACCACAAAAATCTCATGAGTTGGTCCTAAACTCGTCGCACTAGCTGAAACAATATGAAAGAAATATTGAAACATACATATGTTTAATTGTTTCAACGGAGATGTTGCATGTGTGAGGAATTTGCGGTTTGACTATTATTTCTCACGTAAAAATTGGCGAGAAACACGATGGTGCCACTAGTTTTCCCTGAAATCAAATCTCAAGCTCAAAAAAAGCTCTCAAAGTTGAGGGCAAAATGGAGGGGATATCCCACGCTATCCTGAGAGTCCACCTCTACATTAAAACAAACTCTCCATGCAAAGATAGGGAGCAAATACGTTAGCAGGGTTGCCGTGTTTTCAGTTTTAGATTCCCCAAATTAAGTGGCAGCCCTGTCAATGTATTTGCTCCCTATCTTCGCATTGAAAGTTTGTCTTGATGTAGAGGTGGACTCACAGAATAGCGTGGGATATCCCCTCCATTTTGGCCTCAACTTGAGAGCATTTTTTGAGCTTGGGAGTTGATTTCAGAGAAAACCAGTGGCACCATCGTGTTTCTCGCGAACTTTTACAAAAGAATCAGTAGTAAAATCGCAAATTCCTCACACATGCAACATCTCTATTGTTTCAATTAGGCACTACGGATATCCATCAAAATTCTTGGGCAACAGTTAGGAACTTTCAGTAATTTTCTTTGCACACATCGTGTGCTACATAAAATGATGTTAAGAACACATGTATCAAAAGGTTAAAATTTGCATCTCGTCTAGAGGTCCATAAAGCGCTAATAATTGAAGGGCCCCTAAAGGTCTGGATACACGATCAAATTGCGAACCAACTCTGATCAAAGTACGCCTGATGATGATTGATGGTCACCATGCAACACTCATCTTTGATCAAAATTGAACTAGCCGTCAAATGTTGATCAGGATGGAGTGCCACCATTCATCATTTCCTGCCACACGATACATTTCTGCCAAGTTTTCATTTTATAACTAAGCACAGTAACGATTTAAGATCGATGACTCCCGACACTTCGATGGTACTTGGTTCGGGAATTCGATCGTGTATCGAGACCTTTAAAATGATTCAAAATTGCAGAGAGATTATTGAGAACTTGCTTTCATAAACAATTTGCAAAAAAATTCGGGGTTCCCAGCTTGGAGGCTTCCAGGACTTTATGTCCACCTACCTTTCGTCCATTAAATAAATGTTCACCGCTATTTATGTCCACTAAACGTTAAGTCCAGTCTTTATTAAGTCCACATGATTTAATGTCCAACCATGAATATGTCCAAAATTGTCCAAATTGTGGACATGTTATGTCCAAATTTTTTTCTTCTCATCATGAGTGGCGGTAGCCACATCCGGGCAAGTAACCTATCCTCCAACAATTGGCAACACAGCACAGCCCGATCGAGGCAACGACACCATAGTTACAGGTAACTTGCTTATTTGGGTTTTTAGTTGCGAGTTCAAAAGCTTTTCAAAGCAACGGAGCGACGGATTTCAGAAATTTTGGTGTCTAAAGATGCGTCTCGGTCCCGTCTAACGAACTGTTGAGTTTCAAGGAGGTTGATGATTTATTAAAAGAAATAATTACGCATATGTGCCTAAAATAGCGAAAAGTATCCACTTTGACCATTTTCACTTTCAGACAAAGCTATGGAGAATACGAGACATCGGAGCCCTATATAATGTTATATCAAAAGAATTGTCATGTTCTCGTGTAGTGCGCGTTTAAGTTTCATTAATAACCAAGGCATCCTAAGAAAAATATTGCGTCTAAACGGCTTTTCGGGTGCAATGGGCGACCCGACCTGCTGACGTTTATCATTGAATTTCTCGCTTACACTATTCTGGAATGAAATTATGGTTATTTCGAGGGAACATCCTGAAGTTATGAGGATTCTAAAAATTATATATGAGTAGGGGTTTACTTTTACCGTTTAGGCTGTAGCTTTGATTATGTCCCAAAAATCGTAAAACCCGAATTTACTAACACATACACACGGTAGAGTGACAATGTTAGTGCTCTCTGCAGTCAGCATCTCACCAGCGGAACAACAAAACAAACCACGAATGTTAGGTTAGTTCCTGTTTCACAGAGCAACAAAAACGATCGAGACAATACGGAATCATTTGGTTTCAATCATTTCAATCCATTTACGACTTCAACAATGTTTGTGACAAGCATTATCATCGTATTTTACAACCTGGAGCAGAAGTTTATCGCCTCATCGTGAAGTGAATTCTGAATATCCAATCTTAGAACTCAAAACCTCACCATTCTACTCTCTCATTGTTCTCTCTTCATTTTTGGTTCAAATCAAGTGATTTAAAGTCGCTTCACTAAAATTATGAGACCCTGAATCCATTTAAGAGCGTGAAGCTCACATTTTTCTGGCATTACAGCCTTTTTACTCCTCAAGTTCTACGGATATGAGTCCATTTCGCTCAAGGTTTTTCTGAGCTCTGAGCGATACCAAGTGTTTATACATTTAAGATAAGTGAGGTTTGTCTTTTGGTTCTTCTTTTAGCAGTTTTAAAGTAAATTAGGTATTACAGTACCTTCGTCCAGTTTTGTTTCCTTGTTTAATGTTTATTAAGAGTCTTTCTACGTTAACACTCAAGGACATACATACTTACGCTCAGGTACCAATACCATTGTTTTTCTCTCACGTCAGGATGTACCTTTAAGCATGCTAATTTACTAAAGAAACTCCTCCAGTGATAAATAATTTTAAGCTTTATTACGAAGTAAAAACCTCTGTGTGGTGTCGCTAAATTTCTCAGATAAGTCTCAGTTTAGACACGTAGAACAGACGTTCACTTTTGTCCGTTACGTTCCCTGCTCTTATAGCTTCACATCTTACTTTGATCTCTGATTCATCGATTAATGGCACTTTTAGTTCCATTCATCATCAATCAGTTCAAAGCTATCTCAACGATGAATCATCAAACGTCATATCAAGGAAGAAATTTTCTGCTGAAAGCTATGCGACGGAATTGACAGTGCAACTCAACTTACGAAAGCATGAACCAGGACATAAGAATCTGTCTCTAAGTGAACATTTTTTTCAACTCATCAGGCAGTTTAGCAGGTAAGAAATCTACAGTTGATTAATTAAGGATTACCAGATTACATGCACACTGGTTTTCCAACATTTACGGTAGATAGGGATATTTTTATTGATAATGATTAATGACGAAACGAATATATCAATACCATGGCCAAACTGGGAAACTACTTACCGCAATCCACAAAGTTCATCCTCAAAGACTTTCAGTCTTTTCATTTCTCTGCTGATAAATAATTCAACATAATTTCTGAAAATCGTGTAATTAATGACTTCGATGCGCAGAAAATTCTTTTCTGGGATTTTAAGCGTAGTGGTCACTAACTTTTCCCTGATTTTGGAATGTCCTCTTTTGACATTAGGTGTCTCAGATAAAAATTCTTTTCACAAAAATTTCAAGTTTTTACTTGACTTAATTTTAAGTGTTTAGTCTCTTTAAACTGAAAAGTCCAATTTTTTTACTGGGAGAAGGAATTTCAATGCTCCGCAGCAAAACTACCTGACATATTTTCACAGTGAGGAGGGCTTAATTTCCTAACTTTTACAGAACCTGTCACCCTGTCTATCCCTCAGAAATTCAGTGAACCAGATGAGATTCAATGAGGGTCGTTGATAACTTTACCACTAAATTAATACCGCTTAAAGGATTTTGGAGGGAGCAATTTTACCCACTAACATTGTTGTCTAACAGGGTTTATTCATCAGAGCCCTGAATTGAGGAACCAAGAGAAAATAATTTGTTTTCATTTACTCCTCAAAGATGATACTATGACCATGATGCAGGTCAGTACCTATGAGAACTATATAGATCTCATAAAATTTCAGTAAACCTTGTCGCTGGGGGAAAGATCTAATACATACTGAAGATAATCATCGAATAATGTACTCTCCTAAATAAAGACAAAAATTACAATGAAAATGTTCATTATTTGATGAAAAATAAAGTACAAAAATTTTCAGAGTCTCAGAGGACACCAAGAATGCCAAAAAATCTTAAAATAATTTCCTTTCACAAACAAAAATAAAAATGACACTGAACATTTTTAGCAGGGCTTCTTGATCATCAGAGAACAAAAATTTTGAGAGCTTGACACTTTTAATCCTTACAATTTTTAGATTGTAACACTAATGAGGTCTGGGAAGCTGTTGAATGCCCTGATTTCCAAACTTCTATTACTCAAGCAGCTGCACACATTTCTTTGAATTTCAATTCCATGGTAAAATTATTTCTATTGCATTGTAGTGTTGAGAATGTTGCCTATTTACTCATTGAAGGAACAATTTTTAGAGCAATTAATTTGAAATAAGTACCTACCGTTGTTGCAATTTATCATTGAATTTCTTCGTATTTCTTTTCTTTCTTCTTTTTCTTTTTTTGGGATTCTACAATTGTATTTCTTTTCAGGGATATCTACAGTTGTGTAGATTTTGATTTTTAAAACTCATCTCTTTTTAAAACTAAGAGAGCGTTGAAATAATTATCACTTACCATGTATAACTTTCTGCAAAATTTGCCTCAGTTGATGCTCTCACAAGTTCAGTTGTAAAGTCAATTCAGCCATAGCTTTCCGAAGAAAATTTCTTCTTCGATCTAACAATTAATGATTAATCGTCGAAATAGCTTTGAACTGATTAATTAAAAATGACAGTCAAGGGTGTAAAAAAATAAGACGGATCCGAGAAACTTTGCTACACAGCAAGGAGATATCCACTTCATAGCTATAAGCATTAAATGGATTACATTTTGCAATTAGGAGCCACTATTTCTGGTCCATTTTAGAAACAGAATACATGCTATTGGTTTCCCTATGCAGATATGTGCTTCTATGGGAGAGCCAGAGGTAATGGTTCCTTATTGTAAAATGTAATCCAATTCCTTCACAAGTGCGGGACTTCATTTGGTAAAATAACAGTTTTCTTGCAAAAATGAGATGATATAAACTCCAAAAAACCCAAAAACTTGGGTAAAGAGACTCCGGGCAAGTCACCATCCTCTTGCCAAAAACCTCCAAAAGCTCTTCTTCGTTCCCCTCTCCGGGGGAAAAAAAATATCACTTTACGACAGCTTCCTAACAAAATGTCCAGGAGGTTACAGACAGGCTGCTAGCCCCTCATCGGACCAAAACGCACACCGTAGGTACCATTTTTTCCTTGTATGTGCCTTCAAAGTACATGAAATGACTCCTTGAGGGGCGGGCAAGTTTTATTGAAATTCACGTTGTCTTCTGAAAATGAGCTAAAATTTTTTCCTTGAAGAAGAAGAAAATCGAGTTATCATTGTTTTCCATACACGGTAGGTATGCCTATAAGAGGCACGAGGAACGCCTTCCAAAATTATTGATGCAACCCGCACGACTCCGAAGTCAGCGGGAACTTTCTTGCAGCGTCTCCTAAGATTTTCCCCCACGCAATAATCCCCTTCAAAAATGAATGATGCAACAAGCGCGTCCTGTATGACCGCGAAAGCTCCTCAGATGAGTAGTCTTTTGATCTGGTCAGAAAAATATTCAAACTTTATTTTTCGTCTTCTCCTCTCATTTCCCGCATTGACAGAGGCGAAATTTTTTGGAAAGCATGACGCGCCCGGCAACAATGCGTAAAAAAAGTGCGAATAGAATGTGGCCTTCCACTATGAATGATCGTTAAGGAATACTTGTACAACAAAGTCGGTACTGTTTCTTTGAAAGTCCATGAAGCCTTCTCGTAGTGATTGACTTTTTCTATTCTGATCCCGTACTATCAGTTCGGTAATTGGCCTCATTCTGAGTGAGTTCGAACATCTGCTCCTAAATCTTTTTCAGCAGTGTGACAAAATGAAAATTTGGACGAACATGAAAACGAGTCGCACCTAGCCCAGTGAAGGACGATCTTTTTCATTCCATCATAAACGATGCTAAGAGCGACTGCAGATGTGCTCAATTGAATGTTTCAGATTCTTCAGTGGATTTACAAGTTGGCAGAAATGCAAAAAGTAATTTCTCAGATTTATTGGAGGATTTGAAACTTCAAAAATACTGCGAGATGTAGACGCAAATTGCAGTGTCCAGCCTACAGGTTGACCTACAGGTTGATCCTCAGTGAGAGCATTGTTGCCGGGCGCGTCATGCTTTCCAAAAAATTTCGCCTCTGTCAATGCGGGAAATGAGAGGAGAAGACGAAAAATAAAGTTTGAATATTTTTCTGACCAGATCAAAAGACTACTCATCTGAGGAGCTTTCGCGGTCATACAGGACGCGCTTGTTGCATCATTCATTTTTGAAGGGGATTATTGCGTGGGGGAAAATCTTAGGAGACGCTGCAAGAAAGTTCCCGCTGACTTCGGAGTCGTGCGGGTTGCATCAATAATTTTGGAAGGCGTTCCTCGTGCCTCTTATAGGCATACCTACCGTGTATGGAAAACAATGATAACTCGATTTTCTTCTTCTTCAAGGAAAAAATTTTAGCTCATTTTCAGAAGACAACGTGAATTTCAATAAAACTTGCCCGCCCCTCAAGGAGTCATTTCATGTACTTTGAAGGCACATACAAGGAAAAAATGGTACCTACGGTGTGCGTTTTGGTCCGATGAGGGGCTAGCAGCCTGTCTGTAACCTCCTGGACATTTTGTTAGGAAGCTGTCGTAAAGTGATATTTTTTTTCCCCCGGAGAGGGGAACGAAGAAGAGCTTTTGGAGGTTTTTGGCAAGAGGATGGTGACTTGCCCGGAGTCTCTTTACCCAAGTTTTTGGGTTTTTTGGAGTTTTTTAAATGACAGGAACCACCTCAAAAATAAATGCATACTACTACTACCTTCACTCTTAAAAACAGTTCATTCATAAATCAAGTCACGAAAGAAAACAGACTCTAAGAGCAGATAAAAACATATATTCATGAGTACAGTGTACGGATATGATAAGATGAAAACCAAAGCGGGAGCCTAGGAAACGCTCCAATGCCAAATTAAACATTTTTCAGTAACAGATGCAGTCAAAATTGGACTGCATTTTGCAATTTGGACCTATAAATTCTGGCTCATCTGAAAAAACACTTATGTGCATAGGGAAACTAAAGGTACATACGTTGTTTTAAAACAGGGCCGGAATTTATAGGTCCAAATTGCAAAATGCAGTCCAATTGAAAGTCCTCTTCGACTAGTTATTTCGTGCGTCTTCAATCTTGTAGGATACTGTGCAACGCCTCTGACGCGAAATAGTTGCTTAAAGCGTTGCGGCGCGGCAGGCAATCAGCGTGACCCGCGCACAGGCGCCTACAAACCTAACGGGATACTTCACGCGTTGCGCAATGCGTGAAGTATCCCGTTAGGTTTGTAGGCGCCAGTGCGCGTTCTGCGCTGCTAACACGCCGCTCCGCTCTGTGTTAGGCTCTAATATTTAAACTCGCGGAGTCAGCGTTTTTCAACTCATGATTTGAAAATGTTTGCACTCTCTGCGTTGATTATTCCCTTTTAAACTGATGAAAAAGAAATATGTACTACTGGAAAATATAATGTGTTTTTTGTAAATATAATAGTGGTTCCGTGTCAAATTCAATGATTTCCAAAGCATTCAAATTTATTGTTTTATGTTTTGGGCTTTTACTGTGCTGCAGCGTGGTGTAAGCGCAACTAAACGCTCAAAATTGGACGTATTTGGCCCAAGAAGGTCGATGTACAAATAAGTTAAAAACAAAAAATTGCGCGCTTCTTAGTTTCTTTCCTCTTTTATTAATTTTTGTATAGTTTCTTTCATCGCAACTACGGCTCATTGAGATTCATATCGATGCCATTGCATGGAAAAGGTTTTACAAATATTTACCACGTTTTAAAAATGTAAATGTTTTTAAAATGAAGTAATCAATTTCATTTAAAAAAAAAAAAGAATGCACATTTAAGGCATATTTTACATCGGAAATTTTAAGTATAGAAATGAAACCAAGTATTTACCAAAGACAATTTGAAAAGTAATAGGTAAGTGATAAGTAATGGACTTAACAATAGTGTGGGCTTTAGAACTGTGGACGTAAAAATTGTGAACGAAAAGTCTGTGGACGTAAAAATGTGGACATAAAGTCCGTGTACCGCTTAGAGAATTGGAGATGAAAATTCACCAAGACGGTGTTTTGGAATGACGGCTCTTTGTTAAGTCGAGTTCAATACATACGTAGCTGCTTATGATCATTCAGAAAACGCATTTGGAGAGTAAAGTACTCTCTAGCACTGGAGAGTAAAGTACTAAAGTAACGCTTTAACAGTTAGTTCTTTCTCACCGTAAGCGTTTGCGATGGAGAGATTGATGAGGACTGTAACAATAGGAATGATGATGATCCCAGTTCCAAGATCCTCCACCATCTCGGTGAAACCAATGGTTTTGTTGTGCATCGTCGTAGAAAAAGGTGGAAGTGTGAGACTAGGAATACCGCTCTTCATTTGCCCTGAAATTAAGGAAGAAAATCGATGAATAAGAGCGAAACCATGTACATAGGGTGTCCCAAAAGTACTGCCCCTTTTTCCGCAGAGGGCGAAAGAATGCAGATATCAAAATGCGGTTTGTGTGAGGTTATAGTCCTAGTAATTACCTATAAAACAAGACCAAGTTGAGCTCTGTAGCTTAAAATTTGACCGAGGTATAGCATTTTGAAAATGACGTGTCAAGGTGCCGCCTACGAGATTTTCAACATTTTTTACGAAAGAAAAAACCAAGTTTAAGAATGAAACGGTTTTAAAAAGAAGAAGAAGCGGCCAGAAACATATGGCAACACTGTGTTTTAGGCGGCATTTGGCAACGTGTAAGCGCCCCTATGCAGACCAACGACAGGATTGAAAGTGTCCGCTAGTGCCATCCAAGTTGGTCAAGCTTTCCCGGCACGTCAATCTGAGTTCATCCCTCTGTCGTTTTGGAAGTTTCTTTCGCGATGAGTACCGAATTAAGAAAAGAACAACACCACGTTATTCGTTATTGTTTTCGTCGAGGAATGTCAGTAAAAAACACTTTTAATGAAATGAAAGGCGTGTATAAAGACGACTGTTTGGACAGAAGTAGCATTGGTCGTTGGTTTAAATCTTTTTCTGGCGGCCGCGAATCGGCGGAAAGTCCCGCGAATCCGGGCCGACCGTCTACCTGCACCACAGACGAATTAATCGGTACCGTTGCTGCTATTGTTCGAGGAGACCGTCATTTATCCTTGCGTAAGTTTCAGGTGTTGCTTGACATCTCAAAAAGTTCATTGCACCGGATCTTAAAGGACCACCTGCAGATGCGTCGTGTCTATTCGTCCTAGGGTTCGTCCGTAAAAAATGTTGAAAATCTCGTAGGCGGCACCTTGACACGTCATTTTCAAAATGCTGTATCTCGGTCAAATTTTAAGCTACAGAGCTCAACTTGGTCTTGTTTTATAGGTAATTACTAGGACTATAACCTCACACAAACCGCATTTTGATATCTGCATTCTTTCGCCCTCTGCGGAAAAAGGGGCAGTACTTTTGGGACACCCTATGTATGTATCCGTTTTCGACATTGCAGATTTCCTGTCATTCTTTATTATTATACGTTTTGAAAAACTAGTCAGCGTAACTTCATGAAAACCTGAGAGAATATCCTATGCATATAAATATAAAGCGATTGAGGTTGCTCGCCTCTCTGCCAAATAATGAAAAAGAGCGGAAATTTCGAAACGTCGAAATGAAGATACGTGGTTTCGCACTCTGGTCATCGAAATATATCTTTTACGAGGGGGTTATGCCCCCTGGCCGTTACGCGGCCCAACCCCTATAGAGGACGCTTCGCGCTCTCTTTGGCCCGCTTCGACAAAAAGAACGACAAAAAAAATGAGTGATTTTCATACCCGACTCTCATTTGGACAGTTTCCCTATGGCCGGGAGCGCGATAGGACCAATAAGAATCGCATGAAAAAAATCGTCTTTTATTTCAAACTTGACGCCAAGACTTAAACGAAACGGGACGAACGGAACGGAGCGTTTCGTCACTTTTGGATATATGGACGTATTTCTGCCAAACGAAATCATGTGCATTAAGACATGAGCCCTGAGACTCATAAGAATATATGCACGAAAAGGCTCGCATCATAATGCACATAGGTCCGTTTGGCAGAAATACGTCCATATAGTCTGTAGCAAAGGAGCGTACCTTCGATTCACTATCTTTACCCTACTGACAGATCAAGTTTCAGCATTTTCCGCTTTATTCAATTTTCCGCTAAATCTGAAATTCCATCCATTTTTCCGTGGCAGGAATTTCAAATTTTACCCCCTTCTCGAAGAACCCTGATCTACTCTTTTATAAAAAAAACCTGGGTACTATTTCCAGAATTTGATTACAGCGAGCTCATCTAGAGACCTGTCGATGACCGCAAATATCATGGCAATAGAACGCTCAAACGAACTGTGACATAAAATAAAAATTTAAATTGTTTAAATGGGAGAATTCGCAACTCTACCACGTTATATAAACAAAATCTGGGTCATATTTTCAAAATTCGAATATAGCGGGCTCGTCTAGAGATAATTGCTTATCGATAACCGCAAAATCACAAAACTCGGCCCAGTAGAATGTTGCAACTAAGCATTATCAGATATGCAAATTTAGGAGGTCTCAGAGCTTATAGTATAGACTGATTTATCAAGTTATAAATTTGGAAAAGACCAGTGATGGCAGCACTGTTGCTACTAAACTGTTCAGGTTTATATGTTGCTTCCTAGTGGTATCGACTTTACGTTTAATAGATATTTCAAAAGTACAGCTAACACAGTTAGGAATCCAGTATTGATGCTACTTGATTTTCTGGGGATCATATACACCCTTTGATGGCCTAGTATCCTTCACTAGGTTTTTTTTTTCATCCGTATGTTTAAACAACATGCACACAAATTGCTGCGACGCAGTCTTTATTTAGGTACTTAATTGACCTCAACAAAATAAGTTACTCTGAGATGGCTTCAAGGTTTATCGTAAAGGGGCGTTGACATGTTTGATATAAACTGACCAAATGCAACCAAAATTTTCCCCGCCATAATTTTCTATAGACCGTCACATGACTTTAATCCGCAAATGTTCTCAGAATCTTTTGCTGTCTTTTCTGCAACATTGTCCAACGACAAGCTAGGTTCGCAACGCGGTGAAAAGTATAGTTCGAGTGCAAGTGTTACCACATTACGTGCGATACTTGTTTTGAGTTCGCCTTCAAAAATCTCGATAGGTAAAATAAGCGACTTTGGAGCCCTAATAGTTGCTTGAAGTTAGTTTGTCATGTTTCCTAGGATCATTTTTCATTGACAAGTAGAATTGTCCCATAAGTATTAATCATGTAAATTTAATTTCAATCAGTTCGCCGTCAAAACCTGATTTGGGAAGCCCCCTCAGTCAATAGAACGTATTTATGCTAAATGGAACTATGTGCAAGTTCTTTTTAGCATAAATACGTCCAATTACAACTAGCACAACCACCCGTTTGAACCAATAGGATCGCTCCATGTTTTCGCCATATCCATCTCGCTACGTCTTCTTTGACTATGGCTTTGTCTATAAATTCCAATAATCAGCCCGTAGAGCTTTTTAAAAAGTCACCATGTTATAGGTTCCATCGCCAACCATCTATCCTTAAATGTATGGATCGAATTCGCACGATATTTCTCAATTTACCTGATAAAAGGAAAGGTGCTGATCCATGGCTTGTTGCAAAATAATAGCTAAGCATCGTAAAGAGGACCACAATGATTGCATTCTTGCTGACGGAAATAAACCAGAAAACCTTTGTGAGTGTAGATTTCTTTGACTCCTCGCCTTTCTCGGAACAACGGACATCCTTCAACGACTGGGGGAAAAAATCGCATAATAAGTCTCGGACACTGCTACTGCAGAAAGTATAAGTGCGATTGCTAAAAATAGATCGGAAGCAATTAGCACGAATGCACGAAGGCAAACCCGCAGTTCTTGAGCAAATTTTCGTGGAGCAAGTTTGGCAAATTAATACCTGTCTGACTAATAATACCTCAATAGACAGCGTTGAGTGAGGAGACGTTGTTTACTTTTCGGCATGAGCTCTCATTCATTTTAAAATTAACAGTCAACGAGGTTCATGCCGAAATTTAAACAAAAGTCTTTCACTTCAAGACGTCCCTATGACTTCGAGGCATTGTGCGGGTGGAAAAAACCATTGCATCTAGACGAGCCAGCTGATACAGAGATTGGTTTGTCTGTAAAAATTTTGCATGTTAAATCAACGAGGCTGACTGGTTTGAGAGCTGATTTTCGGGGCTGAATGATTTTTCGTAAAAATCTCATTCGGTTTTGCTAATTTATAAGCTTAAACTATCAAAATATGATACTGTCACCAGCGAATATTGAACACACGTGTCCTTACACACGCAACATCTCCATTTATAGTTCCAAATTGCAAAATTCAGTCCGATAAAGTGAAAAATATAATGATTTTTACCCTGAGGAGGAGCAGTAAGAAACATCCGGCTATTCCGACGACGGTGTCGGCCGGTCTGATTTGCGGCGCCATTTCGTAGAGTTTGAAAAAGTTGTCAAAGAAATTTCTGGCTCTGTATTTGATGCCGAGAATGCTTTTGAGTTGAGCGACGATGATGATTAGGGCGGTGGCGGAGGAGAAGCCGGAGAAGGCAGGGCTGGAAATGAGTTCAACCATAAATCCTGTTGATCACGTTCAAAAGTTGGGAATATAAAACGACACATTCGGATGAAAACATGTCAATGAGTCAAATCCTCCTTCCTCGGACGGAGGAACGTAACCATAGAGCCAGTTGAAAAAGTGCCCCTTTTCCAAGGGAGCTCAGGGATTCCGTTGAAATGTGGCATAAACCCAAGTAGCATGTTACAAAGTTTCAGTCACAAAAATGTACCAACACACTCATAAAGTTGAGATAACACGCGCGAAAAAAAAAAGTTTTAGGGGTAATCCCCTAAAATTGTGGTACTACCACTATTTGTTGGATGATGCGGACATTTCTAATCAATTGTGGTAGAACCGCAACTCAAGTCAGGGTAGTACCGTAACATTTAGGTTTGTAACTTAATTTTTTGGGGTACGATCACGATTAATTCGTGTAGAACCACAATTAATTGGAAATGTCCATATGACACAACAAACTCGTGCTTTTTTTTATCCGTGAGGATTGCAATTTCGGACAACACTGGGTAGTTTACATTTTTATCATCGAAAAATGTTAAAATTTTGAAGTTTTATCGTTGAAAAACAATTTTAATTGATATATTTTTGTTTTTTAGGCACTGTATTGTCAGTTGATGTTGTTTTAAACTTTCTAACTCTGTTTTGCCATTCAAATAATGGATTGTCTCATCGTAAAGTTCTGTTCACACACCACTATCAACAAAATCTCTTAAACCCCCCAAAATAAGTTCAAAAAGACACTTTTTGGCAGGCTCTTTCAGCGTTGCGAAATTTAAACTGGAGAATTGTATTTTTACTAGAGGAGACTGTGAAAAATTTCTACCTGAAAATGTCACTGATTTTGCTTATGATATTCTATAAAAATTAGCAAGAAATTGGGTAGAAATTGCAAAGTGTTATTATAAGCAAAACGTAGAATTTTTCTCGTCAATTTTGCAAACTTGGAATTCGGTTACGTCCCTTCGTCCGAAAAACGACGAAATGTACCCCTGGCGCACGATATGCTTAAGAAGACTTGAGGAACTTAAGGACTTAAGAAACTTTTCTGTAAATAAGGCCGGGAGGCCTCAGTTGATGGTTGATTTGACTTACGTTGTTTTTGGTTTTCTCGCAAGTGAGTTTGAACTCACCGATTCTGATGTTAGGAATCAATAAACATCTCTTCTCATTTAGGAGCTGACAAAAATGTTCAAGCTATTCGACGTGTTTATAAGTGGCATAATGAGGAAATCGTTTTCAGGGTGCGATGATTATTCTTAACCTGTCTTGTCGTCATCCAATGAACTGATTTCTTTCACTCGGTTATGCGTAGCATGCATACTTTATTGCAATTTTGCACGACCTGCTTTGTAAACTATATGTCATCAGTCATAAACTTTAAGCCAGTGCTGGACGAGCTAAATAAGTGTATGCTAGTACATTAAAGTTTCACCCGTGTGTTTTTTTTTTTCATATTTCGGAACAAAGATAGACTCATTTTGTTGATCGTCGCAAATTTCTGCGCGAATTGAATTAAATTTTACCTAGATGAAGAATGCTAATTAATATCTCCACGATGCCGGCCATAAATGTCAGGAGTAAAGCGTGGTCGTCAGTGAGATCCCTTGTAAATTCTGCGGTAAATAAAGCCATCAGAGATGAAGGACCGATGAAAATCTCCCTTATCGATCCAAACATCATGTATACGAAGACCCCAGCAAAGGTGGAATTCACACCGACCTGCAGAAAATGTCAGAATATGGTTAAATATTATAATATTCCATGATTTGACGCCTTCCTAACGACTGCATGAACAAGGTGTTTTCTTTTTACTTCTTTTCATGTACCTAGAGATCTGATTTATGGCACCTACACTGAAAAAGAAGTTCCGGCTGTGAAAGCTGTAACTACGGGTGATATAGATGACCGTCCGTTTTGGGTTTGGAGACTGAAAGTTCCGAGTATTGCAGCCGTTGCTCCAGCCAATAAACCAAGGAGCAATTGAAATTACGGCTTCAGTACCCGGAACTTTTGGTCTATGAGCCCGGAGCGGACAGGGTAAGCCGGTAATGACGACTTTCAAATAAGGGACTTCTTTTTCAGTGTGATTAAACTTCAGTCACAGTTTCTATAAAAATTAGAGATCGCTTAATCCCATGCCCATCTAACAACAGAATGGTCGCAAATCTTTGTAAATGTATGAATTTTTGTACCAAAATATCCCTACTACATTGCCTATTTCTATGAATACAACCAATAACCAAAACAGACCAATGACGCAGAAAAATTACTAAATTTTTCAGTTTATTTCAGAGACACGTGCTCAGGGCCGGATTTACTTACTTGCCGCCATGGGCCGCCTGTATTTTGCCGCCCCCCTCTCATTCATTTTGAAACATCAATAAAAACCATCAAATGAACATGCCGGAGGGGGAGGGGTGCATAAGACACGTTTACTCGTGTTGGACACATTTTTTGCGAAAGCCCTGTCAACACTACTAGTAAAAGTTCACGGAACCTGTGCGCGAAAGTTAAGTTCCGTAAACCTATCTCTGTATGGACAAAGCCCTCCATTTATAAGAAATGAACAAAAAAAATTATGAAAGCACAAACATAAATGTATAGTTTAATGATTTAAACTTCCGCCGTCACGCCGCGCTGACTGCACTGTGTTTGGCGCAATGCGTAAAGTATTCTTACAGTCTTGTATGCGCTATGCGTTTCACGCCAACCGCTATGCTGCTGCACGGAGTGCCCGCACTGTGTTTGGCGCAATGCGTGAAGTATTCTTACAGTCTTGCAGGCGCTATCCGTCTCACGCCGCCCGTTGCTGACCGCAGCGACTGCGCTGTCTTTGACGTAGTGCGTGAAGTATTCATGCAGCCTTGTAGGCGCTAATATGTCTTACATGCCGACCGCCGCGCCGAGGGTTTCTCCATTTCATCTCAAGTTCTCGTCATCATTGCTCTCTGCGCCGCGCCGTTCCAGGCCAAATTCCTTGTTCGGTTTCTCTCTTAGTCTTAACTCGACTATTTAAAGGTGCTGTCTATTGTATCACAGAAAGACGACAAAATTAGAGATATACTCTCAGGAAATGAGAGATTTTGTCACCTTTCCTCGTTTGTGTCTTTTTTTCTGAATCCGATTTTTCCTTATAGCTACATTTTAAAAAAAAATTCAAAATTTGCCGCCCCCTAAATTTGCCGCCATGAGCCGCGGCCGTGTGTGTGGCCACCCCCTAAATCCGGCCCTTACGTGCTATCACCCCGACTGTTCAAATAAGCGCGCGTATAAACATACCCATTTGATGGAATGTTTTCTCCCATCATGTTTATTGTTCGGTTCAATATTTAATTTTCCTCAGGATTCAGTTCTGCTGTATGCATGTGAACTTAGCTGTTACCTGAGGGTTAAGCTCTGCTAAGGCTGCGTATGCTATGCTCTGCGGGAGCATGGTGAGTCCGACGGTGAAACCTGCGATGCTGTCTCCTATGGCGTCCGTCGCTTTGTAGTTCATCAGAGTGCTGATCACCGGAACATGCGCTTTTATTGCGTCCGTCCATCCTGGATCTTGCTGTTTCTTTTCGGATCCTGTTACCGGAACTTTAGACACTGAAATAATAAGAAAGAATGATCGTTAGATGTATCGCATTTTTTCCAGTATCCCATCGTTCCACAGACAAAGGAATGAACGCCATTCCAAGGTTACATGATGGACTCAATTTAACTTTTCACAAGAACGTGATTGTCCACTAGATCTCTTTCAAGCGTCCCGGATTTACAATTTATTTACATTTTATCATGCTAAAATTCGCGAGAATCACGATTGTGGATCTCTAAAACAAACTCTTAAGCAAAAAAAAAAATAAAAAAAAATAAAAAAAAGCCGCAATGAAGGGGATCCTTTACACCACGCTGAGAGCACCCCTAAACCCAGTATAATTCTCTTAGCATAGATGTAGGGAGCCACCATTGCGTTTCCTGCAAATCGTTTCCGAAAGAATGAGCACCTTGATCGCAAATCGTCGACACATGTAAGAGCTCCATTCCCTGCACAAATATTGTTGATATTTTAATGTAGATACTGAAATTTCCAGTATGAGAAATGCCGGACAGTTTTCCGGTAAAAAGACGATTTTCGTTGGAACATTTTTTAACGTGAATTCTTGAAATCTTCGATTAATTTAATTGAGGAATTGCAATTTTTTCTTCTGTAGCTTGTTTAACCTCGAAACTAGATTTTATTACCCTTCAGAGCAATCTCAACCTCTGAAATTGAGGTAGCAATTGAACCGTAAAAATAATATTGAAAGTGGAGGAAAAACAGGTGATCGGTACACTCAAAAGAAAGTATGGGAAGAGTGACTTACCGGCCGAGTTTTGGATCATTAAGCCGTGCTTATAGGTTCACGACCAATAAGGTATGGTTCAGAAAGCCATAGGTACAGTAGACGGTAAGTCACTTTGGTTAGAAATTATGGATCTCCGAGCCATTTTTTATGGGTCTCAGAGTCATACCTTTTTTTTGAGTGTACCAGAGTTAATTCAAAAGTTTTTTTCTGGAATAGAGGCGTCCAGCGCAGCATTTCAAGGCATTTTAAAATGTAGGTAAACGTCAAAGAACCGTAAACATATAGCATCGTATAATATTTATGTCAGGACCCTGTCCAAATCTTATCTTAGCTTGAAGTAATTTTACTTTTATTTGTTTTCGTTATGAAACTCTCTCAAAAATTTCCGTTTGGTAACACTACGAAATGAAAAAGGGGAAAAGCTGAGAATATTGTTCACGAGGCAAGATTAGAGGAAACTCATTCTACATTTTTCGATTTATGAATGGACTTTCTCTTGACTATGATGCCACAATGTCACAATGAGTGCTGCGTATATTTTATTCGTATCTAATGTCCCTGTAGATTTTTCAAGAATTTAAGAAGCAATTGAATGATATATGTTTAACATGCTTTTTTGCCATGTTTGCAGTGTTGAAGATGTTTTTCAGCCCAATCAAGGAGATAAGTTCATTACAAGTGTCAAGAAAAGTAAGTTGTGGATAATTGATAAATATTATATGACATGTGTATTAGTGAGTGGTGGCCATTTAGAATATTATTGATACTTAGTCTAAGAGTTTGTACTTGTTCGCATTTTTTGCAACATTGAGGCATTTTGGTAATAATGTTATGAGGGTGTAAAATATTTTGGCTTTGGGAAAAATTTGTCTTTTCTTCTTGATAGATATGTTGGCTCGAATTTTTGCTGATTTGAGGCCTCGGCCATTTGGCCAACCAGTATTTTTATTTTCTCATAATTTCTAAGTTATATTCAGTGACGTTTGTTGGCACGAACTGATTTTATTGTTAAACTTTTTTTTGAAGTGTTCATTTCTTTTTATCTTATAAAGACTAATTTTTAATGGTCTTTTATTTGGGAATAGAAGGGCTGTTGAAAAACGACAATTACCTACAGCTGTAGGTTTTTCTCCTTGTTAATCGAGTCTTTCATTATTCGCGCATTAATGTTGGTGTCGTCAAATGAGGTTTTCATTAACTCCTCTTGTGCCGTATGTGGAAAAGGAATTTACTTTCTCTTGTTCGGTAAAAAAATTGCGGCAGGTCGGGTTCGTCAGTTTTACTGAGTTAACAACTGGAGTGATATATGTTTAACTTTAAAAGACTATAGCAAATGTTTCGAGCAGGCAAATTCCTGCCTGAAACAGATTGGCTCAATAACTTTTCAAATGTTTAAAACAGATCACTAAACCTCATCCAAACTGTTTGATTTAAAAGATTTTAAATCTTAGACATCTCGAGTGACTTTTACTCGTGAAGTCATATGCGTTCATTAAAAACCACAATGTGCAATAACTCTCAATCACTCAATTATCAGCCTCTTCAATGGCCTATAGATGAGAAGTGTCATCCGCATGAAGCATCAGCTCGCCTAACACTTCTCTAAAAATAAAGAAAAATTAAGGAGGCATTACAAAATGAACAATGAATAGCTTCTATTGAGGAGAACCCTTTTCCTTATGACTCAAGTGCTCCTCATGATCAAATCGATAGTCTCTACTATTGTTATAACCACTTGACTAGCCTTAAATAGGTAAAATATTCATCAGCGGTTGACAGAGCAAATTACGCACGCTAGATAAGACGTCAATTGAGGTGTATTTAGTGCAGAATTACCCACGAAACGTGAAAGTTAAGTAATTAAAATAATTAAAGAAATCACCGTGTGCTTATTGTTAGCCGAAGAAAAACTAAAATATCAGAATCATAGGTTACATTTTGGCAAAGTTTGCAACAAAGAATAAAGCACATGGATAGTCAATCACATAACTCGGTTTGCGACATTGCAGACTTCTTGTCATACTTTATTTTTTAAACGGAAAACCACTCAACGGCACTTCTTTAGAACTGCCGTATCATCGTGAAATGGTACGTTCACTCGGATTATACATAAAAAAATTGCTTATTACTGGAAGGGAATAGGTGACTTTAAAGCGATGTCAATTCGCCTTCAACTTTTAATGTAGGCAACACAAGCTCCCACGTGGTCAAATAGTGGTATCGCCGTGAAATGGTACGCTTACTTATACATACAAAAAATAGGTTTTTACTGGGCTGGAAGAGGTGACTATTACGCGATATCAGTTCGCCTTCAACGTTTAATGTAGGCAACACAAGCTCCCACGTGGTCGAATAGTGGTATCGTGCACGCAGACGCGGAAAGTGACTTTAACGCTTCATTAGCTCTCTTGCGATCATGGTTTCAACTGCATCCACTGTATCGCTGCAAGTTGGATTGTCAGTTTACGCTTGTACGGTCTCCATGAATTGGCAAGGTTAATGAATTATAATAAAATACGATAGGAAAATGAATATTTGACGCACAAAATTCAGAAATATGTGTATTTAAGAATGGGATGGTTGAGAATAAATTTCGAGAACAATACAAGTAAAAAAATGAATATTGAGGACAGTGACTGGTGATGACCATGCAATGAATTTTGAGGAAGGAAAAAATAAGAGGGAAAATACTAAAGTGCCGAATGAAAAAAGGAAATAAAAAATGAATGAAAAAAGTTAAAATCCAGTATACATACTGTTACGTAACGCTGAGCTTGTCTCCCCTAATCCTTGTCACGCTAAATGTTAGTAACAAAATTAATATGACCCACCCTCCCTAAAGCGTTACGTAATTTACGGACAGCTCCTTAGCTGGGTAGTTTACTATTACAGCTAATAAACCATAACAGAACTGGGTTGATGTTTACGGCTACACTGCAGAGTAATTCCTCCTTTTCTTCATGTAAAAACCCAATTTTAACATCATGTACGTGGGTTAGTCTACATTTTTTAACTTCACAGATTTTTTTTATTATTATTATTATCACGCATAAAGTCCGTCGCTATGCTTAGAATCATTATTACATTTGCAGCTCTAAAGAAGAGTATTTTTAAATTACTTCAAAATAGTATATTTTGAGTAGCATCAAAAGAATCTACCTTCACGTATAAATCCGTAATTCAGAACACCTGCAAAGGATCTTTCTGCTAGCTTTTACCTTTTTTATAGGTATAATTTTTTCTCTAAGCAATCACTTCTTTAACGAGAGGAAATTTAGTCATGTTTTGATGATATAAGCTGTAGGATAATAAAAACAAATTGTTGCAATCAGATTGATTAAGTATTTGATAGAGTTGACATCCTCAAAAAATCACGACCAGCCATCTAATCATGCGTGCTCCGGGTGATAAGTATTTTTTTCTGGGTCAATGGCAATTGTGACATAATACTCCGCAATGTTTGTTTTTATTCGGAGATTAAATTGGATAACGGCGCCTGGCTGTAATTGATAAGATGTATATTTTTAGGGAATTACCATCTCGAGATGGTGTTTAGAACGCATTGTTAATAGTATGATCTCTCACGGTCAAATCATGAGTGTCAAGATAGCCATTTCAACGATAGCACATTGTAGACAGAGCATCCCATTCGCAACTGAAGAGGTCAAAGAGCACACATCATATTCTTTTCAGTATTGGGTTTCGGATTCTAATAGTTTGAACCGTCTACAATAAACGTTATTATTCATGACGTCACAACTGGGATTCCCCATTACATATCATCGGGTTAATCGGGTCTCATCGGCCCAAAATATGGTCACTTGACTGCCGGCCATCTAGGTTTAACCCAGCTCCTTATTAAAAGTAATAAATTGGCATTTCCTGTGTCCTGTCAGTATATTCAGTGAGTAACTACTGAGGTTTTGCACTAAATTTTCCGTGACGTCACGCTGTGCCGGACTCTGTTCAGTATACATCACGCATATGTCACGCGTGATTTCCCACTCTTTTTAGCACGTGACGTGATTCATGAATGACAATCAGGGTTTTTTCTCTTGTCAGTGGAATTCATCATACGCATGAGACAAACAACATCTGGGGGAAAATAAGGAACTTTGAATGAGTGGTGACGTAAAACGTGAAAGAAATGAGGAAAACCCTTACTCAAATTTTTCATAAAAAGAAAAAGAAGGCGATAAAAAAATTACTAAGGAAAATCAGAATTTTCAGTTTTAAGAACCTTAAAATAAGGCCTAAGGCTTTATTAGTGGTCGTTTGGTAAACAACTGTATTTTCCTCGGGGAGGCTCCATATGATTTTCACTGTGATTCAAGAAGATCCAAAGAAACATTTGATAATCAGCATGATCACGTCAAATTCTACAGAAATTGAGTCAAATTCGACGATTCGGCTTCAGGAGTAGAGCATACAAAGGATCACAATAGCCATTGTAAAAATATATGGTACAAATGAAATGGTTCCATAATTTTCACTAACTTCAAGGTAGGTAGGAACTTATCTCACTATTTGTTCGATCTAATGTACACTGTCTTACGTATTTTATATATTTTGGGCTGACAAGCCATCGTAATCCCTTGTGAGATCTAATTTTCAAGTCAAACTATTCAATTTTTTCCAAATTCTATGAACATTTTCCTTCCTTTAATACTACGTTAGAGGCGTTCTTAAAACTCTCTTTTTACCACCCGACCATACTGCCGTGCTAAAGAAGAACGCCGTATGAACATTCGAGAGTTCTTAAATTTTCTCCGATACAATAAATATTCTTGAGGGAAGCTATGAGTATTTTTCCTGAAACTTTTCAGGAACTTTAGGTGAAATCGCGCGCGAACAGATTTATCAAAAAAATTTGAAGAATAATATTCATAAGTTTACCAAGAAATTCGAAGTTTATCAAAGGAAATTTGGCAACGCTTAAAGGCTCATACGGCGTTTTCCCTTAGCACCTTCCAAAGGATTAGAAATGTATAAGAGGCGGCTATGAGTATGTGCGACCCTTGGGCTTAGGTAGACTTGAAAATTCTCTCCTCGTTCAACGGATGTACGGAGTGGCGTGGCGTTCTTATATCGATTGATCTGCCGTTTAAACCTATAGAAGAGGATCGAAGAACAGGGTGTTAGCAACGATCACCTTAAAAGTCGATTCTTTACCACAGATTCAAATGGGGAAATATCGACAATCGATTTTTCACGCTTCGCCACTGGTACAGGAGGCTTCGCCGAGAAAGTCACCCACTCTCAAATACGATAGCGTCAATCCATTGATACTCTGCGAATGTTAGCTCAAGATAAATCGAATGTGGATTCATATTCGTAAGTACAAGATAACCGCAAATGTGTAGGTGCGTTGAACAGAAAAGCTCATTTTTATATTGCTACGGAATTAAGATACTTGTAATTGGACGTATTTATGGTAAAAGGAACTACGTGCATAGGGTTTTCGTGTGACAAAGTTCCTTTTAGCATAAATACGTCCAATTCAAATAACGGATTAACTAAAATCCAGAGCCCGCTGACCAGGAATCTGCTTCAAAGTCAACTTGAAAGACTTCAAGTCTAAGTTTGAAAAGTCATGAGAACATCTCGTGCTTTAGATTTGGTACCTCAAGAATTTTCATTTTCCACAATTTTTTCGTATTATGATATATTATGTATAGTTTATAATTTAATATTTTAGTCTAACATTTTAGTTAGAAAGTAACTCATTTTTAGTATTACCTATAATATTGAAAAAACAATTTGTTCTTTTCGTGGTTAATGAAGCACCAAGCAAACTTCGAAGTAAACACCACTTCAATACTGCTTTAAACGTCATTAATAAAATCAAGGAAAAGTAACGATACCTATGCAAACATTAAAAGGTCATAATACGACGTATTTATGCTAAAAGGAACCGTGTGCATAGGGTTTGCATGCAGCATAATTCCTCTCAGCATAAATATGTCATGATAGATGAGCAGCTTTAACCGGAATCAACGTAACTGTGTTTCGCGATGCCTGATTTCCTATCATGTTCTATTTTTGTAAACATTCTTCTATTTTTTTCAACATGCTTTATTTTTCAACTTAACGTCATTAAACTTTCTACGAATTCATCGCATAGTTTATGAAGAATTGAATATACTCATTGAATTGCAATTTTCAATATTGTTTCATTTCCTGTTTAAAAAATAAAACATCAGAAAAATTGAGATAACTTCTGAGTTGTGATGTAGTCATCGGTTAGTTCCGGTCATTCCGAATAATCTGAGTCAATGTGTGAAACACATCATGAATAGGTAATAATTGAACGATCGAACTTGAAAAAGGAAAAACCATTATAAGTTGTTTCTTTCAAAGTTGTTTGAAAATCTTATTACTATCACATTTTGAAGCGTTGAAATGGTTTTTGAATGTTTGTTTTGGTTTCTGGTTTTGTTTGACTCTCATATAGACCAACAAAAAATTGTTAATATCAAGAGCAATGCAAAAGATGCATGATGGATCCGCTGCGGTGTGCTAAAAGACTCTGGCTCGAACAAGGTATCATAAACGCCAATTTTCATGGCAATTTTACTTTTCCTCTAAACCTCCATAAACTCATATTATATGAACGTATACCAAGACTGTATAAAATCCTTAAATCACAGAGTGCCTCTACAGAAGATAGAAAATTAAAACCTGGTAACTTAATAAAGCGACTTTTTAAGAACAAATATGGTTACACAGAAAAAAAGAAAAGCATCCTATCCTCTCCTTCGATCCTCTATTTCTTGGTACTTTTTTCCAGAAATATTACCAGATAATTACCTACTTACTGTTTATGGTAACTTCTTACGAGTGTAAATAATGAGACTAATTGAAATAGGAAGAAATGACTCAGGAGGAATTTAAGCAGAAATTTTACGATGCGGTATAGAGTCGCATTGAACACCGCATCGCTTCATTTTCACTCCAAAAAGTATATTTTTGATGACACTCCTTCAATTATATCGTCGTTCCTCTCACGAAAAAAACGTAACTACATTTCGATTTTGCCAAATTTCCCCTCGGAAATTGCATTTTAACTAGGAGAATCTTGGACTTATCTAACTGAAAATTCCACTGATTTGCCTTTTGATCTCATGCCAAAATCTAAAGATTGTAGAGAAAGGCACAGACACACTCTTGTGAAATATAAAATTGATTGATTCAATTTTGGATGGAACCTCGGAATGGAGTTAGGTTCCTTCGTCCAGGAAACGACGATATGACTAAAATTATTGCATTCCCACGACACTAAAAAATGACAACTCAAAACCTGGTAACTGCTAATAGATCATGCGTAAAATGTTTCTCGCCATTATCGGGAACCCTATGTACGCCCCAACAATAACAGTTCCAGTAAAACCAGAATTTAGAGAAACTTATTCACTGACTAAGAAAACCAAGAGGTGCAGACATCAACGTTCTTTCACAAACAGGAACATTGCACACAATCAGTGCAATACTCTATGACGAGTTTTGAATTTCCACTCTTTAGTGCGATGACCAGGGTTGGAAAATGCGTATTTTAGGGTGCGACGTTGTAAGTCGCCGCTGGTGATTAATTTAATTATTTATTTCTTTTAAAAAGAAAACCAACAAACAGTCTCTATGAATCTCCTTTTCTCATTTCAAAAAAGCATACAGAATAGCAAGGAATCATTTTGGCTGGTCTTCCTTGAGAAAAATAATCAGACACGATGGGAGATTTTCAAAAGTTTGCAATTGAGATACGCGTTTCTCGCACTCAGTCATCGAACTATAGACAGTTTATGTGGGTTTTATAGACACTTTGGGTCAAGAAAACATCTCTAGCCATCGTAAATCAGTTTTTTTTTGCGTTTGTGAAGTTGTCAGTGTGATGCTTGCAAGGTTCTTCCCGAAAAAGAATGCACTGTACAGATGCAAAAGAACTGCACTTACTTTTTGAGCAATGCGAAGACTTTGGTGGTTCACATAGATCTCCACTTGCACGACGGTTATTCCGAGAGGTAGCACTGGCTGAAAAATGGCAAAAACACTTTCACACAGCAGCACCCACTTCAAAACACTGCCCTGAGATTCATGCGCCAGACGATAAGATCGTACACACCTTATCGGTGCTGTAACGGTCTCGGATGTGAACTCTAGTTAGAGCCCCTTAGATAATTGACTGATCAAGCTCATCGCATATGGAAATAAGACACCGAGTTTTTTTCCAATTTATTTTCGGGAAAGCTGTCACGATCAATTACTCAAAATAGCAGTCGAAGGTGGGTGCTCAGAGACCTGCTGTTGCGTAATCATTTCCTCCTCTTGAGAAAATTACCCTCAGAACATCACTGGTGCTATTATACCTCCAATATTTTTTAGATTGATGTCGGTTTTGGGATTCTCGCGAAGGAAAAAATCTCAGTTATACGAACCATAATATATGAGGCGCTTTTTGGCTCTGAAGATTGAACTGTCAGTCAAGCGAACCTAACCTTTCGGTTGATGGAACCAAACTTGAGAACCGATGATCTGGTTCAATGAACTGAAAGAGGCAGCATTTTGATCTGAAAGAGTTCGGTCGATGTAAAACATGTTCCGTGTAGACAAACGTTTTCTCGGTTCGATGAGCTGAATCTTCGGCTCATCGGACTAAAGTTCAATCCGAATTTCAGTTCGATGAACCGAAGTCCAGTTCAAAGATCCAAAGTCTCGATTCACCGACCTGAGGAACTTCGATCAATTTAGAACATGTTCTATGTCCATCCATTTCAGGTCCTTGTCCGACTGATACCCATAGTGAAAAATAAATGGTTTATTCGAGTTTAGTGTGTTCTCCAAGTAAGTTGTACATCATGTCGACGGTGTAAGTCGGCAATCACATAACTCGGTTTGCGACGTCGCAAACTTCCTCTCATACTTTTTTTTTTTTTTTTTTTTTTTTTTTTTTTTAAACAGAAAACTACTCAACGGAATTTCTTTAAAACTGCTGTGATTTGTCTTCTCTGTGCGAGGAAACTTCTGCAAAAACTTCAAGGAATGTTATCAATTTCTTCTCCTCTAAAACATTGAGGCAGAGATTTTCAGACACCACAAACGAGGTGTGTGATGGCAGATTGCGGACTTACGCCGTTGATATGTACGACTCAAATATACAAAAGTGTGTGTTTTTTTTTTTCAATTGGCGATTTAAAAAATACATTATTGATCTAATAAACACAGTGGTACTCCACATATAAAGAAAATATATATGAAGAAAAACGCAGAGCGAGAATTCAAGAGTTGCCAAATTTCTGCCAGTAAAATTGTTCTTTTTTAAGGGGTCTCAAAAATATTTTCTCTTGAAATTTTCAGATAATTTAGATCTGATTCCGAATAAAAGTCTCTGAAAATTGGTGGCAAAATATTCACAGATCTCTTTGAAAATTTGTATTTTATCAAAGAAAATTTGGCAACGTCTAAGTCTCATACGGCGTTCTTCCCAGGGCCGGATTAAGGGGGTGGCCGCATGGGCCGCGGCCCATGGCGGCAAATTTAGGGGGCGGCTTTTGCAATTTTTTTCAAATGTAGTCATAAAGAAAAATCAGATTCAGACAAAAAAATTACGAACGAGAAAAGGTGACAAAATCTCTCATTTCCTGAGAGTTTATCTCTAATTTTGTCGTCTTTCTGTGATACAATAGACAGCACCTTTAAATAGTCGAGTTAAGACTAAGAGAGAAACCGAACAAGGAATTTGTCCTGGAACGAAGCGGCGCAGAGAGCAATGATGACGAGAACTTGAGATGAAATGGAGAAACCCTCGGCCCTCGGCGCGGTTGTCGGCATGTAAGACATATTAGCGCCTACAAGACTGCATGAATACTTCACGCACTGCGTCAAAGACAGCGCGGTCGCTGCGGTCAGCAGCGGGCAGCGTGAAACGCATAGCGCCTACAAGACTGTATGAATACTTCACGCATTGCGTCAAACACAGTGCGTGTAGTGGCGGTCGGCCCGAAACGCATAGCGCATGTAAGACTGTAGGAATACTTCACGCATTGCGCCAAACACAGTTCGATCAGCGCGGCGCGGCGGCGGAAGTTAAAATTATTAAACTACATTTATGTTTGTTTTTTCATAATCTTTTAATTCATTTCTTATAAATGGAGGGTTTTGTCCATAGAGAGATAGGTTTACGGAACTTAACTTTCGCGCCATGTTCCGTGAACTTTTGCTGGTAGTGTTGACAGGGCTTTCACAAGAAATGTGACCAACACTCGTAAACGCGTCTTATACGCCTCTCCCCCTCCGGCACGTTTACTTGATGGTTTTTATTGATGTTTCAAAATGAATGAGAAGGAGGCGGCAAAATACAGGCGGCCCATGGGCGGCAAGTAAGTAAATCCGGCCCTGGTTTTTCTTTACACGGCAGTATACAGATTTTTGCCCTGATATTGACGACCGAAAACTAGGTAGCGCCATTTTATCCATGTACGTAGGCGTGGCCTTTAAATCCGGCTCACTATCAGCGTAGAAAAGTTTTAAATTCGAATTTTAGATTTTTATTGTTATTTAATTTTTTACGGGACAACCGAGTACTTGTACCTACACTACAAAATTTCGCATCCTTTTTTTTCTGCTCTTGCAAGAAATATCTCCGGGAAGTTTCATGAACTAATATTCGTGGAAAGATTAGAATATTTTTCTATCATAAATTCTCGAAATTTCTAAAAATTTCGATGCCATTGTTCTCATCAGATTATTCCTTACAACATAAACTAATCAGCCTTAAAAGATACGTCAATCAATCGTCGAAAGATGCAAAGTTCTCTTTCTTCTTCAGATCGTCGACCGTCATGAATTAAGAGAAGTATTAGCGATGCATCAATCATCAACTGCGAGTTTGAGAGGGAATGCAGGGGATTGTTCTGCCGTGCTAAGGAAGAACGACGCATGAACGTTCGAGAGTTGCCAAATTTCCCTGGATAAGACATGTATTTTTGACGACATTCATGCATATTTTTCCCTGAAATGTTCGGTTATTTTAGAGTAAATTGCATACAAAATCGTCTGAAAATTTTGGAAAATAATATTCGCGATTTGCCCAGTAACTTCGGTTTCTATCGAAGGAAACTTGGCAACGACTGATGGCTCATACGGCGTTCCTCCTTAGCACGGCAGTGTTATCTTAAAAGCCCCGTATACGGGTGACATTTTTAAAAGAATGGCTTTGATGACTCGGTTGTACGTCAATATTGTGGATGAGCCGTAAGGTTGCCGGTCTTTTTCCAGTACAGCAAAAAACCCGATTTGAGGTCGGAAATACGTATCAAGTTTAAGTTTCCGATTCTATCATATTTATAAGCTCCGAGACCTCCTAAATTTGCATATCTGGTAACGCTTAGTTCAAGCGTCCAACCGGGCCGATTTTCATAACTTTTGCGGCTATCGACATGCAATTGTCTCTAAATGAGCCCGCTTTATTTAGATTTTGAAAATATGACCCAGGTGTTTTTACATTACGTGGTAAAGTTGCGGATTCTCCCATTTGAACGATGAAATTTTTTTATTTTTTGTCATAGTTCGTTTGAGCGTTCTACTGGGCCGATCTCCATGATTTTTGCGGTTATCGACGGGTGATAGTCTCTAAAAGAGCCCGCTATAATCAGAATTTGAAAATAGGACCCAGGTTTTTTTACATTAGAGGAGACCAGAAAGCTTAGAGAGGGGGGCAAAATTTAAAATTCCTGCCAATGAAAAATGGCGGGGATTTCAAATTTAGCGGAAAATTGCAGTAGGCGGGAAATGTTGAATCCTGGTCTGTTAGTAGAGTAAGTGAATCGGAGGTATGCTTCTTTGCTACAGACTATCCAAAAGCAACGAAACGCTCCGTTCCATTTACTTTCAGTCTTGGCGTCAAGTTTGAAATAAATGCCGATTTTTTCATTCGAGTCTCATTGGTCCGACTTTTCCTGGCCAGAGGAAGATTGGATAAATCGTCGCTCCTCTGACGTAAGGGCGTACCTCGATTTCCACGTAAACTCTGCCGGCCATATAACTTTATGCTTTCCAGGGCTCATGTGGAAATGGAAATACACCCTTACGTCAGAGGAGCAACGAAATGAGAATCGGGGATGAAAATCTTTTCAATTTTTTTGGTGGTTCTTTTGTCGAAGCGGGCCTAAGAGAACGCGAAGCATCCTCTGGGGGTTGAGCCGCGTAGCGGCCAAGGAGCATGGCCCCCTAGTATACTTTCGAACACTGGGTCAAAGTTTCAGATCGAAATTTTCATTTTCATAGTTATTTGAAATAAATCGTTACGAAAGCTGGCATCAGCGTTGACAGACTTTGGCTAATTTTGTATTTTTGTGATTTCTCCAGCTTTGATAACTTTGAAATTGTATTTTTGTGATTTCTCCAACTTTGATAACTTTGAAACTTTTTTAAACTTTGGTCTTCCGTGCACTAAATGATGCAGAATAAACTCCTCTATGATGTAGTTTCATTATCTATTTTTCCCCACCTCAATGGCTCCTCGCTTGACTCCATCATATTTCGAGAAATCGAAAAGATAATTAAAATAAAGCTCGTGCAACAGTGCTTTGCCAAGCTTTTTCTTCCTGAGGGTTGCGTGTACGCGTGAGATTGACAGAGAAATTTGCGTCAATTGAATGAACACTTCAGTTGAGAAGTTTATTTAACTGCAACTTGTAAGTCAGATATGTTCTTACTATAATTGGAAGTTCCAATACATGAACACGTTGAATGACATGTTTGAAGAAAGTAAGATATCGATTATTTCAAGTACAGTAACGCTCAAAAAATTGAATACAAATTTTAACTTTTAGTCTCACCATACCCAACCAGTAAAACTCGATGAAAATATCAGACTATAATCTTATCACAATATCACATTTTAGCGTAAATATTTCTCACCAATATCGCACCACTCGTTAGTTTTTTTTATTATTTTTTTTTAGTTTTTTTGGCGTTGCGGATGGCCATATGCACTGGCATGATAAAATGTTCAGAAAAATATCAAAATCTGTAGAAATGTTTTGCTGATCTGCAAAGCAGGTTAAGTATTTATGAAGGGAGAAAGAAAAACAATTTTATAAAATAACTTATAATTTACTTAGCATCAAGGTTTCAAACTCGTCTTTATCACTATTGCCTTTTTCATTTGCTACCTCATTAATAACAGTTACTTCAGTCTTATTGATAGGGTCCATTTTAGCGCCTGAAAACAAAATAAATAAATTTCTGTCATTAAAATTGTATTCCAAAATGATAGAAGCATTGATACTTACTGAAGTTTGAGTCATTTCAGTACATACGATTGTTTTTCCTTAAATGTCCCACCCTCAAAACCTGTGAAAGGTGCGTCTTAATTAAAAGGTCAAGAGCGTGAACTTTAAGAATAGTGTGTTCCGGTCGGAAAACACACTAAAAATGACGGTTTGTGAAAGACTAAGGTATTCATTATTTTTATCATAGAGTTATAGCGATGTTGAAACTATTATGTCAGGACTCAGCTTCCGGTCGCTTAGCACCTGCTTAAACTTTGTATTGCCGTGACACTCTATGTAGTTTTCACCTCAAAATTAATCTTCGTGGTGTCATTAGAAAGTTACTTCAAATACTTCCATGCCTCATAACCTTTGATCCAAAAATTCAAAATCATTACTACAAGCTTTCTGACCCCGTAAATTTTAAATTTTTGTCACAGTTCGTTCTATCGCTACTGGGCCGATGTCCATACTTTTAGCGGATATCGACACATGACAGTCCTTAGAAAAGCCAGCTATGTTCAGATTTTGGAAATATGACAACTTTTTTTTAAATTACGTGATAAAGCATTGGATTCTCCCTTTTCGACGATCTATAAATGTTCATTTTTTGTCACAGTGAATTTGATTGACCTACTGCCTCTATTTGTATAATTTTTGTGACAATCCATAGAGGATAGTCTCTATAGATTAGTCTCTATAGATAGTCTCTATAGATAGTCTATTTAAATTAACTCACGAAAGCCCACACAGCGACCACGGGGCGTTCCTTTTAATAAAATGTAGTAAACTAACCGCAAATCGTTAATTCCATCTCCGTCCTGTCGCGGAAGCATTTCAAAGGAGACTTCAAAGTTGCGCAGAAAGAAATTATGCTGTTGTTTACGTTGATGAAATAAAGTTCTTGACCACGCCTCTGGAAGTCTTTGCTTAAAAGAATGAGACCCTAGTTGGAAACAAACCAAATAAAACCAATAATAAGGCCTGCCGTAAAAATTGCTAAAAACTATTGTGTGTTGTGACATCGTAAAAATAGAGAGAAAGAATACAATAGGGGCTAAATTTCGCCGTTCCAGTCTATCTATATACTCGAGATGTTTCAAATTCTCTTAAAAATTACTGCATGGAGGTAAAGAAGAGACATTGAAAGAAAAAGATACAAAATTTCATAACACAGCAAGATTCATAGTAATTTTTTTTTTAACATGATTTATGAAGAAATGCACACGATCTACGAACTCATTACTGGGGATATTAATTAATAGTAAAAAATAAATTATAAGCACGAAGTTTTATGTTTATAGTAGGTAAATATAATTTTATCACCAAATTTTCTTCAAAAATTCTATATTTTCTTTTATAATAGTGCAAAAATGTCTTGAAACTTTTTACGCAAGACCTGCACCTGTCATTGATTAAAAAAATAATTTGTCCAGTAAAATTTCGCAACGTTATTATACTTAACATATTTACATCCAAACATTCCAGAGTTCAGCAGTTATGAAGGTAGGGGGGTAGGGAGTTCCTAGACTTAACTTTTTGAACTAAAAGTAATCTCAAGGAATTTCCCGTCAACCGAAGCCTAAGGCGCATACGTCTTTCCTTCCGAGATTTCCTGCGTAGCAGGTAAATCTGTCAATTTTGTTTAAAAACAAATTTACTTCATTCTATACGTTCTTCAACTCATAGGCCTGGAATGCAGTGTTGCATTTTACAAGCTAAAGGTATAATGAAATAAATGCGTCCGGACGCAAGTGAGTGCCCCCATCCCTCAACGCGGGACGCAAATGCGCCCTCATATTTTTCCGCCATTTTTTTTTTTTTTTTTTGTTTTTGTTTTTGTTTTTGGGTCCCGACCCAAGTGCGATTTTTACTTTCTCGCTCCCCTAGGGTAGCGGAAGTATTGTCATCCTTCAAGAAAAAAAAGAAGATAAGTTGAAATTTCATCAATTTTTTTGACCGCGGATTTTTTTTTTTTTTAAATAATAATAGACTGATGAATTCTCTACAAGGAATTCTTCTAGGCAAGGATGGCGATTAGGTGTCGCAGAACGCTCGGGTGCGCTGTACAGCGACTCGAATGTGTTTATGAATTCTCTACAAAAAACTTGTTTATCAAAAAAGGATCTGAAGCTTACCAAGTTCATTTTTTATCATAGTAATAATTAGAGACCTATCTGGCCGGATGGAGTAGTTTTTTGGCCTGTAATGTAATATTTTTATTCGATTTGTAATGACATAACCGGTTTAGGTGTGACACCCAGTGAGGAGAAGTTTCTCGAATATAAACTCACCTTAACAGCCGTATAGTCGGCTCTCTTGAAATTGACACAGTCGAATACAAATGGGAATCGACTTTGCCCTTTCGTAATTGCTATCTTGTTCACAGTCGAATACACGTAGTTCACAGCCGGGAAAAAGAAACCCATGTTAGGCCTCACCAGGATGTACGGATTTGTGACAGTCTGTGGGGAAAAAATGCATTAGATTTGCAACGTTGAAAATTATTTCAATGTCTCTAAAGGATAGAATTAGCATCACTATAAGCTCTGTGACGCCCAAAATTTTTCATTTTTTGGGCACAGTTTGTTCCACCATTCTGCTAGGCCAATTTTCATGATTTTTGCGGCTATTAATTTGCGATAGACCTTAGATGAGCCCATTTTGTATACATGTTAACAATCTTAAACGTTCCCTCATCCCCAAGTTAATAGCCACTTTCGATAGATATGGTTTCATGCTATGTCAAAATCAAAGTACACGTGGTGAATCGTAGCCATTAAAAGTTAAAACCTGAGTCCCATCCGTTTGGCAACACTTTTGATGGGGTCTCGCTTAAGGGATGATTCAAAAGTCCGTTTACCTCATTATGTCGAATCATGTAAATGGTTCAACCCACTTTTCTAATTTCATTATCTGGACGAAACTTCCAGGAATTTTTCAACGTTTTTCAAACCCTAAGTGGCAAAGAACCTCGTTTTGAACCATTTTTTTGGCTAGCTTTTTTAGAAGAGACGACGACGCGGCGTTTGCTAATTGGCTGAACTCGTATTTATATGCATCGTCTTGCCAGGTCAACTCGACTGTCGGCTTTTGATTGGCTGAATTTTGATTAGCTTTTTCCCCCTTAGAATTGAATTTTTTCAACTCTCCAATTCATTTTCTGGTTATTTCACAAACATTTCGGTAAGATTATAGGTATGCATGTGCCTGTCGCGAGTTACGCAACGCGTATTCAAAATTGTCCTCTAGACAGAGTTTTTGTCTATCTTTCTCCCTCTCATTTCTTCTGTCTCCTTCTTAATTTCAACTTGGGAAACTTTTGGGCCTTAAGCTGATGCTGGAATACAATCAGACGCATCATCACATTTATTTAATATCCTTTTTATCTGTGCCTTAGATGGACGATGCAATACACCCTCAGAGTTGCACATGCCTGGTTTCTGTGCCCAGTCCTATCTTCCATCAACTTCAATTCTAGTTTAACACCCTAGCTAAGAAGATTACTCGTTTATGGCTCCAGTTTTCCCAAGTTCCAGTGAAATTCTAAAATCTTTTACACGAAGTGTGGTGTACCACATCAACTGTATTCTGGCGTGTCGAATCAAGTGTGTTTCGCTATTTCCAAGAAATACACGTGTAGGCACTCACTTCTTCGTTCTATCTACCCTTGCTCTCTCACAATACCTATCTTTTTTTATTTGATTTATTTTTGCTATTTTGAATGTTACTTTAATTTCAGTGTGCGACTTGCAAAAATCCTCCGGTTTTTTTAACATTTGCGACAATGCCACAACCCTGCAAAAATTCCTTGGCACTATCTTATTACGGGAATCCATTAAAAAGAACGTGGGATAGCTATGCCCTCGTGGCAGAATTACGAATTAAAAACTATTGTAACATATAGTATTTATTTGTATCGAAAGGCGTATTTTATATTTTGAAAATAGGCATTTTATTTTGTAGTTAATACATAAAATATTATATTTTTCTAGTATTTCCAGGGTATAGGTAGATGATGGCAAAATTTTCGGCAAAAAAGTAAAAATTGAAATGTTGACAAGAATTATTGAAATTTCTCAATTTAGATATGTCGGTATGTATGGAGAATGGCGAATTATGCCTATACTTAAGAAAGAAGTGCCGTATTATTACTGTGTAGAATTAGTATTTATGCTGTGTAAACTGTAATTTTCATGCCAAAATATTAACTGTTCATTGGTAATAGAAGTGAAATGTCACCCGACTTACAATCTATTCATGTCCACTTGTACGAGTAATTTCAAACCACGGGGTCGAGGTATAATGTGAGGCAGAGTAATTTTTGAAGCGCAAAGGATTAGAAAACCTCTTGAATGGATTACGTAATTAAATAAAGGATTTAATAGAAAATTGTAAGGTCATTTTTTTAAAAAAAAATAAATAAAAAAAAAAAATACGTGGTTGTAATAGTGAATTCTATATAGCAATTAGGTTTGCAATCACTGTAATGCCACACCTGACCATACCCGAAAAGGTTAATGCGCATGCGCGAGCGACGAAATTCGGTCCATTGATTTCAGATGGAACCGACCATAGTGTATGCTTGTTCACATGAACTAAACAAGCTCTGCAAATAAAGCAAATGATCCAAAACTTATTTAGTTTTCATTTTTCATCGAACTGCAAGAATACGATACTGATACGTATCTTCCAGAGACGAATTTCAGTGAAGATGAGGAAATGTATGTTTTGTTACTAGAGTTACTTACATCTTGGAATTCGAGCACCATGTCAGGTCGAGCCCACAGGTAAAGGAGGTAGCAAGCATCACAAACGACTCCAATAAGAAGCCCTATCTCTACACCAAAGCATAAACTTAGTGCAATTGTTATCAGGAAGGTGAATAAATTCATTTCTGAAACAGATTTGAATCATCATATTATCTAACGTTACCCCGTAAAATTAATGCGATTCTTTTAGTTTTAGTTTTAGACCATGTGGATAAATACAAGGAAATACTTGTAGTAGTTACGTTAAGTTTAAAAAAAAAAAGAACAGATTTGAGAATGTCAATGAGATATGGACACAGCTCAACATAAAATCATAGGAATCTGGCACCGATCTCACATTAATACCTAATATTTGACTGAGGATTTGGAATATTGGATACCGTTGGTAATACACTGCACTGCATGTACATAGTGAACTGCTCGTGTGAAGTATATATTTTATCAAATATTTTTCGTTTCCAAAAAAAATGTTTTTATAAAAAATTGATTTGAAGTATGTGCGAGAAATTTTCTACAGAAAATTTCATGTATGATATTTCCTTTCAATATTATGCTGAATGCCATAAAATAAATATGATATAATTGAGCAAAAAGAGAGGGAGCGAGAAAGAGACAGAGAGAGGGGGGAGGGGGGAGGGAGGGAGAGAGAGAGAGAATCAGATGCATTCAAATAGGACAACACAATATAATTTTAAAATGTATACAGAACTACATTTTGAATTAAAGATGCTGTAAAGTTTCAAAGAGCAAAACACGACGGTGGGTATTATGCAAATTTAGATTTGAAATAATAACTTACTGTTTTCCTTCCATAAAAGAGGAACCAGGTCCGTTTCTATCAGGAATATACAAGCGCAAATGAGGACTGCTGATAGTGTGGAGCGCGGTATGTATTGAAAATAAGGCGACAAAAAGTGGAGTCCAAGCATTACCACTGCTCCTATTAATAGAAAAATCGTAAACATACAGAATTGTTAATATATTTTTAGCGTCCTCGAGAATGATGGTCATAGTCAACAAAAACTCAAAATGAGCCGTTCGTAATAGAGTGCCTTTACGCTTTTTTGTACCTAAATTTAGCAGAACAAGACTCCTGAGTGTTCTGCTACATTTAGGCACAAAATCATTCAATGAATTTTCCATGGGAAAAACATTGTACCGAGGGAATTTTGGAGGTGGCCGAGTGCAAACACGGTACTTTCCCTTAACTATGACCATGCAATATATCGTATTTCGATGTCGTATCAAGCTGCTTTAACTTTTCAAATAGATCGCATCAAGCAAAAAAGAACCAGCACGATTATACAGTGTTTTCAAAATTGTTCAACTTCTTCAAAAACACTGAATATATGAACAGTGCCTATTAAATTCACACAATTATTTTCCTTCAAAATTGAGTTTTTTTGGTAGGAAACGAAAATCATCGCTATTGTGAGAGATTTTTTGGCTGATTATGTGGAAGCGACATTTTTACAGCACTGTAATCGCGCATTTCCTTTTTGCTGAATGCGATTCAAATATCCGCGGGTCTTTACATATTAAATGATAAAGTTGTGAATTTTTGCGGTTATCGACAGGTGATGGCCCTTAGATGAGCCCGCTGTAATTAAATTTTGGAAATATGACCTAGATTTTTTTCATAACTGAGTATACCTGGGGGCTTAGAAAGGGGGCAAAATTGAACTAAGCGGGGAATTCTGAATCTTGGTCTGTTAGTAGGGTCTAGGGTAAGGTAAGTGAATCGGAATTGTGCTCCTTTACTACAGACCATCCAAAAGTAACGAAACGTTCCGTTTCGTTTCCGTCTTGGCCTGAAGTTGGAAATAAATGGCGGCTTTCTTATTTGATTCTTATTGGTCCAATCGTTCCCGGCCAGAGGAATATTGGACAAATGAGAGTCGGGTACAGAGACAAGAGACCCTCCACTAGTATCTTGGCCATGGTGGAAGCTTTTACTTTCGGGACTTCAGCATTCTACTGTTGACTTACCTACATGGTTGATGTTCAACAACGTGTTGGCAGTTTCGTTTTGCAAACAAGCCGAAAATGGCCGACGTTTGGGAAAGTTATTTGGCTCATGACGTCATCCGAAGCTCATCATCGACCATGTAGGTAAGTCAACAGCCGAAACTAGGGTGATGACTGTTGCTCCCTAATAATTTTCCATAAGGAATTGTTGAACCTCCGAAAGTAAAAGCTTCCACCTGTCGCTAGGAGGCCAGTGGAGGGTCTCTTGTCTCTGGTCGGGTATGAAAATGTTTTCATTTTTTTTGGTCGTTCTTTTGTCGAAGCGGGCCTAAGAGAGGGCGAAGCGCTCTCTAGGGGTTGGGCCGCGTAGCGGCTAGGGGGCACAGCCCCCTGGTATTTTATAATTTTTATAAGCTCTTACCTGAGTACAGATTGGCGACAGAGGTACGGATTCCACTTGCACTGGCAACGGCACTTCGAGTGAAGGCACCGCAAGAGGGCATAGCTTGGAACAACGAGTTGGCAATATTGCAAATCCCCAGCGTAAACATTTCCTGCGTTGCCCTCACCATACCACCATTTGCTGGAAAGTTAAAAATACTATGATAAAAAAACGCGGATGAATTTTTGGAAGCTTCCAATGGATATGTGAACTATCATTGCCTTCGGAAAAAGTTTTCCATTATAGTTACGTCGAGTCCCAGAAAGGGAAACTTAGCTATATTTCAAGGCTACAAAACTCATTCGAAAGGCCCATTTAAAAGAAGAGTAGAGCACTTTCCATCAAAATTTTGATGATTTTTGCGTGTAGTTTGAGGAAAAATTGGTATAATATTCAGTCAGAATGAATAAGCATTATAAATGACCATATGACCATATCCACTGTCAATTTTGGTCCGAGCGGCAAACTGAATGATGCGAGTTTGCTCAAATTACTGATAGTGTACTAAAAAAAATTATTTTTGAATTCATGTAACCACAATTTGTACGCTCAAGTGCTTTCAATGCGTACATATATTTAGCTTCATTCTTGAAACACGTAAACTAAAAAATTGTCTTACCGAATGCTTTTGCAATGGAAATATTGGCCAGTACCGATACTATAGGAATTATGAAAACTCCCGCACCTAAATCCTGAACCATCTCTTTGAGCGGGATGGTTCTATTGTTCATATGAGTTTCAAAGGGCGGCAGCTCCAGCCGAGGAAGTCCGCCATCTGCTCCCTCTAAAATGAGAAAGCATACATGTATGTTAAATTGCATCATCACTAAATGAAGGCGTTTGATATTAGCTCGGTCTTTGGTCTCAGTCCTTAGATAAAATAGTTAGTTAACCGTTCATGCTTAATGCTATCTGTGCAAGAGAGAGGATTTTTCTTAAAGGTGAGATAAGCTTCAAATAATCTCAAATTGTTAAAACTGAATTCACTATATTTCTGATAATTAATAAAGCCTGTGTGAAGAATAAGGTGGTCAAAAAATTATACTTCAATTATTACCTTTGCAGGTAAGAGGCTCCTGAAGCAAAGCCGCGATTTTAATTCTAGTTTATTTCCTCTATCTATAATTTTTAATTTTCAAGATTATTTTCTTACATGAAATTACCTACTTAATGTTTTGAAAACGGACAAAATAAGCGAATTTTAATCTTTTATTGCCTGTACGTCCTTCCCTTGTATCTGAAAATTGTTTGTGATTGGTTTTAGATTTGCATTCAATAGAGCTACAAAAAAGTGTATTTATTTAAAAAAGAAAAATCAATAAATAACCAAATCAGCACTTACTTGAAAGCGTGAAAGGAACTTTATTCGTCGTCGTCTTATAATAATGAGCGATTGAACTGAATATCAGTACAATCAGTGCATTTCTCCCGGTCGATAAAAACCAAAAGATTTTAGATACAATTTTGCTCTTCTTATTTACACTAGAGAAGTCTTTTAATTTCTGGAACAAGAGAATTATAGATATGTTTATAAAAGTATAAGTCGCACTGATTGACAAGAGAGTGTTGAAACTTTCCGTAGGACCTCAAAAAAAGATATATAACGATTACAGAAGAGTACCTATGTGTATCTTTGCATGTTATAGCTAAAAATTACGCCCGTCTAACAGAAACCGATTCAATTTGTAGCATGAAGTCTGCAAATGAAACTGAACATATCATCAATCACTTTAAAGGATTCATCTTTCAAAATGGACCTGTGGAAAAAACGTGATCTTCATGCATGCCAAGGTGTATGGAGAAAAAAGAAGAAAAAAACCAAAAGGTCCCAGATTTAGTTCCAGGTAATTCCAAATAAAAACTGGTATACTGTTTTATAATGAAACAGTTGTATGCTTCCGTATTTTGACTCCAAAACATAGAGAAATTCACAAGTCTGCGATAGACTTATTTCTTTTATTTTCTTTCTCTTAACATACTCCTAGTGGCGGTGTAATTACATCCATAGTGGAATGTATTTACACTCCTTACTACTAAAAACACGAAAATTTGGTTTTAAGTTATTGAGTTCGTCATCAATTTATCATTAATACAGAAATCAGTCGATCAATAATCAATGAAAAAACAAACTCGAGCCATAACGATAGAGGAAGAGAACTTACCCTTAAAAATAATAGAGATACACAACCAGTAACACCCACTAAAACGTCACCGTAGTGGGCTTGAGGCAGCCTTTGAGTGATCTGGACAAAATTGTCGAGGAAATTGGATGCCTTGTAACTGATGCCCAGGAGGCCTTTTAGCTGGGAAACCACAATAATGATTGAGGTTGCAGCCGTAAAGCCACTGGACACTGGTACAGAGATCAGCTCCACCAAGAAACCTGCATAGAGCAAAAAGTCAAAGTATTAACTGAGCCAACTCGGTTCAAACAGAGTTTATTGTTTGAAAAAAACTTACTACTCAAGAAACTTTGAAAAAAAAGCAAACTATCACTGTTGATTTAAAACATCGACAGTGAAACTCCCAAACCACGTATCTCGGATTGCGACGTTGCAGACTTCCTTTCATACTTTTTTTTTTTTTTTTCTTAAAAATAAAAACTAGGTACTCAATGTTCATTTTTTAAACTATCCGTGATTTTTCTGCTTTGAGCGAAGGAAAGTCTACGAAACTTCAAGAAAGGATGTTGATTCGGTCTCAGACAAAAAATAAATAAAATTTTAAAAAAGGGGGAAAAAGAAAAAAAATGGAAGTAGAGGTTTTTAAACCCCGCAAACGAGATACTTAATTTGGGATTTTCACCGTCGACAACATTCTTTTTTCTGAAGCTATACATATGTTTTATTTTAAAAAGCTTAAAGCACAAGGCTCATACTGGATCAAGTCATAAAACAGACTGAACAATGGTACCGCAACATGAAAAAAACGCGTTGAGACCCTTCGGCCGATGTCATTTTTCCTTCAATATAAATCAAATTTACTGAGAAAATTGTGAATATTTTTCTTCAAACTTTGCAGACATTTCATACGTTATTTGGACGTATTTCTCTCAAACGGAACTATGTGCATTAAGACATGAGCCCTGAGACCCATAAGAATATACGCATAACAGGGCTCACGTCATAAAGCACATAGTTCCGTATGACAGAAATACGCCCGTTTAATCTAAATTCTCTAAAAATTTCAAGAAATAATATAGAAAACTTTTCTCAAAAATACATGTTTTATGGGGTCGTCCCTTATTAAAAACATGACTCTCTGAAGGGGGTGGAGGCGGGGTTGAGGAGAGCGTTACGCCATTTTGTTTAACGTGTAAAAAGATAGGGACCTACGTCACAAAAGCGTTACACGGGGGTAGGCGGGGGGTCAAAAGTGCCGAAAAAGTGCGTTATACATAATTTAGGGACGGCCTCTATCCATTGGCCATTGCCATTTGGCAACTTTGGAATGTTCATATGGCATCCTTCCTTGGCACGGCAGTATGAGGCAATTTAGTTCTGCTTGCAAACTCGGAAAAATTATAGAGTAAAATGACGAACCTAGTCTTAGGAGGCTCATAGTGAGCTCAACACAGCCGCAGATGAATGTGAGCAGGATGACGTGGTCATTGGTAAGGTCCTTGGTGTACTCGTACGTAAGGATGGCCATCAAGGACGATGGACCAATGAACACCTCCCGTGTGGTTCCGAAGAATAGATACACGAAAACCCCCACAAACGCAGAATTCAAACCGCACTGTAATCAAACCAAAAGATAAGTTTTGACTTTCTTTTATCATAAGTAAGGGGGTGAAAAAGTGTTTTTTGCGAATTTGTCAACTTGGATTTAATTGGACCGCGTTAAACAGAAAGGAACCAAGCCACACCAGCCATTGCCAAATTTAACAGGGAAATTACATTTTTTACGAAAGAACGTCTGTGCAGACTCCTTTGCAAATTTTAAGGAATTTGCTTTGTATTATGGAGAAAATTCACTGAAATCTGCACAAAAATCCGCACAACCGTATTCATGTACAAAATTAAATTGCCCGATTAAATTTGGCAATAACTAATGTGGCTTGGTTCCTTTCAGTTTAACGCGGTCCAATTATATGTAAAGTCACTTCATGGTACATGGAACATCCTTTACTGACAGAAATAAATCTCAGCATGGGCCAAGGTTTGCCTGCATTTTACGGGGTAGGCAAAACCGGATGCCTCAAACGTGAATAGTGTCATTCGATTTAACGATCATTAACAACCAATTATGAAGAAAAGAAAAGAGGAAAAAGCTCAGACTATGATTTTCCTTCATTTTACGGGGTGGGCAAAACAGGATCCCACAAGCCTGATAAAATAGTGGCATCTGATTCAAAAACCATCATCAACCAAATATGGACCAAAATTATCACAGAGAAAATACTAAAATGGCGTAACACTTCAGATGTTCAAATTGTCTGGTACATGATGACAAATTTTATCATGCATATTCGAAAAATAAAATTGATCTTAAACTAAATCATTATTTGTCCTGCTGGACACAGTTTTCGCATGTAAAACTGCTATGTCAACATAAATGTACTATTTTATTTTTTGGTGATGCATTCAAATAAATCCTCGATACCAATTATTGCCGGAGGAAACTTATATTTTCACAATTCCTAAAATATTTATGTCCCTGTGTGTGAGGTCCGAATTTTATCGGACCTATGTTTGACATAATGCCTTTAAAATTTACAGAAGTTTTAATGATACATCACAATTTCACACCCAGATCAAACTTCGTCAATTTTTTTGTCTTCATCTTTAACAATCTATAAATTCTTTTTCAAAATTGACCAATGATATAACTGTCCCTAAATTCTGGCTAAAATTCGAAAAAAATTAAAATCATGCACCGAAGCATTTGTCAGATTAATATTTACCTGTGGTGTGAGGCCAGCCAGAGCAGCATAAGCTATACTTTGTGGTAGCATAGTTAGTCCAACAGTGGTGCCAGCTATCATGTCACTGATGAAGTCAAATCTGGTATAGTTTTGCAATGTTTCCAACAGAGGCACGAGTCTGAAAAGACATTTTTTTAGCCTAGACCCGTGGTCCTGTCTCAAAGTTTCTTTTATTTTTCTCGTCACTGGAACAAACAATGCTTTCGAAAATTAGAAAAGCCCCAACAGCATGTAAATTGGTTTTTATCAAAAAGCGTGAATAATTTAGAATATTCAAGCGGTGTTAATTATTAAATAATTTAAAATTAATTTTTTACAGATTAAAATGTCAATTTCAAATTTTAAACCCCTAGGACTTCGCAAGTTTTTCTTCTTTTTTCAAGAATATTTAAAAGTGATTAGTATCAGAATAAAATTTAACAATCAATGAGACATGGAGCAGAAAATCAAGACAATAAAAAATATTCTCATACATAATTGTTAATCTTAGCGTATAGAGCTTACCCCAAATCATTCTGCCGTGAAAAGAAATAGCTCGAACCCTTGAAGAAATATGGATAAATGAGAACAATTTATGAGTCAGAGCTCAAGCACCGCGCAGATTTAATTTGAAAAATAAAAAAAATTACAGTTAGTTAAACCATTGTAACTAAATCAAAAACTTGAATCGACAGTAACGCAAAAGAGTGTACATTATCACAGGTACAACAAGATCTCCCGCTTTGTTGATTTTTATATTGATTATCTGCAAAACGCCTATCTTATTCATATAAACTGGGTCCAAGTCAAAACAAAATGAAAAGACCCGGAAGATGGGTTCACAAAAATCACTCAGGTTGAGTTACGAAAATCAACAGGCAGTTCAGAGCGGTAGAAAACGAAGCTAGATCACTAAAACCGTTCGCCGACTAACTTCACTGTTGAATATATGCACAATAGAATGAAGGGATGACAATCGCCAAAACCGACCGACACAATTGCCGAGAAGAAAAAACGGTAAAAAATTAATACGGCGAGAATTTATAATCTCCCTCAATCAACCATTGTCTATGTAAAAGCAATCAAAATTAATCGCAGCTAATATCAACATTTTATGCTTATTGCCGCTCATCAATATTCCTCGTGTTTCATTATCAAAATGTCTATCCAAGTTCAGATGATGCAATTTGACGGAAAAATGAAAAAGGTACCCATTAAGAGAAATGATTTTGTAGATAGCCGATTGTTTTTTTTTACGTAAGTCTTTGTTTATTTTGATTTTTTTGTTCCAAAATGTAATGAACCTATTTTCAATTTACTGGCTCAATTCTCTTAATGGACATTCCTAATGACATTAATTTTCAATTATATAAATAGACGCAGTTACGCTTGAAGAACCTATATCCCACCAAAACCCTTTGTACATAGATCTTTTTATCATAAACGCGTTCAAATGGGATAAATCTGAACGCTCACGATAAAGGAGCCCGAAGTCAACCAAAATTCAGACATTATTACCACAAAAACACTGGTACAGAAGCAAAGAGGAGTGTTCTACAAACTGTGAAGCTTGAGACAAAAAAAACGTATATTGTCGTCCTCCGAACAAAGGAACGGAACTCCACTCCAAGGTTGCCAAATTAAATAAGACTTTTTTTTTTTTTTTTTTTTTACAAAAATGTCCCTACGCAATTTTTATCGAAATTTTTCTGAGTTTCGCATGACTTCTCAGCAGGGCCGAATTAAGGGGGTGGCCGGTGGCCACATGGGCCGCGGCCCATGGCGGTAAATTTAGGGGGCGGCAAATTTTGCAATTTTTTAAATGTAGCCATAACGAAAAATCAGATTCAGACAAAAAAATTACGAACGAGAAAAGGTAACAAAATCCCTCATTTCCTGAGAGTATATCTCTAATTTTGTCGTCCTTCTGTGATACAATAGACAGCACCTTTAATTAGTCGAGTTAAGACTAAGAGAGAAACCGAACACGGAATTTGGTCTGGAACGGCGCGGCGCAGAGAGCAATGATGACGAGAACGTGAGATGAAAAGGAGAAACCCTCGGCGCGGCGGTCGGCATGTAACACATATTAGCGCCTACAAGACTGCATGAATACTTCGCGCATTGCGCCAAAGACAGTGCGGTCGCTGCGGCCAACAGCGGGCAGCATGAAACGCATAGCGCCTACAAGATTGTATGAATACTTCACGCATTGCGTTAAACACAGTGCGTGCAGCAGCGGTCGTCCCGAAACGCAAAGCGCATATAAGACTGTAGGAATACTTCACGCATTGCGCCAAATACAGTGCGGTCAGCGCGGCGCGGCGGCGGAAGTTAAAATTATTAAACCACATTTATGTTTGTTCATTCATAATTTTTTGGTTCATTTCTTATAAATGGAGGGCCTTGTCCATACAGAGATAGGTTTACGGAACTTAACTTTCGCGCCAAGTTCCGTGAACTTTTGCTAGTAGAGTTGACAGAGCTTTTCACAAGAAATGTGACCAACACGAGTAAACGCGTCTTATACGCCTCTCCCCCTCCGGCACGTTTACTTGATGGCTTTTATTGATGTTTCAAAACGAATGAGAAGGGGGCGGCAAAATACAGGCGGCCCATGGGCGGCAAGTAAGTAAATTCGGCCCTGGTTCTCAGGAAATATCAGCGCTATTTTCATTTAGAAATGCTCAAGATTCTCCTGGTCAATATGCAATTTGCGAGGAAAAAGTTAGCAACATTGAAATGGATTTACGTTCTTTCTTGAGGGAAACGACGAAATGTCAAACCAAACCGGCGTCACAATAGTTTGTGGTTGGAAATCTTGCAACGTCGGAAACAAAGATACGTGGTGATCGATAAGCAGGAGCAAGGCTAAAATATAGTTCTAACCACCAGATTTTCTGGGGTTAATCATAGCTAAATTCAATTATTTAAAAAAGAAATCATGAACTTTGCAAAGTATCGGCTAAAATTCAGTGCGCCCTTTTATAATCTTGAATGTTGTTAAACTAGATCAGTTGCTAGAAATCTAGCGACCACTATCATTCTTTTTAATTCAATCATTCCAGCATTTTGGTAGGTGTGGAAAGTTGGAGAAGTTTCCTAAAAGTGCTATAAAAGCAATGACTTAAGAGAATGAATTTAAAAACTGAAAGAATTTCATCATTCAAGTCAAAGACTAATTTGCTGATAAGGTGCAACCCAATTCCCGTGAAAATGTCATCTTTTGAATTTGTCCTTCGGCATGTGCCAAGTATTGATTAGATTTGATTGATACCAGCTTCCTGCTTATCGTTTTGCTGGTGTCACCTCGTGAGAATATTGTTTTATTAATAAAATAATTAATTTTAAAGAGTAAGCTAGCCTCGTGACGCACAAAACTGATCCACCCACAAACTAACATATACTATCTTCATCACTTTTTTTGCGATTTTTATTTTGAAGCACTCTGATATTCAACGTGATCAAAATGACCAGAAATTTGAAGTATGATATCAGCTGACTCATTTTGAAAAATTTCATCTGCCAGTCTCCGACGATTTTCAGATAATTAGTCAAATGAATGTGCTATTTTTGTCCTCGGATTGTCTTTGTTCATATAAAGGTACACAACTCCATTCCAATGTTGTAAAATTTACAAAAAAATTCCATTTTCTTTATGAAAAAATGACTGTAAAATATTTGTCCAGAGTGGAACTGATTTATGTGTGTAATCAGAGGAATAATCAAAAAAGTTTTAAGCAAAACGTTTTCGACAGTTTCCTAATAAAAATACAATTTACGAGCAAAAATTTCGCAAAGTTGAAATGTAGTTACATACTTTAATATCTTAGAAACAACTGGCTGGAGCATAAGATGAAATGGTTCCTAGCGTGTTGGGAGAGATCTCTGTGAGGCTTTTCTGCTATTGTTTTGGTTGTTGATCTTCCCCAAAAAAGTGTAGGAGGAATCAACAGCAAGTACGCGGATTTTCATTTTAGTGGCAAAACATTGTATGTGCTATTGATTCCTCTCCCAAATATGTGGCGAAGATCAACAGCAAAAGCGTCTCCGGACTTTGAAAAAATGCTGTTGTGTGGCGCCACAATCCGTGGGGACAATCTCGGACATTTCACTCCAGCTGCAGAGTGGGGCCACTCTCTGTGGCGCGGATCAGCGCAGCCTTATAAAACCTCATATCTTCACTTATAAAAAATAAATTGCATGGTCCATTACTCATAGGCGTAGCTAGGTTATTTTGCTGGGGGGCCTGTCCCCCCACCACCGGGGGGGTCTAGGGGGTATAGAATTCCCCCCAGTTCAGTGGGGGGTCCGGGGGAAAATTTTTGAAATTTTAACTCTACTTGAGCGCATCTCGAGGTAGTTGTGGCGCTTATCTTCTTTCAATTTCTGCCTAAAAATCACCCAGTTTTTTGCATTTTAAGGTTAAAATAATTTGAAATTGTTGCATTCAACAAGTTTTTCTATTCATAGGCGTCCTCTCACGGGCCACGGTGACAGAGACTTACCGTTGAAGAAGGTGTTTTTGCAACATCCAAAATTTCTGGGGGGGGCAGATGATACTATTTCCAATTCTAGGGGGGCCAGGCCCCCCTGCCCCCCCTTCCTACGCCTCTGCGAGGGAGTGAATAATTTACTCCCCCCTGCCCCCCTGCCCCCCCTTCCTACGCCTCTGCCATTACTACGTGTGTAAGTCGATGTGTGAGGAAAAAGATGAGGGGGCAGAATTAGATATTACCTATACTGTACAAAGTGCTGTTGTGGATTTTAGTTCCACCACGTATGCCAAAAAAACTCAAATCAGAACTTCTAGAATTTTACCGGTATAGGGGTTTTTTCTCTCTCTAAAAAAAGTCTATGTGTTCTTCGTGCGTGGCTAACGAGCATAAGTACATCGCAGCATAATTTATTTCAAATTAAATCATTTAATATCGTATCCCTTTTTTCTCACTCGGTCACAATGATACGTTGGTTCTGCAACAAGACCCAGGAGATCTTTGGACTGAAAACACTTGAGACATTTCTTTTTGTGGAGAGTATATATGAGTTCATGTTAAGGATCTTAATTATGAATTTTTTTGCTGAGAGACTTCTTCTTATCACTGTATGTAAATGGGCAACTCTGCTTAAAGGCTCTGACGCAATCGCATTAATTCTTTTCTGGATCAATCCATCACTTATCAAATTGGATACACTTTGTGCCCTTGGTGCGGAGCTCCAGTCACAGATCAAAACACTGATATCAAAAATGCATTGAGACGAAAGTGGACTGATCCGAGAAAGGATCGAAAGGCTTTTAGGGAAAGAATCCAGACAAAAAAAAATAATAATAATAATAATCTGGTAGCAAACTAAAATAGTTTTGCTGCGAATTGTGTAAAATTATCTTTTGAAGAAAACTTAACACCAGCCAGAGTTGAAATTTCCAGGATTACTTGAAAAATTATTTTTCTCGAACTCAAATACAGTGAAAGCCCGATAAATCGAATTGTGTAGGGACTGATGCAAAATTCTACTCAGGCGGCAATTCGTCTCAACCGATTCTCAAATTAACTTACGAACGTTGCCAGGGACCGAGAAAAAAATCATTTTAATCGGCATTTCGTCTTGACCGTAGTTAGACTTGGCGAACCTATATTGTGGCACTATACAACTAAAATCCTGAAAAGAATTTGCGCTTTTTTGCAATAAAATTGCAATTTGTTTACCATAAAATTGAAGGATTAGTAACTTTCGAGCAATAAACGCTATTTGAGTTGCATGTATCATAAAGGTAAGCAACTTGCAATTCAAGGAAAAATTGCACATTATTTAAATGATATTGCGATCTTCAACGGAAGAAGTTCCTTCAAATATCAGGTAGGCAACACACTGGACACTCCAATGCAGTAATTATTCCATGTGGTCGCATCTGATTGCAACCTTGCTTTCCGGGGAAGGAACTATTTTACCTCAATCTTTAATTTTCGATTTCTTTCCAATGATCTAAGTTTTGAATAAAAATTGAACGTATATAAATTTTTACGTTTGACGTGATTTTTAAACCCGCGTTATTATTATTATCGAACCACGAAAAAGTTTCTTATAGTCACGATAGTACTTTTACAATGTCGTATTTTTGATAGTGACATGTTCATTAGTCATACCTCTTCGTAGACCTTTGTTTAAGCAAAGGTAGCTGTCATAAATACAGACGGTATCGCATAGTTTTGTGTTTATCACTATAATTAAAGTTATACCATGTTGAAAATGCAACAGTTCAAACTAAATCATAATAGGGATTATGTTGAAAGCGAGGAAAGCTTTCAAGTTTAGAAGCAGTCGCAAGAACTATGAAGAAAAATTACTCTCCAAATCTGGAGTTGTCTTATCTTTTTCACGATGTTACTTTGTCTTGAGACAGCAAGTGGCGTTATGGCCATCGCACTGCTGCAGGCAAAACTTAATTTTGTCCACAGAGATCTTATCATATAGCTAATATAATCACACATTTTGAACGGAGGCAGGTAGGTGAATGCCCTCACGATTTTGAGGATTATCGTACATTCCAATGTGCTCTCGAACTTTCACAAGTTCAGCGCCATGGTTTTTCAGCTTAAAATTACTGAATACATAAAGACTAACTCAGCACACAAAATATAATTTACTTTATGGTCTCCACATTTTATAATGCTGAAGAAAAAAGATATTAAGCCTGCATTTTTACACCACTTTTAGAAGCTGGTAAGGATGTATACAGTTATACACATCAAAAGACACACTCCCTCGGAAATTTTTGAACGAAAGTATTGATGCATGTCATTTTATTTCTAAGATAATGATAGCGTGTCCAAGGAAATTATAACGCTACCCATTGTTTTAAAACTGCGAAAGTTCTAAAATAACTACAAGGCTATCAAGTATACAGCACTCAGGTTAGCTCTATTTTGATTTTCTTGCCCATTCCCACTTATTCTAACGACAAATTTTTGTCAAAAATCACGATTATCCCTAAAAGAATCAGTTGTTCGCAAACCATGAATATGTCCATTTCCAGATGAGCCCCAGAACAATAGTCATTTTACGTAAAACTAGGTGGTATGCCCCCTAATTGCTTTTCGGTCCAACCCCCTGAATCGCTTTGCGCCACAGACGTTGCGCGTTAGGCGTTACTCTCAAGATTTTATATCATAGGGGGAAATTAAATAGGGCTCACTTTAAATTGAAAGTGTTCGCTGCTTTTAGAAACAACTGCTTCAAATATAGGGTATCACGGACCGACAGTACAGCAAAAATTTCTTAGAGTGCTCCCGCAACAAAAAAGGTTTGCTTACTTTTGGTTCCAGGATATCAGTCGCAGGTAAGCAATCAAGTTCAGGTTGATGATCTGCATGAAATGTGGGCCTCTAGTCCAAAGCTTCCGAGTCCAAACACGATGACGGGATTAAGTAGCACGCGACACATTCAAGTTCAAGTCATTTTGAGTTGTCTTTCTCACGCGCACGAGTATGGTAATGCTTAAAAAATTGGCTCCAATCTACTGAATAATCTCTACGGCGCAAAATTGGTTTTTATGCACGACCCGCTTCAGCGAAGAAACGTTCACTCGAGAATGTTTGGGTAACACTATCCTGAACAAATAGCTTTGTCATATTTTCCCCTATCTTTGCATGTAATAATTTATGCTGAAAAAAGTAAAGGCTCTTATTGATACTCGGTTTAAAATTTTCGAGTGAAATTCTATGGTTTAATAGAGCCCAAAACCCCGGGTGATACGAATGCGGATTGTGAAGTCTATTATTATTCTCCACAAGGAGTGACTTACACTATTACAGGGCGGAATCTACTTTTTTTGCGGAGTGCCGCACACTTTTACGATGCTGATTTCACTTTGCATTCATAACACGCGGGGTTTTTGGGCGCTATGTAGACTCCGGCTCCGAATTTCACTTAGTTAAATTTAAACAAGATTTCTCGGTTTTTGGCTATTCATAATATAAAAACAAAAGCTGAGCTATTAGCCGATTTTACGAATGCACTCTAACTCTTGCACATTGTTTTTTTTTTTATTAAAGCATAGCCTGAGTCGCAATCTTTGCATTTATTTGTAAAATCGGCAAATGGCACAACTTTTGTTCTATTTAAATATACCAACTTGTTTTTTGGGAAACGGTATCAAAACACGTGCTCCATTATACCACACTAGAATGCAACATTTCTTCTATGTTTTGATTCGTTCCCTAAGGGACATCTAAACAAAATTCAGTGGGTTATTTATTACTGATGATACGTGAACATTTAGTATCACCTACTAAATTGTTTCTTGGCTTGACTTATCAATTGCACTCATGCTGAAAGTCAAAACACATTTTTGCTAAGAGCCAAAATAATGATTCTCCACTGTAAAAAATCGAGGAGTGAACAGTGTCGGAATAGTACTAGAGCCCCAAAAATCCCGAATGATATGAATGCGAAGTGATATTAGCACCATAAAAGCGTATTGCACTCGGTAAAATAAGTAGATTCCCTTCCGTATTCATACCACTCGGGGTTTTGTGGCGCTATATAGACTCCGGCACTGAATTCCAAAATGTTTAACAGTGTAAAATGTTAAATAAATCTTTATTCAAAGGGGCTCATAATTTTGATATAATTTAGCTGGACCAGTATAATTAAATTTCGGTATCAGCGCATTTTATTGCCATTATATGTATATTAATGAAGCTCATTTTAAAATTTAGGTAAACCTCGTTAACTAAACGTATTATTCAGTAACATTTTGCACTATCCGGGGGAGGGGGTAGTAGAGACATTAGCTGAGGCTGGTTGCAAAATTCTACCAAGGGTCTAGATTTCTCTTCCGGTATGGTACATACTTTTTCATTTATTGGTTTTTCCTGAAGATAATAACGCCCCTCCCGAACGAAACCGCAAGAACACGATTGGAGACTTAAGGCAAATATTCACACACTTACGCGGTATTTAGCGAACACGGACAAAACAAACACAATCAAACTTTGATGAGCTTGGGCGAACGGAGCGCACCACGCCACGCTTTTGAATAATGTCAAGTGGTGAGAATCCTGGATGTTATGACACGAGCCTTATCGGGAAGGTAAACATGCAATTGTGAGAGCCTGTCGTGGGGCTTTTATCATAGGCTTGGGTCAAGTAATCTTCCCCGGGAGGGATATTCCAGGGTGTGGCGATCGGGATGTGGGTACTCGAGTTCAGGACTTCGAGCTCTCGTGGACCAGCTGGGATGAATCATATAGAAAGAAACAAAGGCACATTTTGGAGGAAAAATATGTAACGAGTCGTTTTGAGCTTATTCATAAATTGTCTCTTGCCAATAATTTAAAATCGAGAACCAATAATGTAAAGATTGTAACAGTTGTTGAACTATGTCTCTGACATTGTGTTTTATGGAGGAAAAAAACCTCAGTTTTTTCTATGAGTAATAAAAACGATTGCCAAAGATGCATAATTTTTTACAATTTTATTTATCAGGGGCTAGAACTGTGAAAAATTATGCATCTTTAGCAAACGTTTTTATTACTCGTAATCATAATTAGATGCGACATGCGGCTCAACAGCTTTTCAATTTTTTTCCTCTCGTTTCAAATCTGAATGGGTACTGTAAAGACCTCCAAATTCAGTGTGTAAAAAACTTCATATTTCATTATGTAGGAATTTCAAAATTCAAAATTTGAATAATTTCACACTTTAACTTTGCATATTTTGCAATACCTTTGCACCATACCAATTTGCATACCTTTTTTAGGGGGGAGAATGTAAAAACTTTACAACGGTGTATAGCTTTTAGTTGCCTAGTTACCTCCCTCTGTCTCTTATTCAATCTGATATGTACAGAAGTTTTATCACTCATTGTTCAATTAACTTCAAACCGGCATAAAAAAATGGGGAATGAAGTTTTTGCGCACAGAAGAGTTTTTCTTTTTAATGATTTTATCTAGCATGAAATTTTACTTGAAATGGTGCTTTCTCCATTCGGCTCATTTTTTCTGAAATCAACTTTAAATTGCGAAAAAATCTCTTGAAGTTGAGGCCATTATAGAATAGCACCCCTAGCTTCATAAGAGTGCCTACCTCTGATAATTCATTCTAAATTGTGTGTATTGATTACTTCGGCGCATCGAAAAAAAGTAATCTCACACTAAATTAATTCAGGGAAGATCATTACACTTTCAAGTTTTTTTTTTATATTTAAGTTTAAAATCTTCTCTCAGACGATGGAGTATCAGTATTAGCCTACTAAGAACCGCCATTGAGGCTCCGGATGTAAAGAGTCTAGTCTGCCAAGTAGTCGTTGAGCCACGGATTACGGTAACAAATATTATCAGTGTTCCAACATAAGTGTCATTGTAAGGATTTAAAATAAACAAAAGAAAGATAAATTCCGCGTGAGGCATGGGAGCTCCCATCAATTAGGTAACGGTATGCCTCCGTTGATACTTGATCTTTCACGATATCGACTGTAAAACTCGAAAAACATTATCTCGGTTTACAATGTTGCAAATTTTCTTTCATACAAAAATGTCATTCAAAGAGCGGACCTGCAATCAGCTATTCGCAAAATTTAGCATACTTTTGTTCGGTCCAATCAACAATGTTCTCTGTTTACTCTACACATATCTCATATCCAAAATTATCAGGAAACGCGTCATGTTATATTTTCATTGTAAAAATTCTCAGGAATTGAGTGTTATTTAGAAGAAGCTGGGCTGATTTTGCCCAGTCATTCATGCCGGAATCACACGCTGAATGTGGGAGCTGAATGTCGCTTGAATGAGGAAGTCTGAGGTCATCGGCCTGATGCCTGAATTTCAGCGACCATCGTATAATGTCGAATTTTTCTGAACTATTTGAATAGATTTAACACAAATCTGGGAGGAAATAACTCGAATTTGCGAAATTTCAGTCGTTGAGCGATGACTTTTGGCTTTCGTATTCAGCTGCCAAATTCAGCGTGTGATTCCGATATCATGCAAATTTCCTGCAGTTGAATGTACGGCGCAATTACTAATAACTTTGAATCTACTCCGCTATGTACTCCTGAGGTTGATTCACGCTGTATTCAGTACTAATATCCACACTGGAAGCTTGGAGCCAAAACATGTTAGAATTTGCGTTAAAAGGGGGAAAAAGAAACATTTAAGGAAAAAAGTTGCATAACAAAAATTTCTTTCCGGTTCTAACGACTAAACAAGAAAGAGCCCAGCCCAGCTTAACTCGGCCGAAAGGCACGACGACACAACACACAACATGAGCTTTTAATACCAACGCGTCGATGCGACTATTAGAGCTCGCTGGATGGCCATGTTGCATATCCAAATCAGTTGAAGGCGCAATAGTTTTCTTCATTCGAACGTCAGTAAACCGTCGAATAAGGTAAGATTTGTGCTCAAGGGGTGTCCGCTGTCCGCAATGTACAGAAATTGAACTTCGACTCAAATAATCATGTCTTTGATGAAGATTACGACTACTCAAAAAAACAACAGTATAAAGACATACAGCAGAATGTAAAAAATGTACGATTGACATTAAAACTTAGGTTGCCTGACCTTAAGTTTAGTTCCTATTAAATATAAAAAACTTCTGTTATCTGAGCCGAAAACTTTGAATCCATGAAAACCGAGGATTTTTCTCAAATTTACCAATACATACTTTTATGCTCAAGTTTATTTCATAGATGATAGGTCCCGTGACTTACATAATGCATCCAAAAATTCACGCGAAATAACTTCGAGTCGTCCTCCCTTCACGCCTACTGCGTCTTGCACATCCACTTCTCAATTTTGACCGACTCTAGTCCTTTACGCCTGACTTCAGATCGTCTTTCACTTGTATGAGTTTCGGGTATAAAACACACGGTGCGATGCTCCATTCTATCATCAGTCATCACCGTGCTTCAAAACAAACTGCATCAAAGCCAATCCGTCAAAATGGTTTTCAAGGTATGTTGATTCTCCGAATTATTTGAAATCTGAAACTTGAGGAAAGATGCGTCCAAAGACCAGACCTAGATTTTCATTCAAAAAAAGTCAACAAAAAAATAATGTCCAAGCGCCGGTGATTTTAAATCTTACGTATAGTGAACATTTTAGGGCGCATTAATAAATTCAAAAATTTCTAAATACATTTATACTGATTCTTAATGGCAAGAAAGACTTTCAAACGCAATGCCTACGTGCTAAAGTGCAAGATTTTTTCACATTAATTCTACCGGTAGATAGACAATATCACCAAAAAAAAAAGTATGGTAACATTTACTATGAGTCTACTTGATTTTTTACACAGTGATACTATTTAGTGAAAATAACCGGAATTACCTATAGTAGTGTTCAACAGAACTCAAGTGACTCTTACCATAATATGGTAAATGCTACCATAAGGTCTGGTGTTTATTACCATACTCGTATCACTGTGTCAGAATAGGGTAAAATCCACCATAATTTTTTTTCAGTGATGTTCCCACGGGAAATTAACACTTACGCTATTATTGTTTGGATGTCTTGAAAATTGTATTTTGCATACTTATACAAATTATGATATGTTTTTCGCCGCTTATCGAAGAAGAAAGAAAGGAAATTATTACTTTTATTCGAAAAGTTTGACCCACCAATAAGGAAATTATTACTGATAATATGAAACTAATGCATGTTATCTTTCGTTCCAGTTCTGCATCCTGGCTGCCCTCGCTACCGTGGCTAGCTGCGGCTACGCCAGCTCCTCAGCATACGTGAAAACTGCCCCATCCCACGGCGCCGCAGTAGCATCTTACGGAAGTTACGGCCACGGTGCGGAGTCCGACGGAAGTTACGGCCACGAGTCGTACCCTGACTCTCACCCCAACTACAAATTCGAGTACAGCGTGCACGACCCGGACACCCACGACGTGAAGGCCCAGGCCGAGTCCCGCGACGGGCACTACGTCAAGGGCTTCTACTCCCTGGTGGAGGCCGACGGGACGAAGCGAGTCGTCCACTACGCCGACAACGGCCACGGCTTCGAGGCCACCGTCCACAAGGAGCCCGCTCACCACCCCATCTCAGCCCCTGCTCACCACCCCATCTCAGCCCCTGTCCTCCACTACTCCTCGTCTCCATCGCCCGTCTACCACGCTACCCCGGTCTACGGAAAGCACGCCTGAAATCTCTAGTCATCAAATGTGATCGGTTTTCAAGAATGTTGCTCAGTTTTAAATTTTAAATAAACATCATTCAAATCAATCTGATCACTATAATTATTTTTGAATGTGACGCGCTTTTACGATAAATTTACAGGTTTTTAAATAAGTTTTACAGCCTGGTCTTGTATTTTTCTCAAATGTTTTTCATACTTACAAGGTTTTTTTTTTTTTTTTTTTTTTTTTTTTTTTTAAATTTTGCTCATATTTCTGTATCTGGGATGTAGAGGCTGCTCACTACCCCATCTCAGCCCCTGTCCTCCACTACTCCCCGTCTCCATCGCCTGCCTACCACGCTACCCCGGTCTACGGAAAGCACGCCTGAAATCTCTAGTCATCAAATGTGATCGGTTTTCAAAAATGTTGCTCAGTTTTAGATTTTAAATAAACGTCATTCAAATCAATTCGATCAGTATAATTATTTTTGAATGTGACGCTTTTAAGACAAATTTAAAAGTTTTTAAACAAGTTGTACAGCCTGATTTTGTATTTTTCTCGAACTTTTTTCATACTTGCAAAGTTTTTTTTTTGTTTTTTGTTTTATTTTTTTATTTATTTTTTTTTTTTGGCTCATATTTTCTGTATCCGGGATGTAGAGGCTACATACTCGAAAATAAAAATTGGAGGCGATTTTGCTTCTTAAAGACTGAAATTATCAAATTGGCTTGGACTGTAGCGTCATAATGCAACTATTCGTGATCCACGGATATGCGTGTTGCATGTTCAAAATTAAAGGCACTTTCTCTTTTTTCTATCTCTTCATGGGGCCATGAGATTTGTCGTTGGTTGAATCACCCTAATAACAGAGTACCGAGGTCAGAGTATCAAAGGCCAGTAATTGGTTCGGTCATTCTTAAAGAGACCTCAATGCCAAAAATAAAAATACGTGGAAAACATTAGAAAGTGTAAAAATCGACCCGCTTTAAATCGTACATTATATAATAAATGTGATGTATAAATTCACCGCTTTAATATCCCAAAGCTTCAAAATTTAGAGAGAATCGATTAAAGCATTTTTTACTTTTCCTCTCGTATTATAATGGAGATGTTGCGTGTGTGAGGAATTTGCGATTTGACTACTGATTCTTACGTAAAAGTTCACGAGAAACACGATGGTGCCACTAGGTTTTCTCTGAAATCAACTTCCAAGCTCATGAAAAGCTCTCAAGTTGAGGCTAAAATGAAGGGGATATCCCACCTTATCCTGAAAGTCCACCTCTGCATCAAGACAAACTCTCCATGCTGAGATAGGGAGCAAATGCACTAGCAGGGTTGCCGCGTTTTCAGTTTTAGAGTCCCCAAATAAAATGGCAGCCCTGTCAATGTATTTGCTCCCTATCTTTGCATGGAGAGTTTGTCTTGATGTAGAGGTGGACTCTCAGGATAGCGTGGGATATCCCCTCCATTTTGACCTTAACTTGAGAGCTTTTTTTGAGCTTGAGAGTTGATTTCAGAGAAAACCAATGGCACCATCGTGTTTCTCGCAAACTTTTACATAAGAATCAATAGTCAAATTGCAAATTCCTCACACATGCAACATCTCCATTGCTGGTGCTTAAGTCTTTCTTATAGAATGACCGAATCAAATAGGTGATTGTCTCTACCTACGAATACCTCACCGATTGTGAGTTGATTGCGGCGCCTTCATGCAACTATTCGTGTTCCACGAATGTGCGTGTTGCATATTCAAAAATTGAAGGCGCTTCCGCTTTCTTCGCCTCTTAAGAAATGCACGGGAATCGCCGTTCGTTATAGCATCTGAATAACAGAGTGCATATTTAAAGAAACTAGGTATTGCATCTAGATCCTTTTACTACCAAAAAAGTGTCGCTCTGTAATTGGATGTATTTGTTCTAAAAGGAACCAGAGACATTTGGGAAAGATGGGGTGTGCTCGCTTGAGCGGCATAAGAAGCAATGTAAAAGCGGGCCCGTGATTCTTTTTGGAAAAATGAAATAGGTATTGGGATTTGACACTAAACCAAAAGGAACTAAGCGGCAAAATATGCAAACTCATGAGCCGAAGGCATGTGACTAGAGCGTTGTGAACAGGGCTCATGAGTTAAAGCGACTTGTTCCCATCGTCGCTTCGCAGCTGACGTCACTGGCGCCTTATAATTCCCATTTATTCTTACGGTCCTCAACTGACGGGCATACCCCCTCTTTCCCTCCCGCTTCTGGTTCAGTGGCGTGGCATTAATTGCGATAAATCGATTGATATGTAATTTAAACCTATGGTAAAGAATCGATTATTAAGGTGTTCGCTGCGAACACCCTGTTTATCGATCCTTTCCCATAGGTTTAAATGGTATATCATTCGATATATCGCAAAGCACGCCACGCCACTGCTCTGGTTCTTTTTAGCATAAACACTATACCAATTGGACCGAGTTCATAAGAAAGGAACCAACCCACATTTAGTTGAAACTGAGAAAAAGAGGTTTGAAGTTTTATTCCTGCATTTCCTGCATTAGGCTCAATGTAAAAAATTAACTTTAACTCCTTTAATCATAAACAATTTTTGTTTGTAGACTTTTTATTTTGCCAGGAGAAAATTTACGGCTAGTGAAACTCAAAAACATTCTTAACTTAATTTTTTTTTCGAAAATGTGGGTTGGTTCCTTTCTGATAAACTCGGCCCAACCAGTCAACGAATTTTAAGCTTTCGGGATTCCAAATTTTAAAATAATTTCTGAACAAAATTTGATTGATATTTTCGTTGTGATTTACGACGAACACGGCAGCACTGCCGTGCTAAGGAAAAACGTCGCATGAGCCCTCAGACGTTGCGAAGTTTCCTCCGTTTAAAACTGCAATTACTGGGAAAATTGTGAGCATTATTTTCTCAAATTTTCAGACAATTTTGTACACAATTTAATCTAAATTATCTGAAAATTTCAAGGTAAAATATGCATGAATGTTGTCAAAAATACATGCTTTATCATGGGAAATTTGGCAACTCTTGAATGTTCATATGGCGTTCTTCCTTTGCATGGCAGAGTAGTGGCGCGTTATTTTCGCACATCTACGCAAATTCCGTCATTTGGCGGCGTTCCAGCGCGACTCTTCTTCTGCTGGTGTACGCACGGCCGAAGCGAGGGGGAACCGAGAGCGTGGGTTGGGGGATTAGGTGGGGATCTGCGCAGTGACGATCCACCTAACGGACCGGAGCTTCTCAGCACCGTTCTCCACTGAGTCAAGTTCAACAAGTGTTCATCGTAAACAGGAGCTCTTCACTGTAAGTTATTCACCATAATATTTATATTTACCTCAAAGCTTCAAATCTTCTGGATCTAAGGAGGATGTAAACAAATGATGTCACTATTGAGCTGTTGCGTTCGCTCTCATACATTTCTTAATCACTTCCAGTATGTTAAGTTATTATTATGACGTCTAAATTATATATTTCTTAATATATCTAGTATAAAGGCGAAATTTCAAATGAAAGTCCAAAAAATAGTTATGATACATTTCTTCGTTAGGAAAAACAGGACATAGGTATTATTACAGAGAATAAAAAAAAAAAAAAGCTTCTTTGTAAATATTTTTGTTTCTTTAATTTTTATACTTGCAATGTCCTATTTTCAAAAAATTCTTTCTTTCCCTTCTTTCTTTTTCTTTCTCTTCTTCTATTTCTTTTCTTTTGCCCTCTGCTTCTTCTTTACTTGAGCCTTCGTTTTCATACACCTAGAGTATACGTCTCTTCTGTGTAGCAAACCGTTTTGTGTATCATCTTTTGATTTTTTCATTCAATGTTAAACAAATTAAACGATTTGATAAAGCTAAAATATGTTGAAAAGTGACCAGACCAGAACTAGGTTACATTAATGAAATATTTTAATATTTTGTTTGAGTCAATATTTCAATTTGTACCTGAATGTAAGGCACGTTCCTTCGTTTGGAGGACAAAGAATATGGTCTTTTGGTTCCTCTAATAAGTAGCATGGCGGATGTAGATAAGGAAAATTTTTGCACAACCCGTGTTTGCAAGCCCGGATACAAATCATTACAAAAAATTCGGGTAAAGTGGTTTTCTCCCAATTTTTAGGTGAATAAAGTACACGAGAAATTGAAACGCAATCAATGACGGGAATATCGTTTATTTCAATCTCAAAAGGGATGTGGGATGGAAATTGTTAATTTTAACATCCGTAAACATAGAACGAAGCTGTGTGCGCATCGCTGAAAAGTAAGCAATATTCTTCGACGCCCGACTTTTGACGCACACTGCGATTCGTCTTGGACAGGACGCGCAGAATGGTTCGTCACAAAGTTGCCGCTTGGTGCGCATTCAACAAATCATGTTTTCAAGACAGACTCGCTGTGAATTTAATTTCGCGCGAAATTTGGCAACATCAACTCTTATTGATGGTTGTGTTTACAAATGGCTATTTCCATATGCTATGTCTAAACCGAGAGCGCGAGACCCACGTGTGAACGCAAATAATCAAGCGATGAATGGGAAAGAAAGCTTTTGCGCTGCGAGCAACTTCTTCGCAAGGTTGTCAGGTTGTGCGATAAAATGTGAATATTTTACATGCTTAAATGAAGGAAACAGCTTATTCTCAGCATTATCTTGCAATGCTTCTTGCCAAACTTACAAATACGCGCAATCGAATCAATGGCTACATCCATCATCGGATTTAGCGTAGGTTTAGGGATCAATTCTTTCCTCTCTCAAAAAAAAAGAAAAAAAGAAAAAAAAAGGTGCGCACACAATTAGACGTATTTCTGTCAAACGGAACTAAGCGCCATACGGGAAGGGAGNGGGGGGGGGGGGGGGGGGTCTTTGATCGGCGGCGCAACCGGGCGTCGGACTCATTCCGTCCTATACTCGCAATGATTTTACATGGCGCTTAGTTCCGTTTGACAGAACGCACTATCCGGCATTCTAAATTCCTCAAAAGGAACTCAAATTGGCGCTTAGTTCCGTTTGACAGAAATACGTCCAATTGAGCTTTGAATTGACCCTAAAGTCGCATTTTCCAATAGAGTGAGGCTGAAATAATATTTCAGACAGCATCTTGAAACATATTTGCACAAATTTCTGCTAAAATAAACTATGTTGCATGCACATCCTTTGCACATAACTCGTTTTAGCATGGGTACATCAATTTTTGCTCCGTAACTTCTTTTAGCGATCTGCTAATGAGGAGACGTCCCGGCGCGAATGGCTTCACATCGACCCATCGCTGGCGCCCGGCCTCATGACCCTGAATGTCACTTCACCACGTGCTCCCCGACAGCAATGCCAGTTCGTCAAAGTGTACCCAAAGAATAGGCTGTTAGAGGCAGTTTGTACTTCAGCAAATTCCACAAGAGGGTGCTTTGTTTGGGCTATTTTTTCATTTTCAACACACGGAGTGAATACTCGTCTCACACGGTTCAATGAAATGTGCTGAAATGCGTCTGAATGTGGTTTTCGTCGACGCAGACTAATTCGCCTTCTTTTGACGAATTAGACAAGACGCGCTCCGCCAAGCTGGTATTGTGGTATCTTTCAGTGACTCTCGATGAGGTACATTTGGCACTGGGGTGCCATAGAGCGCCAAAGTGCGTTGTAGAGGCTAAATATGTGTGCATACAGGGCCGGATTTACTTATTTGCCGCCCATGGGCCGCCTGTATTTTGGCGCCCCTTCTCATTCGTTTTGAAACATCAATAAAAACCACCAAGTGAACGTGCCGGAGGAGGAGGGTTGCATAAGACGCGTTTACTCGTGTTGGACACTTTTTTTTAGAAAGCCCTGTCAACACTACTGGCAAAAGTTCACGAAACTCTGCGCGGAAGTTAAGTTCCGTAAACCTATCTCTGTGTGAACAAGGCCTTCCATTTATATGAAATGAACGAAAAAATTATGAAAGAACAAACATAGATGTGGTTTAATAAGTTTAACTTCCGCCGCCTTGCCGCGCTGACCGCACTGTGCTTGGCACAATGCGTGAAGCCGACCGCTGCTGACCGCATCGACCGCACTGTCTTTGACGCAATGCGTGAAGTATTCATACAGTCTTGAAGGCACTAATATGTGTTACATGCCGACCGCCGCGCCACGCCGAGGGTTTCTCCTTTTCATCTCAAGTTCTCGTTATCATTGCTCTCTACGCCGTATGAGTCTTCAGGCGCTCCAAAATTTCCCCTAGTAAATCACGAATTTCAGGGTTAATTTGTAAATATTTATCCTCCAACTTTTCAGATAATTTTGTTCGCAATTTCACCTAAATTCCCTGAAAATTTCAAGGAAAAATATCCACAACTTTCCTCAAAAATAAAAATTTTATCGAGGAAAATCTGGCAACTCTCGAATATTCATACGGCGTTTTTCCTTAGCACGGCAGAATACGGCAGTATATTAAGATCACTTTTTTTGCTCGGCATGAGTCTAGTTCTATATTAGGATAGAGATAAGTCGTTTCGATCAAACAGAGAGTTCACGTGTGATGACTTCATCACATTCATCCACTTCACTGTTGATAATTCATGAGGTAATTTGGCGTCCTTGCTTCCAAATTGATCCCAATTAGAACGTGGCTCAACTAATTCACCTTTGACTGGAGCAAAATCGTCATGTGTTTTTTGTCACTGGATAAGGTTCCGAGTTAACGCCCGAGAGCACATCAACGATACAAAATTACTAGAATCCGAACTTCGATCGCAGTGGTTCAAAAAGTCCGTTTTTCTTTTATTTCATTACAAGGAGTATTGACTGGTTATCCCTGCACAAAATCCTTACAGAATATTCTTGAAAGAGCCTATGAAATTACACAGATATGCCCCAAAAACCTTACCGTCAGTTATTTCTTAAACAAATTGTGGCAGAGGATTTATAGTATCAACAAACGAAATACGTAGTATAGCAGTTTTTCCATGGATTTATATTTTATCTGTCTTCTTAGAGCAAAATATAGGGTGGCGTTTTGAGAGATGGAAACACTGTTTTTCCTCCGTATAAAATCATTAAAAATATCGATTTTAGATTGTGCAAACTCCCTCACCAAGAATCGATTGTTTTACATGCACTTAAATGGAGGAAAACAGTGTTGCCAACCCTCCAGAGTCGCCACCATTGATTGCCGATACTTTTGAGCTTAAGATTCAACTGATTTCGACTTGGCTACTTTTAGACTTTGACTCGCTGTCATTCCATTCTTCATGTTCGTTTGAAATCCAACTTAATTTTTATTCCGATTTAAAGCAATTTTGAAGAGCCTCTAACTCAGTTTTAGCAAAATTAGACCATGACCAATTTTAACTCATGATTTAACCCAATAAATTAAAAATCAATCATATTTTCCATCAGAATTACCAAGAAATATGTGGAGAAAGAATTTTATAGTATTGCGGCATTCAAGATCCTTGTTGAGACTTCAGGTCATGTAACTTTTTTGCGCCTATATTTTAAACTCGTCTCTAAACAATATCCGGTCACATTTTTTTTCTAATTTCTCGCAAGAATCAAGGCAATGCTGAGTTGAAGGTCTGAAGTTAGTTGGAACATTACGTAGCTTTTCCCACGTAAGGGCTTATCTCGATTTTCGCATGAGCCCCAGAAAGCATGCATTTATATGTAAAACAGGGCTCGGGAGGAAATCTAGATGTCCTAAGGTCAGAGGGGCAACAAGTTTTGGTAAATTGAGTTAGAAAAGCTTTCTTCAAACCTATTCTAATCACTGCATAACCAGAAAAACCATCCCATGGATAAGAGAGTGACTGTGGTCATATTTTCTATTCAGTTGGGCTACGCTTTTTATCAAACAAAAAAACAAAAAAAAACTAATTCCTGACAATGAAGATTTCATTATTTATTTTGTTTATCACCAGGTCTTATCAAGAGGTCAGTGACACTTGCGTGATCCAATTTTTTTCTTTGAGCGCATATATTTATTTGCCTTGCACCCTCATTGCTCCGATGAGAGTAAAAAAAAACCAGAGACAAGTAAATTTTTGTCGGAAAAAATGAACGGCTGTAGCGTTAACTCCGCAAAAATGTAATACGCACTTGCGTTAACTTGGCAGGGTGGCCCTTATCTTTGGTAGTGCACAATATAAACTTCCCTCATCTCTGACGTTGTTTCCTCTCCACCATAGTTGTCGGACTGCAAGATTAATCTCCAATTTTTAGTTGCCTCACATACTAAAATTAAGTAATTACTTGGCGTGTTTAAAGCACTGCCCTTTTCTTTCACGCTCGGTTGCCACGATGCAAAGTTTGAAGCTTTTGTGGTGATGTATTTTCACGCAAAATACGTTCTCTCCATCACAAGTCGGCACCTATGTCAGGGGTTCCATTTATATTTTCTAGGAAGTAATCTTTCATTGATCGGCAGTTTACTTTCCGGCGCCCCGAAGCTTTACCGTTCTCTTATGATCCATAAAATCGGAGGGTTATTTCAGTTAGTGTTTTACGTCCGTCCTCAAAAGACAGTTTCGGTTGGGGCTGTCGCTTTTCGGTAATTGTCCCAAACGCCGAGGGCTACTCGCCATTTGACCGAGTTATAGGTTTTGATGATCGTAAAAAGTTCTTCAAAAATATCACGCGGCAATATTCAGCATTATTCAAATTCCACAATTTGGAAATTTGTATTGATACCGAAGGTCATAAAATACCGAACCATCGCACCACCATCGACCATTTTACCATCGCAGAGATAAACTCGTGTTTAATTTTTTTCTAAGACGGCTATTTCACAATTTTTTCGTTTTCCTCAAAAATTTTTAAGAATTTTCTTCACTTATTTAATCGCATTTCCAAAAAATTTCGAGAGGATGTTTTGATTCGTCTCCTCTTAAGAAAAAAACATAATCAAAGATTTTTAAAGGCGATAAAGACACAAATTCTTCGGCTTTAACCATCGATATTCTAACAAAAAAAATCGCTTCCCGCCTTCGTAACGCACATATTTTTAAATCTATTGTCAGGTGTTGCGGTTTGAATTATTGTGTTGGCTGTATCATTCTCCGATTTCTAAATATGGTCTCACGTTGTGACATTGTTTAGGGCATCATTTTTGTGCTCAATATTTTATTTTTTGTTACTCGTTTCTCCTACCATGCTTGGTGTTACTCTGTGTTACTTTTCTCTGTGTCTGATCAACGCGGATGACTTGGTTGCTCGATACAATTTTGCGTTAAATCGACCCAAAACTGTAGGTTACTCTTAGACATCGGATCATAATGAAAATGTCCTTCGGAACTTACGCACTCCCGTTTCCTCGTCCTCTCGTTTTCCTTACAGTCTTCCAGAAGTTGTGCCTTGCAATCGGCTAACGCATTGGATTACCATCGATGCAATCCAGGTTCCTTCCTTGCGGCTGGCGAATAATTTTAAACAAGGTCGCAGTTTATCAACACAAAGATTTGGTTTTGACACGGGGAAAACTAACACAAAAAATTAACCAACAGCTTGTGTCACTTCGTGTTTAACTTCCGAAATTAACTCAATAGTGTGGTTACTTTTTCTGGCTGTGTAATTCCTACTTTTTTTTCTTTTATCTTTTTTAGGTCCCTGAAACACGATAAAAATGCAGCTGGTAGGAAACAATGTCCAGCCTCAAGCACCTGAGGGTGAGTAATTTCTATTAGAGTTCTTCAAGCTATCAAAAATGTTGCTTCGTACGAGTAAGTCATTACTTTAAAGGAATCGACAATATTTTTGAAAAAACAAAATTAATAATAATCAGGGTGAAAATTATGGCTCATCCAGAAAAAAACACAAACAAAAAAAACCTGCATCAACTGATAGTAATATCTGGGGAAATATATCCGGGAGGCAAAGGAACAAATGGCGTTTAAGTGCGAAGATTTTAATGACATTTTAATGATTTCTCTTCGAGTTTAACACCTAGGCCAGTGACTTCACTCATGATTTGAGCCATATCGACGGTGAAAGTCGGCAATCACATAACTCGGTTTGCGACGTCGCAGACTTCCTGTCATACTTTATTTTTTAAATGGTAAACTACTCATCGGCAATTCTTTAAAACTGTCATGATTTTTCTTCTCAATGCGAAGAAAATGCTGCAAAAACTTCAAGAAATAATATCAATTTGTTTTCCTTTAAAAAAATGACGTAGAGGCGGAGATTTTCAGACACCGCGAACGAGTTATGTGATTGCCGACTTTCACCGTCGATATACATTTCTATTTTCTTTTTGGCGGAGCATGGCGCTACAGGTTAATAGGATAGCACAAATCGAGAGGTAAGGAACAATATTGCCTTGTTGACAATTTTGGCGAAAATGAGCTAACGGCTTCGTCGCATTTTACAGTATAAAATACGCAAGTTGATGTTTTTATTTTTTTCAATTCTTCAGGGAAGCACTGTAACGACGCTAAAATGTATGAAAAAATTGCAATCTAACCTCAAAATTACAAGAATGGCGCACTTTTTTCTTCGTCCTACAAAATTGTCAGTTTGCAGGTGGGCGGTAGTGTCCCTTAGCTGTCGATGTAGATTTATATGTCAAACACTGATTTACACCAACGAGAAACTAATTTTGATACGTAGCAGTGTAAAATCTGTGATTTTTTAATTTGATTTTTTAATTTTGCAGAAATGAGCGGCGACGCGCGGAAAAACGCTGTTGCCTCGCGCGGAAAAGTTCACGAGGCCAAAGGTCATGCATTTAAAGCAACTCTCCTGACCCAACCCTCATTTTGCTCCCAGTGTGATGCATTCATTTGGTACAGCTTATTACATTATCTTTCCTCTCTTTTTATTTTCTTTGTAGCATTGTCGCAGGAACGTCTTCCGTGGTAGTGACAATTTTAATGTCGCGGGAGCAATTAGCAATCGCCAATTTGCAAACGATTTAGGTGTTTTTTAGATAAAGCCTAACACCGTAACAATCCGCATCGGCATAGTGCAGGTTCAATAGGCAATGTGCTTCCAAATGATGACCTCGGCTCGGAGCGCCTTCATTTTTTGTGATACTCAACGCTTTGTTACAGAGTTAGTTTAGTTGCCTATCCAATCTGAGCCCAAAACTAAAAGGTTTTTACTTGAGGCGCTCGCTTGAGTTACTACATCGTTTTTACGGAGGAAAAATTGTTACACCGTTACCATTAAATGCAAAATAATCAGTACATCTAATCTTAATTCTTTAAACTTTAAATCAGATGCTTGACATTTATCAGATGCTTTATGCTTTTCTCGTAATGTATTGGTGGCTTGAGAATTTCCGACGATTGCTGATTGCCTGCGGCATTTCGTCGTTCCCGACACGAAGGAACATAACTCTATTCCAAGGTTGCAAAATTGACGCAAAAAGTACAATTTTTTTCAAGAATGCAGCTGAACAATTTTGGACCGGATTTTTCTGATATTTGGCATGAAATCAGAAACAAAATCAGTGAAATTTTCTGTCAGAATTACCCAAGAATCTGTCAAAAATGCTATCTGCGAGTGGATTGGCAACATTGATATGCAGTTACGTTCTTATGTGGAGGGAGGCGATTTATATCGAATTGCTTGCTAGAATCCTTTTGTTTTTCTTTAAAAAATAAATAAGTCAGAAGAGTTATGCAAATTCGATTATAGTTAAATATATCAAGGTTGATTGGCTGACTTTTACCAGTACCTAACAAAACTCCTTTCGATGATAAATTGAATAAACCTACAATTGGAGTAATTTTAAACTGAATATTCAATCCAATTCTCTGAATCCGTTTCCTAAATATAACATCCAATTGTTACTTGAACTTTTATCAGCATTGTCTTTATTTAACTTTTGCAGGGGCTGGGGTAAACAAGGTTATCAATGCCAAGGTGAGTCATAATTGTCACATTTTATCTCCCTCAAATTTTTTTGTACTCTATTATTGTCATTTCAGTTGAATGCTGCGTGTATAATGTGGGATGCGCAATAAAATAGACGAAGAGGAGATTATGCAGCTCATTTTCGATTTGTTCCCCCTGTTTATTTCAGCATATACGTCAGTGGCGTGGCGTGCTTTGCGATATATCGATTGTTATGCCATTTAAACCTGTGATGAAGAATCGATTATTAAGGTGTTCGCTGCGAACACCCTGTTTATCGATCCTTTTTCATAGGTTCAAATGGCATGACAATCGATATATTGCAAACTGATATACGTATATATAAGAACAAGAGCAATACGACGATACCAGAGGTGTAGCGTGTTTTGCGATATATTGATTGATCTGCCATTTAACTTTATTGAAAAGGATCCATAAACAGGGTGTTAACAACGAACACCTCAATAATCGATTCTTTATTATAGCTTCAAATGGGAGAATATCCATAATCGATCACTCACGCTTCGCCATTGGTCAATATCTAAGGAAGAAATGTATTCGATGGAAGCATTATTATTATATACTTCTCCATGAAATATTAGTGATTCCTTTTTTAAATAAGAAAATTCAATTTTCTGCAACTTGTCCTCAGTGTGAAAAAAATACGAAGGGTTCTTAAAGGAAGGATTCAGACAGTTTGGCCGCCTTAAATGCCTTCGAAAATGAAGAAAATAGGTCGGATGCAAGTAATAAGAAGTTTTAAAAAAATCAAAACATTGAAAAGTACTTTCAAAGTATTATATGTAAAATGCCGTATAAATAAGCATGCAATGCTCTACGATCCTCCAATAGAAAATAGAATACTGTTGTCAAATTTATCAATTTTATTTCTTATCTCTTTCGCCATTCCTTTATTAGATATCACGTGACGATTTCCACTGGATTGCATTAACACATAGTTTTGTTAACGTGTTAACGTTGTATGAACGTGCGTGTTTGTTAACGTTTATTTTTTCCGTTCCAGGGTGCTCTCTTGTGACCCACAAGCGCTGTCATAATGTTGTCCGCGCAGAATGTCCCAAAACAGATACCCAGCAGGTAAAATACATTTTTAAATTTAAAAAGTTGTTACCGACTGAACATTTGTATTGGGCTCAACAAAAAGAAACCAAGTTTCTTGAGGAGCAAGGTCTACTTCTCTGACCGACACGAGGAGGATCCCCTCCTTCCCCTCAAAGTTGCATTAATTAGTAAACCTCAGAAGAGCTGCAGTGGAAAATAGAGCGCCACGGACATTGCACATGTCGGACATGCACTTTGAGAAACTGTTTCCAAATTGAATTTTCTCATCTTATAGTAATCCTAATAAGATTCTTAGTGAAGTGTGGGTTTAATATAACGTGAAGTTGGTATGTTTAATGTCCGGTAACATTATTATGAAAATTTTAAAGGTTATTTACGTTTTTTTGTCGTCATGGACATTACATCCTCCATTTTGTTTCAAAATAGTTCTTCCACAAACATAGTTCTTTATTAATCAAACATGATAATTTCTAAATGCCTTTTTGGGTTTTTTCCCCTCATTTCCGATACATGCAAAAAAAGGATAATTTATTTTAACAATAAACCTAGGTTTTCGACGAAACTAAGTAATATTTTGTACATACAGAATCCTCATTTTAAAAAATGCCCAATCCAACCCTACTCGTTTTTACAAAATAAAAGTATTACAGAAACTTTTGTAGGGGACGGTCAAAGTAATAAAAATCGTGAACGCTGCCGGCTGATGGGGCCATCTCGACCCCGAAACGCGTCCCAACTAAATTAATATAGCGCAAGGGAGTTCGCGATTTTTCTCACTTTTTTATAAAAATATTTGTTAAGAAAATTTCAGATTTTCAATTACAAATTGATTCGTTTGTATATTGGTATTCACAATTGCTCTCTTCGTAATAATGAAAAATTAATACTGCATTCGGCGTGTAAACTCCGAGCCGTACATGTTAAAGCACCTGTTAAAGTAAATGTATCAGTCATCATGATCATTATAATCATCCTATATTTCCTACATTCTAGGTTGACAATGATGAAGCCGGATCCTCAGTTCAAAAAGGCAAGCACCCCCACTCCTTCGCAGCCACCATGTTCATGAAGCCAACTTTCTGCAATCATTGCGGTACCTTGATCTACGGTTTATACAAGCAAGGACTTCAGTGTAAAGGTCAGTCATTTTTTAACGTCAATGAAATCTTAGTACCTTTTCTCTTAGTATTGTTTTTCCAAGGTCATCTTAGGGCAGTGGAAAATTAAATGAGTTTTGGATCCGTTTGTAATTCGACCCTCCCCAATTCATTTTTACGATAAAAGGATCATAAATACACCAGTGGCGTGGCGTGAATTGCGATTTATCGATTGTTATGCCATTTGAACCTATGGTAAAGAAACGATATTAAAGTGTTCGCTGCGAACACCCTATTTATCGATCTTTTTCCATAGGTTTAAATGACATAACAATCAACATATCGCAATTCACGCCACGCCACTGAAATACACTATATAATGTTAAATTTGGAGGTTTTATGACAGTTTTAACTCCCATGTGAGGATTTATATTGTTAAGATGAATTCTTTTCCCCAAGACTTTACACAGCCCTCACACTCTATCCCCCTCTATCTCCCAAAAAGTCAATAAACTGTGGATTTTTCTGCCATAGAAGCCTGTTTTTCAGCACTGATTCTTCAAAAACACTGAGGACGACGAATGAAATTTTTTTTGAAATTCCGAGCAAAATCTATAAAGTTCGTAACGTAATCCCTTACCTGATACCCTACCCTTTGTAACGCTGCGTGACACTGGTACGGACTCCTAAACACTCTGAAGATTTTTACGTTTTTTTGAGATGACCCTCGAGGTAGGTTTTCATCGTCTTCGGGAATGGTTCGAAGCTGGACACATCAATCGATAATTTCTGGATTTAAGGACGTATTTTTAAAAAATCACATCGTAGTATTTCAGATATACTCAAACATAAGATTTGACACTTGTAAGTACCTTTGAAAGTACGTTGAAGCTGAATGTAGCGTATCGTTTTGTCTCCATTTTGCAACGTATTCTCTCGGGAAATGCTTCCAAAGTTTTTTCCAAAGTTGCATGAATACTTACCTGACGTTATACGGTTTGATACGACGTTCGGGAATTTTTTAAAAAAAATCCTAAAATTAAGATATTATCGATTGACAGATCGATCAAGTATAGAATCCTTCTAACAAGTGCTATAAAAACACCGGAAGTACAAATATCAGTTTTATCCTCTACTGTTTGTTTGCTGGACCTTAAACTAGGCATAATAGATTAATCAGGACGATTTTTTTCTATAGGATGCAAAACCAACATTCACAAGCGTTGCCAACCGAATGTGGCTCATGACTGCGGTCACAAGAAAAGTGCATCAACCGAGTCCCTGCCGGGCCTTTAAATTCTGAAGGTAAACTTATTTTTTGTCCTGTTGTCATGGGCGTTCCGCTTTCAGCTCCTTTTTTCAGGTTCTTTGAGGAGTACACGGACTTTATGTCCACTTTTTTTACGTCCACAGACTTTTCGTCCACAATTTTTACGTCCACAGGTCTAAAGCCCACACTATTGTTGAGTCCATTACTTAAACGTCCACTAAGTTAAGTCCACAAATGTAAAGTCCACTAAAATCATAAGCGTCATATTTTAGTCCGTGTGTAAAATTATATTGTCAATATCGAAATGAGAAAATTAAGAGAGAATGAGGTGTTGTCATCATAACTCATATTTTAAATGAAATGTTAATTTCTCCTTTTGATTCATCTTTTCAAATTGTCTTTGGTAAATACTTGGTTTCATTTCTATCCTTGAAAAATCCGATGTAAAATATGCCTTATAAATGTACATTCTTTTTTTTAATGGAATTGATGAACGATGAAAAACGCTGACTGAGCGAGTTTAAATATTAGAGCCTAACACAGAGCGGAGTGGCGTGTTAGCAGCGCAGAACGCGCATAGGCGCCTACAAACCTAACGGGATACTTCACGCATTGCGCAACGCGTGAAGTATCCCGTTAGGTTTGTAGGCGCCCATGCGCGTGTCACGCCACGCTGGTTTCCTGCCGCGCCGCGCCGCAACGCTTTAAGCAACTATTTCTCGTCAGAGGCGTTGCACAGTATCCTACAAGATTGAAGGCGCACGAAATAACTAGTTAAAGAGGACTTTCAATTTTGACTGCATCTGTTACTGAAAAATGTTTGATTTGGCATTGGAGCGTTTCCTAGGCTCCCGCTTTGGTTTTCACCTTATCGTATCCGTACACTGAACTCATGAACATATGTTTTTATCTGCTCTTAGAGCCTGTTCTCTTTCGTGACTTGATTCATGAATGAAATGTTTTTAAGAATGAAGGTAGTAGTAGTATGCATTTATTTTTGAGGTGTTTCCTGTCATTTAAATGAGAAGAAAAAAATGTGGACATAACATGTCCACAATTTGGACAATTTTGGACATATTCATGGACAATATGGACATATATATTAAATCATGTGGACTTAATAAAGACTGGACTTAACGTTTAGTGGACATAAATAGCGGTGGACATTTATTTAATGGACGAAAGGTAGGTGGACATAAAGTCCTGGAAGCCTTTGAGGTTTTAAATTGTGATTCAGAAAATTTTAGGAAGCTCTTAAAGAAAACAGAATATTCATCTTGTCACAAAGTATACCGTGAAAAGAACTTTACTTAAATGAGTAAAATTTTATTCGAGGAAAAACAAATCAGCTCATTATTCTTTACCTTAAGGACCTGGAGAACGCCTGAAGATCAGAAATACATTTCGATGGTGAAACCACCAGACCACGTATCTCGTTTGCGGTGTTTAAAAATCCCTGCTCCAATTGTATTTGTGTAGAAGAAAACAAACTAATCTCATTCCTTGAAGTTTTCACAGCTTTTTTGACACGCAAAGACGAAAAATCACGGAAGTTTTCAAGAATTAACGTTGAATAGTCTTCCGTTTAAAAAATGAAGTATGACAGGAAGCCTACGACGTCGCAAATCGAGATACATGGTCTGGTAGTTTCACCGCCCAATGTGCCAGTGTGCTATTCGTGTGAGCCCTATCTCGTGCAGTAAATTAAAAACCGGCAAGAATATATATGTATCCAGCATGTATAAATACTATCAATTGCTGAGTTTCTGATCAATTTCTGAAAACTAATCAATGTATATGGAGCACGTATGGAGCAATGTATATGGAACAGCGATAAAGTATTTTATGCTAGATCATTTTGTGTAATGCTTCCAATAAAGTGCGCAGAAAAAGGCACAGTGCCAGGTGCCTCCAATTTTGTAAATATGCAAAAAAGGCAGGCAATGAGAAGGAATAGTTGCGTGGCCACCGAAGTTGCGGCGCTTTTTCGACGGTGACTTGAGGACCAACTGCAAACTGAAACAGAGGGCGAAGACAGTTTGATTTTGTGAATATTGGTGTTTCTCAAAGAAACTCTTCATGTTAATTAGCTTTGATGATTTACTCTTCCGATTATTTGCTTTCAGTAAAATCTAAGTTGTTTGAAAAAATTTTGCAGAGTTCAAAAAAGAGCCCTTGATTTTTCAATACTTTTAATGTAAATGTTGATTGCGATGAATTTTCTAATTTAACTAAATAGCATACAAACAATTAGGAATTTGTGAATATTGTGAATATTATGAAATACTGCAAAATTTTGAGAATTGTGATTATGAAAGTGCTTGAGGACATTGAAACTGACATTGAATTATTTAAAATACCGAAAGTTTTTACCTTTTTTCCACTTACATCGGGTTCGAAATTAGATGAAGATTCACATCTATGAGAGAGGAGATAATGGTCTCTGGTCACCACCACCCCCTACACTAAGAAACTGCTATGGCTTATAAACCAATTAGTGGTTCATATGGAACATCACTGATAGTAGTAAAGGCAACGTATAATAATAGCACATATACCTTCGTATGGTATGAGATACATTAGTATGGTTCACAGACCGAGAATCATTAGCTCATTTACGACTATTAGTGGTGTTCCGTTTCTGTATGAACCACTAATTGGTTAATAAAGCCATAGATTTTTCTCCGCGATACTCTGGTCAAAAATCAAGATTTTTCTGTTGGCCTGCCGCCTGCGACATAAATTGAAGGGCTTGCATAACAAGGCGCATAAGTGCAGTTTTTTAAAAAAATTGAAATATCAATAATTTCAGGTAAAACTAGTCTTAATGCATATATTCTGTGAAAAATTCGCTCAAAAATTTCAATTTCTAAGCATCAAAAAGTCAGTTTGAACTTTCTTTCCGCCATAAGGATTCACGTAATTTCGAAATTTCAAGCTCGTATTCTCGGAATAGCAAAAACTGCACTTATGCGCATTGTCCTCCAAGCTCCTCAATTACCTAATATTTGACATAATTGACCCAAATTGACGCACATAACACACTGTGAACTACATTGTGATACAGGCCCTGTCAGCCTGTCACGCATGTATTTTTATGAGTCTCGGGGCTCAGCTCACGATGAAGATAGTATATTTTAATTTTAATACGGCCAAATGTTGGCATGTATCATGTCAGGTATGTGTTGAGAACCCTATGTATTTTACCTTTAGGTTATTTTGTCATTCTTTCTGTCATCAGGTCTACTCGGCAGACGCCTATATGCCTACAAGTACAAGGTACGTCGTCGTCGCAGTTCTGTGTATGGTTGATTCGCTGGATGGAACTTAAATCAATTGAAATGCAAATCCCGATGGCGATCGCTTTAACCGCTTTGCTTTAGCAATGAGAGCTCTTCCGCGTGAGGAGTTTGATTAATGCCATGACACGGAGTACGCTTCTGCTCTGAAGACATTACTGAATTATGCCTCGAATTGTATGCTTCTTTTCCATTTATACGCTTTTTCAATGTATTCAGTGTAAAAAAATAAATGCGTCAATTCAATGCAAAAAAATCGGTCTAGTATTACTTAAATGTTCTTTCACGTCTCCACTCAAATTTTCATTCAAACTTAAACCAAAATAAAAAAAATCAGCTTGATTTAATTATTTGTTGTCATTTTGGGAGGATAGTTACTGTGAGGTATTAAAAAACAGAGAGACAATTCCAAGCAATATAATTGGTTAGTTCTCTTTTGGAAATTAAATTAATGAAACAGAAAAGGAAATTATGTGGAAAATTGCAAATGGACTGCATTTTGCAATTAGGAGCTATCATTTCTGGCTGATTCCACAAAAGCACTTATCTGAAAGGAAGGCTCACGGCGGAATTCTTGTTCCATGAAACGAACGCAATGTAAAATTACGAAGATGAAAGTTCAAAAACCCGTATCTCCTGTGATTTTGACCATTCCTTGGTGTGTTGTTTATAAATGAGAATCTAAGAATTTTTTTTTTGAAGATCTGTCCGAGATTTTTATATTATTGTGTATGATAATCTTACAAAATCTCTAATCATAATTGAGGTTTGATTTCCTTTAAAAATAAAAAAAAAATAGAAAAAAACAGAGCAGAAATGCCAAGAAGTTGTGATTCAAATATGTGTTTTTAAACTTTTATCATCAAAAACTTATTCAGTTCAAGAGGGCAGGTAGGTTGGAAGTTGAACTCAGTGTTTTGACTGTCTAAAGAAAAATTCATTAATTTCGGAGGCACCTACTTACCTCCCGACAGGAGAGCCTGCTTTTGTTCATATAGCTCGAATAAACTCAGTCGTATAATCATGTTTCAGAAAACTATATACGAATTTTAACAAGAAATTACGTACACACAACGGAAATAATGAAGAAAAAATGCATTGGAACTAAAATTATTTTATTCTTAAAAAAACTAAAATTGTATATTACATATATAACAGGCACTGGGGTCTTTTTAAAACTCATTGCGGATGCACTCCTATTGCTTATTTTCATCCAAGTAATATTCTTAAACGAAAATCACTTAGTCACGTGATACCTAGCTTCGGATAGGTAGATTGTTGAGAGGTGGAAAGTTGACTATTTAGGGCGTTTAGCTCCTTCAAAGGGTGAGAAACAGGGGTTGAGGGATTAGTGGGCTAATGGGAAGGGAGGTAGATGGCCGGAAGTGAGCCTCATAATTCGGAAGTTGATCTCGTTCCTGTTGAGGGTTTTCTTGAAGAATTTCTGGAGCCGCGAAGAGACGAACCACAGGTCTCCATCATAGGGTCCGGCGCGGATGTCCAATATGAACTGCATGGCCACCGGATCGAAGGCAAGTAACCTGTCAACAAATCGAAATATTATTACTTACACGTTAGAATTGCATGAACTATAAAAGGGGAAAAAGTTAATGTAGCTGCAATCGATTAGTTACATAAGTTACACACTTCACAAAAGTAAATCAGCAGAAGGAGAAGAGGAAGAAGAAGAAGAGGAGGAATAGGCGGAAGAGGAGGAATAGGAGGAAGAGGAGGAAGAGGAGGAAGAGGAGGAAGAGGAGGAAGAGGAAGAAGAAGAAGAAGAGGAAGAAGAAGAAGATGAGGAAGAGGAATAAGAAAAAGAAAAAGAAGAAGAAGAAGAGTGTTAGGGATTCTCATTACGGCCTCAACTTTAAGAGCTTTTTTGAGCTTAGGAGCTCATTTCATGTCTAAGGACACCAGTGCAGTGGCGACTTCATGCTTCTTGCAGAATCTTACACGCACAACAATACTTAAATCGCAAAGCCCTGGTCATAAAAGCTGTGAAGTACCGCGGATAAAATTTGTAGCGAATTCAGCAAACTCACATGCTAATGACGTACATAGGAAATTACCCAAGTAGCAAAATATAATTTTTTTCTAGGAAAAAAAATATTAAGAAAATTTCTAGAAAAAACAAAGAAAATGAGAGTTATCCAGAAAATAGAAAGAAAAAACATTGCGAGTCAAAAGACTGACTGAAGAAAATGTGTCTATTTCATACGTCTACTTTCTGTCAACTTCCCATTTGGAGAAAAGATAAAAAATTTATTGAAAGTAGCATTATTTTCTAGCCAATTTCTGAATGTTTTCTTGTAAGAAAATTCAAGGAAAACAAGCAGTGAACTCCAACACAATGTGTTGATAAGGCGCGTCATTAACTCGCACATATCAACCCCTTTAGTTTTCATTTACAGAGATTTCAAAATAGGCAAACAGCATAAAAAGAGAATTCACGATCCAACACTGCGAGGTCAAAGACGCACCTTGACGAGACCGTGTATTGTGAAAGTAGAAAGCTATTCGATCGAATTTAAGTTTTTTGATCTGCCTCAAGCAAAATCTTATCAGATTCTTGAAGAAAAGTGCTACGGAATAATTTAAGCGAAGAAAGGAAAAATTCTGTCGAACTCCTAGAAGATAAAGTCGATTTAAAGGTATTTTGGGGCTAAAATACCCAAATCACCGGTAGTAAAAATCCCGTTATATTATTGAAAAGAAATTGACTCGATATAAATGCAATTGCATTAAATACGTCTTGATTTTGTTATTTTAAACGTCTTTCCATGCAAAGAAGTTCAACCATGTCGTTGCTTTATTCATTCATGAATTGAAAGTAAGCAATCTACATCCCGAAAATCTACTGATTTGCCGTAAAAAATTGCAGAAACTTGATATACCAGGTCGATGCACCCACTCGTTGAATTTACCAACCAATTTTGTGAGTGCA